ACTTCTCTGACAAAATTTTTTATTTTTCAAATCTCCTAGGATTCTCAGTCTCCTAGGATTATATTCAATCAGCATCTTTTTTTAAAATGTTATGCAATAGTCAGAAAACAGTATCTGTAATAAATTATGACAATATTGTTGAACAAATTAGTAATTTCTTATATCATATAAAAGTGGAAAAAATGCAAGACCTTAAGACTCTTGCATTCTTGCGGACGTCTTGCACTGGCTGTGTTGGTCTTGCAGATCAAACGTTAGTCTTGATCTTGGTCTTGCACAAAAAGTAAGACCAAGGCCAAGCAAACATCTGAAATACTTTTTTAATTTTTCTCGTATATCCATCGTTAATCATAAAACTTATTTAATGACGAAAGAAACTCTAGAAACTTTCCAAATAATAAATTAGTTGAAAGTATCAAGACTGAGCGTTAACTGTCGGTAAGTTTGAGATCTATTTTTCGAAGAAAAACAATAAGCTGGAGTTTAGAAAAAGCGTTTCAGCCGACACGCAAAACGACTGAAAGTCTGGCGTGACGTATTCGAATGCTCTACTCTGAAAATTGACGCTTGTTTAGTTGAATCCTATCGAGTTTTTCGGTGTGTTTGTACTGTCATGGTATTTCCTAAAAATTCCACAAGTAAAGTCGGACTTTATTACTAGTATCAATCATACAAATGAAGCTCTGTTGAAACAAATCAAAAGTGAGTTAAATAAATGTATTATTTTTATTTATTTTTTAATACAGGGTGGTCCGAATTGTATTCCGGAAACTTCGGTAGCATATTCTGCAGATAAAAATAAATAAAAAAGTTCGTATAAATGTATGTCATAAAAGGCTTAGTTTCGGAGATACAGGGTGTAGAAGTTTCATTTTTATTTCGATTTTTCCAAATAATTTGAAATAACGTCAATATTTGGATCGAAATTAGTATCTGGTAGTTTTATGACATGAGAAATTTGATTTTGATGTTAATATGGCTCCTATTTGTCGGGGGAGCCACCTACATGTGTTTTAAGTGTTTTGAAGAGTAATAACTTTTCTTCCGGACCTGTATAAAACAACCGACTAAAAATATACATATTTCCGTCATTTTTACGTAAAAAAGTTCTCTTTGTTAAAATCGGTTCGAGCAACCGTTCTCAAGATATTTGGAATGGGATTAGTCAATACTAGTGATGGGAAAAACCGATGAATTTTAATAATCGAGTACTCGAGTTCCAAGCGATTTCAATAATCGAGCTCTCAATCGAGCAAAATTTCGTTCGTATTTAATTAGGCCCGATTCTGTAAATATATTGCCTGTCTAGTGACTTATCAATAATACAAATAGCATAGGCTAGATAGGAAATTCCTTGCTACGGAGCTTACAGAATCCCACTGCAGTTGTACTTGTACTCGTAACGCCAAGTAGTAAGCTGCGTGCGCATAGCGCATATTCTTTAGATAGTGGGAAGCGACAAGCGACCAGTAGTTTCGCTTAGAGATGGGCGGTTATTGGTAAAAAACCGGTTATAGGTTAACCGGAATTATCTTTAAAAAATAATAACTTGACAAAATTAACCGACACAAATTAACCGGTTATTCAAATAACCTAACCTAGCAAAACTAAATATTTAGTTTTCCTATAGGTTTACTTACCTCTACACTCCATAGGTCTACTTCAAATTTAGATAATAAACTTAGTTAAATCGCATGATTAAATAGAGATTGTAGCAATGTAAGTATGTATATGTACAAAATGAATTTAAATAAAAATGCTAACCTCACTTTTTTGAGTAGACATGGATATGATATTAAAACTAGTAATTACATAACGTTCAAATAAATACACACAACTCACAAGTTCTACAATCTACAACCAAGTTATTCTAATCAAATACCAAAAAAGAAAAATAAGGAGACTGAATGAATAGTTAATGAAATATTATCTTCATTCATTACTTGAACTTCAATTTTGTATTCTTTAGTCTAAGCTTCAAGAGAGACTTCAAACTACAAATAAAATATATTTACGGCGAAACGTGGGTGAAACTGGGCGAAACCATGGAAACTTTTGAAGAACCGTTGAAAATCCGTTAAAGTCGGTTAAAATTTAAATATAGAATTTAGAGAATCTATTTGAAGTTAGGTTCGTATCACTTGGCTAGCTGGTGGCTAGTAGTAGTCTATACCATTAGTACTTTGTTTTACGGCCTGACCTGTCAGGGCCATTCGGCCGTTGTTTTGATTATTATCATCAGGGTTCGCCTGATGCCTGATTTAATTTTGACATTTGATGTTTGATATAGATATTATATTTTCGTTTTGGGAGTGGGAGCGGTATCTCCCGTTATCGTCGTAATATCTGGAAGATCCGTGCCGTTCGCTTCTTGGAAATTTACGATTCAAACAGTTAATATTTAATCTTTACTTGTTTTAAACAAGTACGATTTTTTAAAAAATAACCGGCTATAGGTTATTGAACGTAATGCAAGGTTATTAGTTTAACTGGTGAAAAAAAAACTACCTTTAAATAACCGGTTGTTTTAGAGGAAAATACCGGTTATTCAAAAAACCGGTTACTTTTGCCCATCTCTAGTTTCGCTTGATCATGCATCGATGTAGGTGGTAAAATTTTGTCACACAGTTACGTAACAGATAACGTCGTATAGTCCAATAATTAACAATGCGGTCCCAATCAAAACAACAATCTGTTGTTTGAAGATATTTTACCAAAAATACTGATAAAATATTGCCAATCTGCAATGTATGTAGCAAATTTGCTCGATAGGATCGCTTATTGCGTTTGTCGCTCGTTCATAATCCAGCGATGTCGGTTATTTCAATAATCGAGTACTCGAGCGAATTTTCGTTCGAGGTATAGTCACTAGTCAATACGTGTCATTATTGAACATGTCTATACAGGGTAAATATTGTAACGTTTTTTAATTTAAACGCTACAATATTTTCAGGGCTGGCAGATCTCGATAAAAGAATCATATTTTCTCTTTACCGTTTTTCAAATAAGTCCAAAATAACCGACTTTTTGAAGTTTGAAAATAACCGAGTTATTGAGTTTTTAACAAAAAATAGATTTATTCTTAAAAACTTTTGAGAGCTACCGGATTTATTTTCTGCATTTGCATCCCTTTTAGTGCCTTAACCAGAGTAGGTATAACAAACGCCGCGCCGTAACCATAAAGTAAAGCCGTCACTATGATAATATCAGAAATTAAGAAATTATACCGTGGGCAAATTTGCGGTGAACGGGCTGTTCTAATAAGTTTACTAAAAAATACAGGAAAATAAAAAAATGCACAATTTTCAACATCTTTTTTTGCGAAAAAAACCCTCATAGACGTGTTTCTGGGGTCGAAATATACCACCCCTAAAAATATTTGCACTTTTTTAAGACTCATCCAACGTCACTTAAAAAATCGAGGTCATAGTTGCCACGTCAACAATGCATATGTTATAGATTATAGACCATTATATGTAAAACAGGCCATATACAAAAGAACTAGCCCATATGTAAATGGACACTCAGATTCGTATTGAAACATAAAAAACCCGGAATTTCTTCCGGAATTCAGAACAACGCTACAAACACAAAAATATGCTTTTTTTTATAAAATCTAACCCCGGTTTTGTAGTACTTTATATGTATCCGTTAATAGCTGTCATCGCATACATGTCTATTAAAAAGTGGTGATGTGTTCTGATCACTATGTAGTATATCGATGGAATATGCGAAGGGCTGGAGGATTTTAAGGTATTCTTCCATGTATATGAGATAAATTTCTTTCGTTCGTCTTTCGCGCTACATAACGAAGTCAGGGATTCACTTGAAAGACAACAGACTCACTACGCACGCGTAACACGACAAATAATCAAAACCGGTTCCAAAAAACTAACATTTTATTTACTAGCGGTATTGAGCATTTTTCTTTATTCTACTGCTTGGCTGCCCCCTAGACCTGTTCGGTGTTGAGATTTGAACACCGGTGTTAGGTGTTGATGACCATCGGTGTTTCAGTCGGTGTACCGGTGCCAACACCGACACAGGTTTTTATCTCAACACCGCGGTGTTCATTTCAGCACCGGTGGTTATCTCGATACCGGTGTTCGTCTATAACACCGGTGTTTATCTTGACACCGGTGTTTATCTCAATATCTTGTTTTTTTTATTTTTTTTTAATTTAATATTTTTTAGTTTATTTTACAGCTAGGAATTTTTGTTTCTTTATGTTTTGTTTTCTATTTGTTTTTGATTAAACAATTTTTTACTTTATAGTTGTTTATCTGACGCTTCGACTTTATTTTAGTGATTAGTCTGGCAAAAAAAATATATTTAAATTTGAAACCTTTAAGTTAAAGTCGGTGCGCTTTAATAAACGATAAAAATAAGCACCGATACGGCATTATTATGATCAGGTTTATTTTGAACTTATTAATTAACATTCTTTAACCCGTTTACCAAACGCCGGTGTCGATATCAAAACCGGTGTCGTAGTCAAAACCGGTATCGAGATGAATACCGCTGTCCAGACCAACACCGGTGTCGAGATGAACACCGGTGTCGGTGTCAACATCGGTGTCGGTGCCGACACCGGAACACCGGAGAGTTTATATTTAGCCACCGGTGTCAGCCCAACACCGGTGTTAAAACGGTGTTTGGAACAGGCCTACTGCCGCCTAATAGCTTAAAAAGAAAGCTGCTTTAAAAAAATTATCATAAAAATTTATAAAAATCAGATTTAAGCCTTTTATAAAAAGACTTAATTTTTTTTAATGACTTAAGCCTTTTACAAAAAGACTTAAATCTTTTTAATGACTTAAGTCTTTTCTAAAAAAACGATTTAAATCACAAATCATTTCTTCAAATCAAAAACTTAAGTTTTCTGGCAACTTACAGCTCTGCCACCCTATATAGAAAACTATTTTCTAATACGTTACTCTATAAAACCATAGTCATTAAAACAATTTATTGTTATTGTTAAATAATCCTGCGTGCATTAGGTCTCATTTGCCCATGAAAGAGTCGAGCGACGGCAGGGAATGTGCAGCGCCGGCGTCAACCATCCCGCCGCCTCCCCCGACGCCAACCGGCGCCGCCCGCGACGGCTTTCCCGCGGCGTCACGACGCTCATGTACGCCGCACAGCAAGGGGACGTCGAACGTGTGCGGAGGCTTGTTACTACACAGGTCAGTGTCTGCGACGATCGCATAACTTAGGTTAGGTTTCGGGGGTTTTGGTTTCGATTGTGAGTTTGTTTTGTATGTAACATTTTGCGAAAGGTAAGATAAATGTATTAATTTCTTGAAAGCACTGAAAAAATATCCAAAAAAGTACAAAGAAATTATTTTTTGTTAGTATTTATTAACATTAAACAAACTTTTACATTTACACTAAATTTTTATTGTTTTTTAATACTGCGAGTTTTTCAGAAATTTATTTGTTTATATTTTTGTTTGGATATAATAAAAAAACCGAGTGTTTTTTAAAAGTGGTTCACCCCCATAACCATAGATTTTTCAGATAAAAACGAAATTTGGTATATACAGGGGAGTCTGAAATAAGTCCAAATATTTTCAGGGCTGGCAGATCTACATGAAAGAAACATATTCCCTCTTTACTGTTTTTGAAATCCAAAATAACCGAGATAGTTAATTTTGAAATTAAAAAAAAAAGATTTTCGCTTAAATTTTGAGAACCACTGAATCTTTTTTGGGCTTTATTTCTTAAATTAAATTTAATCTACTATCTATGTTGCCATATTTTTAAGATATCATGTTTTTTAACTAAAAATTAAAAAAAATACAATTTTTTTTTCAAAGAATACCAAATCTTCCATTTTTTTTCGCAAAAAAACTCATAGACGTGTTTCTTCGGTCGAAATATACCAACTCGAAAAATATTTGTACTTGTTTAATTAATATAATAACTAAATTAATAACTTATTTTTTTAATATTAATAGTACTTATTAAATCGGGATTGATTGGCGTTCTTATTCAATTAGTTTGAGTCACTTCCCGTTTCACCGGAAATTACAAGTTTTGATTTTTAAATGGTACTCTCGGTATTTTTTACTTTATTTGATAGAAAATGACAAAATCGAAGTCTGAATAGAATGACACATCGTATGTCAACTTTTGATATTTGCAATTAAAACAAATCCATTTTAAATTTGAATCCAAAGTGCCATGGCCGTGCTAAAACCATTCATTTTTAATCAAGGAGCTTTGGAAAAATAGATTTGATCATTTAATTTTTTAGTGTTTTTCCCTGACCATTTAAAAGATGCCCTAATCATATTTTTAATCATAACTATTTTGGTTCATTAGCATATTTGGAATAAAACATTTTTACGAATAATTTGGTACTACATACTTGGTATTTAAGTCAAACTGTTTATACATTTACGGCTATGGCACTACTGGATTGAAATTTAAAATACAATTTTTTGTTAATTGAAAATGTCAAAAGTTGACGTACGATATGTCACTCGATTTAGAATGTCATTTTCTATGAAATAAAGAATAAAAAAATTAAGAAAAGTATGTAAGAAAAATATATATCGGGAGTAGGTATCATTGAAAAATCAAAAGTTGTAATCATTTCCGTTGAAACAGGAAGCAAACAAAATTAAATGAAAACGTCAACCATCATTTATATCATATACTAACACACACATAAATCTCGTTTTTATCTGCAAAATATAAAAGTTATAGGAGTGGCCACTTTTGAAAAACACCCGGTATACTATAGATAAGCATTTTGCCGCGTTTACATAACCATTAACGTAGTTTTTATTATGTACGATGATGTTATCTGTGGTTGCATATAAATAGGAGTCCATAATACAAGCTGGTTTTATATTACCACCCTCTTCTCTACGGACTTTTGTAGTATAAATAATAGCTTTTTAGAATACCTATATTTTATTCCACTAGAACAACTTATTATTTATATTATACAAGTTTTACTAAAGCAAACAAATCAATACATCAGATGGATACAAATAGATTTCGGAAAAAATTAAATAAATATATTTTTTGCCATCGCCACAAGTAAAGAAGTCAATCATAACGTAAGTTAGAAACTAAAAATCCGGCATTCACTCCACTACCCTATAAATCCATCGTCAAACAAAACTGATTGTAATATCAGTTCATTGGTCTCCCTTAGCGCTCTCCAAATATTACTTTACTAATATTGTCATAGCAACTCGTGACTCTTTGTTTTACTGTTTTTATAAGTTTGTATTAGATACAAGCTTTTCTAGACGTACAGTTTTTGTATAGTTGTTTATTAGTGAAGGTTTAGGATTTATTTTATAACAAAAGGTTAAGGTTACTGTATACCAACTAGTAATATTAGGTATGTTTACTTTCTATTGATTTAACCAGGAAAATAAAAAAAATATATGAGTAATAAAATGGTCATCGTAGTTTATAGAATTATGATACAAATATTAAGAAAAGGGACGTTTTAGATTATTTAAAAGAACACACAAATAATATTATAGAAATAAATGTAATACATTTATTTAATACAAAATTATATTATTCTAAAAGATTAATTAAACCGGGTTTTACAATGTATATTTTTGATATAAATATTTTAAATGGATAAGAATGCATAAGTTATGATAAAATTATCCTTTAGAACAGAAATTACAGAATTTTTAGTATTTTTAAACTCTAAACTATGGTATATCTTATTGCTGTGTTCTATTTGGTTTTTGTTTTATTGTTTTGTTAAGTAAGTTGTTTTGTATTAGGTATAAGTTTTTCTATAAAGTTTCTTTTTCTTCTTTCTTTTTTCCATACAGTTTCTGTATAGTTGTTTATTAGTAAAAGTTCAGGATTTATTTTATAACAAACGGTTAAGCTCTTTGTACACCTAGGTACTAATAATGTTTATCGTATATTAGGTATATTTACTTCCTATTGATTTAAATAGTAAAATAAACATTTTTTCTTGAGAAATAAAATGGTTTGGTTTGGTTTTTTATCTTGCTTTATAGAATTATTATAATAACATTAGGGAAAGGGTCGTTGTAAATTAATATTAAAAATAATAAAATATTATAGAAATAAATATAATACATTTTCCTAATATAAAACAATATTATTCTAAAATATTAATTAAACAGGTTTTTACAATGTACCTTTTTAATATAATTATTTTATATGGATAAGAATGCATATAAAGTTACAATCAAAAATATGCTTTAGAACAGAAACTACAGAATTTTTAGCATTTTTAAACTCTAAACTATGGCATACGTCAGTGCTGTGTTACATTTTTGTTTTATTGTTTTTATAAGTTCTTGGATATTACACACAAGTTTTTCTATACGTAAAGTATAGTTCTTCATTAGTAAACGTTCGGGATTTATTTTATAACAAAATATTAAGGTTACTTTATACCTACTAATAATATTGATCGTATATTAGGTACGTTTACTTCTTATTGATTTAACCAGTAAAATAAGCATTTTTTCTTGAGTAATAAAATGGTTCTCATACTTTATGGAATTATGATAAAAATATTAAGGAAGGGGCGTTTCGTTTTTTAAATTATTTAACAGAAGAATAATAAACAATTTAAGGGTCAGGGGAAAAGCAGATAAGTAATCAGGGTAAGGATCTTTAGAAACCGTTAAACTGGGGAAAACAGCCTAGCCAGAAGTGTCAGAAGATATATAGCGTTAAAGTTATACTATAACGCAAAACAAGCAGACAAGTCAAGCAAAAAGAGGAAAGAACCAGACAAATCAATGGTTTTACTATTATTTTAGATATAATGGTATTTTATCTAATAAAAATACCTTACCTAGTTCTAACAAATATGAATGAGCAACAAATCGCAAACAGAGATTCAATCGTAGCGATTTTAAAATCGCAATTGCAACTTGCGATTGGTTCTCATAGAAAACTGCGAGTGTGGTTTTTTTATTTGCGAGTTTCATTTTAGGCAACCAATATTACTATAGTTGCGATTTGCGATTTTGCTGCGATTGTGATTTCGTAAACTAGGACCGTGATAACCTTTTCTATCTGCGACTTTGAATTTTTAGGAGTTGCGATTTGCGATTTTGTTGCGAATGTTATTTTGGGGTCCATTGAAGCATTTTACAGTAAACTGCGATTGAATTTTTTCTCTGATTTTATTTATTTATAGAGAAGGTAGTATTTTTCTAGGGTCAAGATTATAATATACCGGGTGTTTCTCAAGAGTGGTTTTTTTAAGTATATGACATAAATTCGGATTGATTGACGTGTTCAATTAGTTTCGATCACCTCCTGTTTCACCGGAAATGACTACAACTTTTGATTTTTAAATGACACCCTCCTTTACTTTATTTGATAGAAAATGACACTCTGAATAGAATGCTTAATACAATATTTAAATATTAAAATCGCAATCGCAGGTTACAGTAGCAACGATTTAAAAATCGCAATCGCAGGTTTAATTGCGATCGGAGAATAGCAGTTTTGCTCATCTCTACTAACAAATCTCTATTATTATTTCCAGGCCTGTTGCCAATTTTCGTTTTAAATCGTGCTTTTCTCACTTTGGAGAGAAATTGACTTACCTGCTTTTCCCCCTCACCCTTCAATTTATCTTTTTAATATAAATATTTAAATGAATATGAACGTATAAAGCTATTATAAAAATATGCTTTAGCACAAAAACTACAGAATCTTAAGCATTTTTAAAGTAGAAACTATGGTATATGTGTAAGTGCTATGTGAAATTTTTGTTTATGTTTTAGGCCAGTGATCGTATAAACGTCAATAACCAAATCACTTTAAACAGCTTTACAACCACATTCTACATGTTAACAAATCGCATACTTTTTTATGTCGAAATTTGACCTGATACTGCTCCTATAACTTATACCGTATTATCGAAAAAAAAACGGCGTCCAGTTGGCTGAGAAATGACGGTCGATGACATTTCCCATATAAATTTACATATAAAATGACAGCGATCTTCATTTCATAGCCATCGCTTACGCCGTTTTTTCTATCATACGGTATTATTAACTCGCATATTTAGGCTACTTTAACATAGAATTTACGATACATTGTTCTTATATTCTATTTAGCCTCATATTCTTCTCGACCAAGACCGTACCGGTAAAACTGCGCTGCACTACTGCTGTACAAGTGATAGCGTCTGCGCAGCTCAAGCTGCTGACATCATAGCGATGGCAGCACCGGATTTGGTGGAGACGCGTGACGAGGACGGATTTACGCCGCTCCATCTAGCAGTGATCGCTGGAAACACCCAGCTAGTCACTTTTCTATTAGCTAATGGAGCTGACGTTAGAGCTGTGGATAACGAGAAGCATACGGTGGTTCATTGGGCGACAGGTATTATATTAGTGATGGGCATTACAATTCTTTTTAGTGAATCAAATCACACGATTCAATTTCTCATATTGAATCGACTCGTACGATTCGTTCATTTGAATGATCCACATGCATTATTTACGTTTCATAAAAACAAGAATCGTAACTGGTCCTACCGGCGATAATTTGGTCGAACAATTACTTAAGGGACCGGAAAAAGCATAATACCAATAATATTAACTTATCAATCCAATTCATATATACTATTTACTAAAGACTTCTTAGTACTTTTAGAGTATATTTCCGATTTAATAATCATATAATAAATAGTATATAATACCGCATAATAAAAAAAAACGGCGACTAGTTGGCTTGGAAATGAACACGTCTAGAAAAAAAAACGTGTTATCTAAAAACAATCAGAGATATTATAATTGATTTGAACACTGCGAGTAGAGATAGGGATCAATTTAGGTCAGCTACCCTACCTGTTGTTCTAATACACATAAGTTTGTGTAGCATTCCATTGCAGTAAAGTTCTTACAATTGTTACGCCGTTTCTCTTTTTAGGTCAGGAACCTAAAACACACAAACCTCAATCACAAAATAATCAAATTTCGTTAAAATATAAATCATATTTATCTAAATGCGATAAAAATTGTCATGCATTATTTAGAAGTAACACATTTACATATATTGGAGCTAATTAAAGAAACAGTATAGCATTTTTTATAACAAAATAGGGATATTTTTATATACAAATTTTAATTAAAGCTTGCTATTTCAAAATAAAGTCTTATTCTTAAGTTCATATCTGTGTTCATAAACATATTAGAATACCGTTTTATCATTTTACTAAAAACAATATTTTTGTAATGATTATTATTTATAATTAAGTACTTTGACAGGCGAATGACTTCATATCCCTCATCTTTTATTAAAATCAATTTGCCTTAATACTGCTTTATACAGTATTAAGGCTTAAAAACAAGCATCATTAAATAATAATTAGCTTAATGAACAAACTCTAAAGCTTTAAATAAAATTGACTATCTATATTGCCGCATTAGTAGGAAAGTACCGTATGATAAAAAAAATGGCGTCAAAGACGGCTGGGGAATGACAATCTATGATAATTTTCGCGAGGTCAGTTAAAAGAAGAAATCAGAAAAATTGACATAAAACTTGTCAAAAATTAACACTAATTAAACATTAATTAAAAAACATTAAGTAAGGATTAAATAAGGATAGGAAATTTCCAGACATACAAATCTATTTCCAAAAAAATTAGTTTTTCTCGAACTTTTTAAATTCTTTTTAAAAATTATTTTTGTTCAATATAAAAATAAATTACAACCTTCTTAATACTAACTGGCAGTAAGCGCCATTAAAAAGTAAAGAAGAGTTCGGGCCAAGTAATGACGTCTAGGGCTTGACCTCGTTAAATTTACCACCGATAGTCATTCCCCAGCCGTCTTTGACGTCGTTTTTTTTCGATCATAATGTATTTTCAGATGTCAATTACTTTATTCTCTATTGTAACTATTAAACAAAAGATTGAAGATCGAACTTAATAAAATAATATAAATTGGTATCTATATATATATAATAATATATTGGTATTGGGTATTGCAGAGGTGAATTATAGAATAAAATTATAGAATTATAGACACATAGGCGTGTTTTTGGAATCGAAATACCACCAGTTAAAATAGTTTGCACATATTTTAAGAAATGTATAGCATCTATGATAGAATCAGATATTGGAATTTCTATAAGTTAGGTATATAATATATTTATACCGGGTGCGTCTCGAAAGTGGCTCACCCCTATAATTTTTTATTTTTTGAGATAAAAAAACTAGATTTGGTATGTTAGTATATGACATAAATTAGGATTAATTGACGCATTCATTTGTTTTTGGACACTTCCTGTTTCACCGGAAATGACTACAACTTTTGATTTTTAAATGGCACCCTCGATATATTTTTACTTTATTCGATAGAAAATGACACTCTGAATAGAATGACATATCATATGTCAACTTCTGACATTTTCGCATACAGTTTATTTGAAATTGTAACATGCAGTTCATAACGAAAATTTGACTCGAAATACCAAGTGTGTGGTATCAAATTCGTAAAAAAATCCGAGTTTCAGTCTCTTAACTAACATAGGGCAAAACAGATGATCAAATCTATTTTTCCAAGGTTCCTGGATTAAAAATTAGTGTTTTTAACACAGCCAGGGTACTCTAGATTGAAATTTAAAATACATTTTTTTTGTAAGCGAAAATGTCAAAAGTTGACATATGATATGTCATTATATTCAGAGTGTCATTTTCTATCGAATAAATTAAAAAAATACCTAGGATGGCATTTAAAAATCAAAAGTTGTAGTCACTTCCGGTGAAAGAGGAAATGACCAAAATAAATTGAATATGCCAATCAATCCTAATTTACTACATATACTAACATACCAAATCTAATTTTTTTATCTGAAAAAATAAAAAAGTTATAGGGGGTGAGACACTTTTGAGACGCACCCGGTATATCATAAATATTGCCTTTTTAGTTTGTGGGGAGACTACAGCCTTAAGGGCTGTCCTAGCGGCAGGTGCTCCAGTATCAACTCCAGACGTACACGGGGGATACCCTCTACATTATGCAGCTCAAATGTGTGGAGGAGTATGAACATTTATATACAAAAATCCAATTTTTTAATCGATTTGTTTTAGGATAAAGATCAAGAGCTGGGTGTTCAAGTCCTGCATACTCTTTTAGGGCATAAAGATATCGACGTTTCAGTTGAAGATGGTGACAAAAGACAACCTCTGTTGTGGGCAGCCAGTGCCGGATCGACTAAAGCTATTTTGGCCTTGAGTAGAGCAGGTGCTCAAATAGAATCTGCTGATAGGTAAATAAAAAGGAAAATTTACAGGGTGTCCAAGAGAATTGGTCACATGATTTCTTTTAAAAAGTCTCTGTATACCAACAAAAAATGTCTAGAATATAGAAATTATTATCAAGTCAGATTTTCTTGGACACATTTTCTATTAGGTTTCTCTATACAGGGTGGTCCGAACTGTATTCCGGAAACTTCGGAACCATATTCTACAGATAAAAATAGGTAAAAATTATCGAATAAATGTATGTTCTACATTGCTTAGTTTCGGAGATACAGGGTGTAGAAGTTTTATTTTTATTTCGAGTTTTTCCAATTAATTTCTGAAGTAACGTCAATATTTGGATGAAAATTGGTGGCTGGCAGTTTGTTGACATTAGAAATTTGATTTTGATGTCAATATGGCTCCTATTTGTAGGGTACGCCATCTACATGTTTTTAACTGTTTTGAAGAGTAATAACTATTCGTCCCTACCTGTATAAAACTACTGAATGAAAAAATATACATTTCCGTGATTTTTTACGTAAAAATTGTCTCGCGGTAAGAATCGCTACGAGCAACCGTTTTCAAGATATTTAAAATGGAAATAGTCAATACATGTCATTATTGTAATACATGTTGAGTAGATAGTTTTTTTACTGAAATGATAAATTTCGGAAATTTTTATTTTTTAAATTAATCCTAAATTTATCTTCGAAAAAAATATGATAAAACAGTTTCTGTTGACCTTTTGATACAAAATCATTTCAAATTTATGATTTCAGTCAATAACTATTTAGTCAACATGTTTAATTTATGTCAATGATGACAGGTATTGATAATAATTTCGATTCCAAATATCTCCAGAACCATTACTCGAAGTGATTTTTACCAAGAGACATTTTTTACGTAAAAAACTTCGTGAGTGTATATTTTTTTACTCAGTAATTTTATACAGGTACGGACTAAAAGTTATTACTTTTCAAACCAGTCAAAAATATGTAGGTGGCGCCCTATACAAGTAGGAGACATATTAATATTAAAATCAAGTTTTTCAGACACCAATTTTCATACAAATATTGACGTTACTTCAGAAATTATTTGGAAAAAATGGAAATAAAAATAAAACTTTTACGTATTAAGTCACCAAAACTAATTTTAATAGAGACGGACTCACTGCCCTACACTGCGCAGCATCCAGGGGACACACTGATTGTATCGACACTCTTTTAACCTTATGTGGTGCTTCCCCTGACGTAATTGACAGTAATGGCTGCACAGCACTACATTACGCAGTTACATTAGGTAATTTTAGTTTATGCACAAGTAAAATAATTATAATAAGTCGAAATCGTGTTATTCAGGCCATGCAGATGCAACAGCTCTTTTACTTGCTCATGGCGCTGATCCCAACAGGCAGGATAGGAAAGGTCGAAGTCCTGCGCATTGCGGCTGCGCAAAAGGGCAGTTCGAAACTGTAAAACTTATTGGGGCTCGTGGTGCAAACTTATGGCTCAGAAATGCACGGTGAGTTTTAAAAATTTGTTTCTTTCCAAGAGATGGAAATAAGTAATTATTGTTATATTTTAGTGGCGATATACCTTTACATGAAGCTGCTGCTTCTGGTAGACGGGAGTTGGTTATGTGGTTACTGGGTATGAGACCCAGCCAAGTTAATGGAAGAAACAATGATGGAAGAACGCCTCTTCATATGGCTGCTTTAAACGATAACGTTGATATGTGCAAGGCAAGTAAAATTCTACATAACAGTACGTGTCTCAAAGTAAAAAAAAAATAAATATCACTACTAGAGATGAGCAAAACTGCGATTATCCAAACTTGAATTTGCGATTGCGATTTTAATATTTAAATGTTGTACTAGGTATATAATTGTCCGTGTATGTATCTATAGCTTAACAGCTTGAGTTAATAATAATCAATCATTTAGTTTTTCAGTTTTTATAACATCTGCAACACATTATAGGAATTAAAACTTTATAACTGCTGCAACCACACATACCTAATTTTCTACGTTTCTCAATTATCTAATTCTTTATCTAATTCTTAAAAAATCTAAAAGAATTATCTTTTTAAGATGGCTTACCTCTATAACTTTTTAATTTGTTTCACTTAAAAAAAATGATTTGGTACCTTAGTATATGACATAAATCAGGATTGATTGATGTATTCAATTGATTTGTCCTGTCTCATCATAAATAACTACAACTTTTGCTTTTTTAAAAACACTCGGTATTTTTCGAGGTATTTTTATTACTTTATTCGATAGAAAAAGACACTCTGAATAGAATGACATAATATCATATATCAACTTTTCGCATAATATGGTTTAATTGGAAATTGTAACATGCGGTTCATAGCGACAATTTGACTCGAAATACCAAGTATGTATGAAGTAGTACTTTCCCCTAGGAGATGCAAGACCTTGTCGTTGGTGGGGAAGCTCCTGGTCAGGTGCTGGGGGGAATTCCCCTAGCGCTTGGCTTGGTCTAACAAAAATCTCACTCATCGTCTTGTTCTTGGCTGTAGTGTCGTGGCCAGGGAATTGCACCAAGACATATTATAACGATGCCGGACGGGGCTACCCCTATCCTTCATACCAGGCACCCACTACTGACTGTGGTCATGTCTCGCGGGTAGAGCGTGTAATGTAACCTCACCAAAAACCTAAATCCTACGATGGCGGGACCATGTCAAAGGGATACGTGGCTAGATAGACGACTAGCCATTACTGGCCTCAACCTTGGCGCATCAGGGGGCACCCCATTGTATTTACCCTTTACTTCTACATGCGGGGCTCTGTAGAAATGGACCGACTATCCCTAGCGACTCGTGGGAACACTATGAGGTCTAGTACTAAAAACACCACCTGTGAAGCTGTGGGGAAGCCCCTTAGCGACACTGGGAAATTCATTCAAGTGTGTTGTACCAAATTATCGTAAAAAATATGTTTTCTAAATATGCCAATGAGCCACCCTCGTTCCATTTGTAAAAATTGAGATATGATTAAAAATACGATATCGGCATCTTTTAACTGGCCATGACAAGACACGAAAAACAATAGACGATCAAATTTATTTTTCCAAGGCATCTTGATTAAAAATTTGTGTTTTAAACACAGCCAAGACATTCTAAGAGAATCTTTTTAGATTAAAAGATTTTCGATTTAGAAAGAGATCTTTTAGATTGAAATTTAAAATACGATTTTTTAGGTAAAAATATCAAAAGTTGCCATATAATATGCCATTTTATTCAGAGTGTCATTTTCTATTGAATAAATTAAAAAAATACCTAGGATGGCATTTAAAAATCAAAAGTTGTAGCCATTTCCGGTGAAACAGGAAGTGGTCAAAAACAATTGAATACGTCAATCATTCCTAATTTATGTTATATACTAACAAATCAAATCTCATTTTTTTATCAGAAAAAATAAAAAAGTTATAGAGGTGATCCACTCTTGAAAAACACCCGGTATAATAATAATACCTTCTTTATAAATAAATAATATCAGAGAGAAAATTCTATCGTAGTTAAACTATAAAATGCTTCAAGGGACCACAAAATTACATTCGCAAGAATATCGCAAATCGCAGCTATTGTAATACTGGTTACATAAATTAAAAGTCGCAATAAGAAGAAATCGCAATCGCAGTTTCCTATGAGAGCCAATCGTAGGTTGCTATTGCGATTTTGGAATCGCTGCGATTGAATCGCAGCTTACGATATTTTGCTCATCTCTAATCACTACCATAGAAATTAAAATTTAAAACAACAGGACTCTGAAAATAAACTTTATTGTAAAAACTACCGGAAAAGGGCTTTAAATTTCACATTTAGATTAATCTATTGATTTAGAGTAACTTGGCTCAGTTATATTCATAAAGTAAACCGTACAAATCTAAAAATAAAAACCTATTATACTTTATCGTAGCGCGCTCAAATTTGAATAATTCCTTTGTTAAAAAATTATTATTACTGTTGAAAATTACCGGAGTTTTCTTAAATTTTTTCATTGTCCATTTTTATTTTTACACAGCGATGATATAACGACGCCTTGACCTTTAATAAATAGTCTTAATATTAATGAAGAGATGCCTATCATGATTTGGTCGGTTGTGGACGGCCAAGGTTGAGACTTACGTGATCAGTATAAATATACTTGAGCGTTAGCTATAAAAATTTGCGAGCGTAATGATTGGAGAATAGTGCGAAGGTCGAGGAGCAAAAAATCGGAGGGAGCATATTTAATAAGGTTAAGGGGTTTAATTCTGTAGAAATCGTTGCGCACGCAATCTCACTACATCAACATTTAGCAAAACAACTTTAATTTTTTTCTTTCATACCGTTTTCAGATTTCGATTAGTCGCTATGTATCGTAAAAAGCGTAAATATCGTGCTAGAGAATCACGCCATTTGAATGTTAAATTACAAGTATGTTACATAAAAATTAGTCATTAGATTTAAGTACCTGAATAATTGTGTTCTTACAATATATTAGATTACAGTTGTATGATTAACAATATATTAGATATTGGTGATATGATGGTATTAGTGATGTGTCGGTATTTCAGTAATGCGATTTTGGACCGGTATTTTTTTGTAACGTCGCGTCGTGTCGCGCTCCATAACGTATCAGGAACCTGTTACTGAAGAACGACGAATTTATAAATTATTTCTAGTTTGCAAATAAATTATTTATAAAAGCTCTTGGAGTTGGCTCGAACCGCAGTAATCGCATAGAGACGTGTTTCGATCCAGTCGTTGCGCTCCTAGGGTCGCGAACAGTACTAACTGGTAACTACGTAGCGATACGCGATTTTGACCGCAACGTGTTTCGCTCCAGCCGTCGCGCTCCTAGAGTCGCGGTTTATATTGTCGTGAAGAGATAGTCCAGTCATCTTAGGGGGTCACCTCGGAATTCGAGATAACCCGCTGTAAACTCGTATAAACCTTTATTTTAACATCATAAAACGTGTCTCAAAAACTACATATGAGAGCGTGTGCGCGACTTGTAGTCCTTGTAGATAACTGAGGTCAAAGGTAAAAAAATTGATTTTTTTGCGCATTTTTTGCAAATATCTCGTTCCCTTTCACATTTACGCTATTTGTATTTATTATAAATATTATAGAGGATAAAATTCTCTACAACTCTTGTTTCAAAAATTTTTTTGTACCTCAAACCGTTTTTGAGATAGAGGGCGGTGAGCCCGCAGTCTTTCATTATGTACGGTATCATTCAAGTTCAACCTGTAGTCTCGGTCAAAAACACGCCGTATAAAGTCCGTTAATTATTGAAACATATATAATTACAAATAATTTACATTTTTTCATAAAAGATCATATTGAATATAATAATTTTGCTGAAAAAAATTTGCTGAACACAATATTCTGCAACTGCAAGAATGGTTATGGTTTGCGATGTGGATGCAGGAAATCAGGGTTGCCGTGCTCTTTAGCTTGTGGCCAGTGTAATGGGCGAGCTTGTCTCAATGCTTCACCCTATCAGAGTGACGTCAATGAAGATGGTACATTGGACCCCGAAATCCTAGAAGACTTGGAGACGAATGTCGTTGAAGATGAAAATGAAGAAGAATTTGAAATTCCACAATGACCAGACGACGATGATGATGAAGAAGAAGAAAACTAAAAATAAGAACATGGGGAGTTCTTTTTATTTTTATTATTATTTTTTTAATTTTAACCATGAGAAATATGTATGAAATCGTATTTTTTAATAGACATATAAATTAAAAATGTATTTCTTGTCTTTTTATTTACTTAAAATGTAATTAGTGTAAATCTAACTATAATTAAAATGTAATTAAACTATTTCTGTTAATAATTTTCTAATTCTACAAAGAGGTAAGTGTTTTTAAATGAAGATATACTTAATTTATGAAAAAAATTATTATATTCAATATGATCTTTTATGAAAAAATGTAAATTATTTATAATTATATATTTTTCAATAATTAACGGACTTTATACGGCGTGTTTTTGACCGAGACTACAGGTTGAAGTTGAATGATACCGCAACCAAACCAAACCAAAAATTTTTGAAACAAAAGTTGTAGATAATTTTATCCTCTACAATATTTATAATAAATACAAATAGCGTAAATGTGAAAGGGAACAAGATATTTGCAAAAAATGCGCAAAAAATCGATATTTTTGCCTTTGAACTCAGTTATCTACAAGTCGCGCACACGCTATCATATGTAGGTTTTGAGGCATGTTTTAGGATATTGAAATAAATGTTTATACGAGTTTACAGCCGGTTACCTTGAAATCCGAGACTTCTACTCTATTTCTACTAAGATGACTGGACTAAGATGTAACTGGTAACGACCTAGATCGCAACGTGTTTCGCTTCAGTTGTAGCGCGACTGCTGGAGCGCTCCTAGGGCCGAGTTTTCATCTGTCGCGCTTTGGTCGATCGCTATTGGTGTTGCTCCCGTTACAGTCATTACGTTACTTTTCAGATCGCGATTTTTTGGCAGGTCTAGGTACTAGGTATTTTTGATTAATAAATACATGTTTGGTACATTTGATAGATACAATAAACATTTATATAAAAATAAGAAAAAAGGAAGAAGAAATAAGACCGAAAAAAAAATGAAAAGTAAAGCTACTTTCAATTGATCAAAAATATAATCCCAATTAGAGTTATATAGTTAGCAAAGAACGATAATTACATTTTACTAAAGTAAGAATGATTTTATTTTGATTATCTGACATGAACATTTTACTTTTTTCCAAAAAAAACCTGTATGGGTATTTCGCCACTACACTGCAAGAAAATCTACAAAATAAAATAATTATTTTTTGTATACACTTCTGCGTTAAACCTAAACGGATGCTGTTTGTCAGAAGTTATGTTTACGGTAATACAAATTTGCCTAACAAAGCAAAAAAATGCTTAACGTTTCGGAAAGTTATGTCTTTCCGTCGTCGGAAGCAAAAAAAATACAAAGAATAAAGAAAAAAACTATTTAAAATATTTAAATTCAACTATTCAAGAACACTTTATTTTTTTAAAACAGATACGTCTACAAGAAACCGTTGACGTTCTGTTAAAATGACATTTTTAACTTGATATTTAAACTTCAAAATTAACAATTACTACCTGATAACAATTACTTAATAAGGTAATACCAAAAAGCCCCAAACTTTCTGTATGATTATTTTTAAATTTTACGTATGTTATGTTTATTTATTTTGTTGTATATTTATTTTGTTGTATCTATTGTTCTTTAAAATCAAAGAAGCGATTGCCATACATTACTAACATCTACAGATGCATGAGCAATACATTTATTTTTATTAGATTGAATTAAAAAAAGCCTCTTTTATTTTTCTTTTAGAGGCTATCGCTTCTTTCATTATAATTTTGGCGTTATTAAAATTTATTCTGTAGCCTGTGTCCCAAGAAAAATAAAAATAAAAATAAAAGAAAAATAAAAGAGGCTTTTTTATTTCAATCTAATAAAAATAAATGTATTGCTGTCCATATTCGTAAACTCAGCTTTTTATAAACTTTAGTATTTGGCATATTAAACAGGGTTAATTAATAACAGGGATTGTTTTTTACCCTAACGCCGGCTTGTCACACTGAAATATAACTTCCAAAAGAAATGATAATTGAAAAAATTGCAAATTGTTGGTGGCAAAAGTTCATTTGGCTCTTAAAAATTAACCAAAGCATGTATTGACATGATCCAAAAAATAAAATGCTTAGGAGACATGGTTCTGACAGTAAAATTATATTTTTGGAAAATTTACTCACGAAATTATTGCACAGGGTGTTTTAAAATTAAGGTAAAAAACAACTCCTCGATTAACTCTGTAATATAATAATGCTAAATACTAAAGAAGACTTATAAAAAACTGAGTTTACGAATTTTAAAGTTGATATAATTATATACAACTTGCTTAAAAATTCATGAAAATAGGGCTAAAAATTACAAAAATATAACACTTTAAATTTGGCGAAAAATTTCTAAGTTGTATTTTTTTGCATATATAATTAACAGTGAAAAACTTGAAGAAAACTTAAGGATTGGGACCCAAATGCCATTTATACAATATAAATATTAAATAATTCTAATCAATTAACTCATTTTTCTTTTCAGATCCTTCTGGATTCTGGTGCTTTGATTAACCCTGTCCTCAGAACATCAAAGAACATTTTTATGACTCCATTGGACTGCGCTCTTCAACGAGGATTTCGTTCAACCGCCAAGTACCTTCAACTCCACGGAGGTGTACCTGCGAGTCGTGTGAGCACTCAAAATGAAACCCAAGTTAGCAGTTCGGTCAATCTCCAAATTCGGGACGATGTGACATTTTGGGGCGATACCAGTTCAAACAGCGAAGATGACAAAAAGGACAGTAAAACAAGTGCTCGAAAAATACACAGAAAGAAGTCCAGTTACAGAAGTAGAAAGAAAACGGAACTTATTTCAGGTAGCGATAGTGACCTACCTAAAAAAAGAGCTGAAAGAAAAGATAGCTTCAAAGCAAACGGGTTTAAAAGAAGCACGAAAGTTGCAGCTACCAACACCTCTGCTAGCGCCATACCAAAGGAATCGCCAAGGAAATCAAGCTCAAGTAGAATAGATTACAGTAACGAGATCATAATTAATGGAAAAACTGAAATTAATATACATCATAAAAAAGAGATTACGGTAGAGACGGATAGTGATCAGCTATCTCCCAGAAAAGTTCAAATTCAAGAAAACATATCTTTCCCAAGCAACGAAAAACAAGCTAGTGATAAGGAAAGGAGACCTAGAAGTGCAAAATTTAGTAAACTGTCCAGAGAGAAATCAGCTACAGAAAGTGCAAATGCGTTGGATACAAAAGATACTAAACAAATAATTATTGACTCACCAGAATTAACGAAATCAGGATCTGTATTGGGGCAAAGTACTGGTACATCAGATGATACGATGGATACTGTTATAGATACATATAAATTAAAAGCAGAAGTTAGAGAAACAACTCGTGAACGCATGTTGGAGTTACCTGAGATATCAAATACCAGTGAGGAAATTGAAGAACCGCACGAATTGGTTGTCGAGGCAAGTGTCCATCCCATGCCAAAAGATTATGAAGATGAAGCTAAAGTTGAGCAAGTGGTGACAAGTAAAGAAACTGAAAAAAGCACAAGTGAATATATTAAAGATACATCTGAAGAAAAAGATAGAGATACTACAAAAGCAGAAAAAACAGTACAGCCAGAAGAAACGGTTAAAAGAAAAGTTATTGAAATTGTTGATAAAGAAATGAATGAACTTAGTGAAAAAATGTCACCTAAAGAAGAAGTTTCTATGTTATCTGAGCAGAAACTTGAAGAAAAAAAAGAAAATTTAGATAATCTGACTCAAGGAAGCAAAGATAAGACGTTGGTTACTGAATTAGAAACATCAAAACTTATAGAGGCAAGTGCTGAACAGATAAATGAAATAGCTCAAACAATATTGACAACAGGAGATAAAAAAGACGTAGATGAAGATATAGAAACGACAGTTATGGAAGAAAAAAACAAGATAAATGAAGAATTGAAACAGCAGCATAAAACAAAATTAAATCAAAGAACGAAATTAAAAAGACAGCCTACAAGTGCTGAAGAGTTTAACGAATCATTAGATGAAGAAGTTACTGTAAAAGATAAGAAAACGCCGGTAAGCAAAGTAGAACGTAAACTTAGAGACAAGAAGAAAATCTTAAAAGAAGATGAAAATACTCAAACAGCAATACCGAAACCGGAAGCAAAACAGAAAAAAACAAAAAGTTTTAAGAAAATTCGTGAAGATGTTAAAATTTCTGAAATGAAAACTAAACGCGCTGATGAAGAATATTATTCTAGTTCCTCCGAATTCCCCAGTGACTCTTTGGAACAGCCAAACAAAACGCACAAAAGTTTTAAGGTTCTGTCCGACAAGGAAGCTCGAGAACTTGAAAAACAAGCCAAATTGAAATCTAGAAAAGGCCAAGAGGAGAACAAACCTAGGTCTAAATCTGAAGAAACCAAATCGAAAAAACAACTTAGAGAAGAGAGAAGGGTTAAGATAAGCAAAATTCCTACGCCCACATTCCAAATGCCTCTTTCAAAAAGTGAAAGACATTTGGATAGGTTGGGCGATGACAGAAGGATACAATCCAGTATGGATACTAAGGTACCATCGTTACCTAATATTCATGATAGTTGTAGAGAACGGTAAGTACGAGTATGAGTGTAGTATATAGTTAAAAGATAGTACATGATTTTCTAATAAAGACTGTTTAGAGTCCGGTCGAGCTACCAAAATCCCTGTGTTTTTAGAAATGGAGCCTTTTTTTATGATTCTAAAATAATTTTTAAGGTGTTAATGTTGAAATTAAGCGTTGCAGTCGCTTCGAAAATTTTGGCATTTGGTTACTACATTAAATTATACCAGCAAAAAATAAAGGTGTAAATAAAAATATAAATAAAAATAATTCGATTTTCTAGAAAAAAAATTTAAATTTTAAATTTTGCTGTGAAAAAAAATCGAATTTTTTATTTATTAACTTTTTCCCCTTTTCTCACCTGGTACGGTTAGTAGACTTTTGGTAAAAATTCTAAATGCAATTTAATCCCCTTTTTAAGTTATTTTGTATTTAAAAAAAAATGGAAAAATCGTTTTTATTCTCACCCTGTATGTACTTTTTTTGACAAGCTATGTATACTAAAAATTTAACTAATCAATCTGCATCGGCAGGGGAGTGCCGCTCGAATGGCTTAAGTCATATCTTGGCAACAGAAGGCAGCTTGTGAGGATTGATACGTCTATGTCTTCTTGTAGGCCTATAAAATGTGGTGTCCCTCAGGGTCCAGTACTTGGCCCTATTTTGTTTCTGGTGTTTATCAACGACATTGCAAATCTAGACATTAGCGGTAAAATCTGCCTCTTTGCGGACGATACTAGTTTCACTTGGTGCGGCCCAGATGTTACGGCACTATATGATACTACACCATTAAATCTTGGTGCGATTCTAATCTCCTATGCCTCAACCTATCAAAAACTAAAGTTTTGTCTATAAAAGTACTATACAACCTTTTGTACTTAATAACACCACTATTGACGTCGTGGACTCTGTGAAATTCTTAGGACTTGTTGTAGACAAACCAAACGCTGCTTGGTTTTGCGCTTAGATCAGTTTCTAAGGAACTTAACTTATCAACCTCTAGAATAGCCTATTATGCATTTTTTGAGTCACATTTTCGTTATGCCCTTCCATTCTGGGGCACTTGCTGCGCAACAAAATTTGATCGTATTTTCAGACTTCAAAAGAGAGCAGTTCGATATTTATTGGGACTGAACAGTAGAACTCACTGTCAGAATTTCTTTAAAAATTTCAAAATACTGACTATTCCTTCTTTATTGATTTTTGAATCCGTTTGCTTAATCCGCAAGCACATATTTGCTATTCCCGAAAGGCCATCTCATAACTATCCACTTAGGAATGCGGAGCACGATCTTTATCTGCCAACCCCGAGTTCAGAACTAGTTAAAGGTTCAATACTGTACAATGCCGAAAAAATGTACAATCATCTGCCTTTGAATATCAAGTCGCTTTCATTCTTTCCCGCATTTCGCAATGCTCTAAAATCATACTTACTTGAGAGAGCCCTATATGCGGTAAACGACTTTTTTGTTGATGTTTAATTATGAACAATTTTGAATTTTAAAATTTTGATCATCTGACACACTGGTCAAGGGTCAAGTATTTAATATTTTATAACTCTTAAAATTATATCTATTTACTGCTTACTATTCTGCAATTGTCCATGTATGTTCATTTTGTAATTTTAATGACTTAAATTTTTTTGAATTGTTTGATTTGTACTGTGTATTTTTTGTTGTTTGTTTATTTTTTTTGTGCTTTTGTTTGTTTTGTGAGTGCTTTGTCGATGAAGCTGTTTTGGCTTTTTGCACAATAAAGCGTTGTTTGTTTGTTTGATCCAAGACCAAAAATCTTTCAAATCCAAATAAGTGAAATAAGCTCGATTTTGGTCAGGAAAATTTTTCGAAATTTTCAAGACACCGTTTAAATAAAGTGATTATAGGGATCCACTAGCCATTGGCGGAACTACAGTGGTACCTGGGGGGGGGCCGGTACCCCCGGGTACGACAGCTGTGCACCCCCAGAGAAATCTTGAATCACCACTCTTGGCTACGTATTAATTTTTATTTGCTTGTGATGTAAAATGTAGTTTTCAATTGTTTGGTAAAATTACGTTTTCTAGTTTTGTTTAGTTAAAATTATTTTGTTGTGTTCAAAAAATGCGTTAATTGTTATTTTTTAGATAATTTGTAGGTGTTTAATTAATCTACAGGAACATGGTTTGATAACCAAGTCTATGAAATGTATTGATAATGAAATTCATGTAAACGTTTTATTCAAAAAATGTGTTTTTTAATATTATTCTTCATTTTTTAAAGAACAAAAGACCTAGGCCTCCCAGGGGCTCAACTCCAGGCCTCCCAGGATGAATTTGTAATTACGACGCTAATGCCACTAGCTCTATCCGTAGATGCCTCACTCGTCGTTTAGCTACTTACCGTTTCCGAGATATTTGCGTTTTTTGACTTTGGCAAAATTTCAACATTAAATCGTTTTCTATCAGTCCTTATGAAAATATAAGTTAGTTGACTATCCGACGCGATGGTGCATAAATAGTTTCTTAGAATTGAAGTGTTTGGTAGATACGCCAAAAAAAGTTGAATAAAGCAAAATTTCCAAATAAATTTCCATCCCAAAATCGAGCTTTCCTCAATTATTCCGATTTGAAAAGATTTTTGGGCGTGGATCGATGTAGATTGGTTAGTTAAATTTTTTTAGTATACACAGTTTGTTAAAAAAGTACATACAGGGTGAGAATAAAAAAATAAAAACCACTATTTTCATGTTCGGCAATTTTCTTAAAATACAACATAACCTAGAAAAATAATATTAATAACTTATAAATATAATTTGGGGGCTAAATTATATTTATAATTCTTATATTAATGTCTTCATACCAGGTGACAAAGTGGAAAAACTAATAAATACTTTTTTTAAAGGGGTATATCCAGAAAATAGAAGAAGCAGGCTAGAAGACCTGGATTACGCAGACGATCTATGCATCTTTTCCCATTCACATTCGGATATGTCTCAAAAACTTCTTAGACTCCAAGTGGAAGCTAATAATGTCGGTCTTCAAATCAACGTGGCGAAAACCAAAGAAATGAGATCAAATACTCCCAACAACCAAGATCTATACCTCTCCAACCGAGCCATCGAAAGAGTTGATGAATTTCAGTACCTGGGAAGTATGGTTCACAGCGATGGGGGCAAAGAGAAAGATATAGAGGAAAGGATTTTCAAGGCACAAAGAGCTTTTGGCATGCTTACACCTGTGTGGAACTCCTCTATATATAGCAAAAAACTAAAATCCAGCTCTTCAATAGTAGTTTCAAATCTATTTTGCTTTATGGATGCGAAACATGGAAGGTTACGCGTGGTCTCATGGATCGACTACAGGTGTTTGTTAACAAGTGTCTTCGAAGAATATTGAGAATTTTCTGGCCCAATCAAACTAACAACGAAGAACTGTGGAGAAGAGCATCACAAAATCGAATAGATATCGAAATTAAGAAAAGAAAGTGGGGCTGGATTGGGCACATTTTGCGCAGACCCCACAGAGATATCGCTAGACAGGCACTTGAATGGAATCCACAGTGAAGACGTGCCAGGGGAAGACCAAGGAATACCTGGAGAAGAACAGTAACCTCTGAAGCCCAAGAGGTCGGGAAAACATGGGGAGAGATCAAACAGACAACTCAAAATAGGATCAGATGGAAACATCTCTTAGAAGCCCTCCACTAGCTCTATCCGTAGAGGCCTCACTGGTCGTTTAGCTACTTACCGCTTCCAAGAGGAAACATCTTATTTAAACCTTTATTTTTTTCTGCTGGTATAATTTAATGTAGCGACCAAATGCCAAAATTCTCGAAGTGACTTCCACGCATAGTTTCAACGTTAATACCTTAGAATCATAAGAAAAGGTCCCCTAAAAAACTCACGGGATTTTATACCATACTTATCTTGTTTGTTCTTATTCTAGATTTCTGCGAGAGCCTTTCAGACCTGACTCCAATTTGTCAGCTCCCATTCTCCCATCGGTTTACAGCGATAATGAGAGAGACAGCATGTCAGATTTAGAAGAAGACCCTCGATCAAGTCCTACAAAGAGGAAAAAAGTGAAAAAACGGCCTAGACCGCGACGCAGAGAGTCCAAAAGCGCAGGAAGCGACTACGAGAGCAGCAATTTGATAGATTCCGGATTTGAACCGAGTCCTCGAAGTAGCAGAATTCCGAAATGGAGGAATATGTCGAATAGAGGTGTGAACATGACCTCAGTGACGAGAAGCATACAAAACAATATCAGAAGGTATAGATATATTTTTTAAACAAAGTCCTATGGGTATTTCGCCACCGTAAGAAAATCTACAAAATAAAATAGTTTTTTTTTTGTAAATACTGCTGCGTTAATCCAACTTGTCAGCATCAGTGATTTACTAATAAACAAATTTCTCAGTAAAAAAAAAGCAAAAAAAAAACACAAAGAACAAAGAAAAAAGTTATTTAAAATATCTAAATACAACTATTATTTTTCAACATACTGGGTGCATCTCAAAAGTGGCTCACCCTTATAAGTTTTTTATTTTTTTCAGTTCACCAGATTTGGTGTGTTAGTATATGACATAAATTAGGATTGATTAACGTATTCAGTTGTTTTCGGTCACTTCCTGTTTCACCAGAAATTACTACAACTTTTGTTTTTTAAATGGCACCCTCGGTATTTTTTTACTTTATTCGATAGAAAATAACACTCTGAACAGAATGACATAGATATATGTCAATTTTTGACATTTTCGCATATGGTTTATTTGAAATTATAACTTCGTAGTTCGCAGTTCCTGACAAAAATATGACTCGAAATACCAAGTTTGTGGTATCAAATTATTCGTAAAAAAAATATTTTTCCAAATATGCTAATGAACCACCCCCGTTCCATTTGAAAAAATTGAGATATGATTAAAAATACGATTTGAGCATTTTCTAACTGGCCAGGACAAGACATTAAAACATTAGGCGATCAAATCTATTTTTCCAAGGCTCCTTGATTAAGAATTAGTGTTTTTAACATAGCCATAGCACTCTAGATTGAATTTTAAAATACGATTTTTTATTAAACAAGAATGTCAAAAGTTGACATATGATATGTCATCCTATTCAGAATGTCATTTTCTATCGAATAATGTAAAATATACCGAGGATGCTATTTAAAAATCAAAAGTTGTAGTACCAAATCAAAAACAATTGAATACGTCAATCAATCCTAATTTATGTCATATACTAACATACCAAATCTCGTTTTTTTATCTGAAAAAATAAAAAAGTTATAGGAGTGAGCCACTTTTGAGACGCACCCGGTATATGTCTATAAAAAATCATTGACATTCTGTTAAAATGGCATAATTATTATCAAGCTAAACTTCAAAATTTAGCACTTACTACCTAATAACAACTACTTCATGAGGTAAAACGAAAAAGCCCCAAACTTTCTGTATGATTATTTTTTAATTTGTTTTTAATTTTTACTTATGTAATGTTTATTAAAATCAAAGAAGCGATTGCCATACATTACTAACCTCTACAGATGCCTGAGCAATACATTTATTTTTAATAGACCTATTATATTATAATGTATTAAAAAGTCTCTTTTATTTTTCGTTTAGAGGCTATCGCTTCATTCATAATAATTTTTGCATTGTTATAATCTACTCTGTGCCCTGTGTCCCATGAATGCTGACAAATCTTAGATTTGCGAAAATCGCCCTTCCTTAAATAATCTTTATCTTCTTTAATTCGAACGTTTAAGAGTAGATGTTTCGCCAATAAAAAAATTATCACATTTACATGGTATTTTGTATATTACATTTTTTGTTTGTTGTCCAGTATTTATTGGTTTACTGTGAGTTAAAATGGATCTAAGTGTATTTTCTGTTTTGAAGGATGTTCGTATGTTACCTATATTGTTTTCCTATCCTTATTTTTTCCGAAACGCCTCGTATGTATGGAATTGTAAGTTTGTGTATTTAATGTGTGTATTCTGCCTATTTCGTTTGATGTTTTGCCAATAAAAGATGGTGGATAGTTGTCTTAAAACTTTGTTTAGTGAATTATTGTCTGAGCATATTGTTTTTGCCCTATCATGTAAACTTTTTATAACACCTTTTTGTACGCTTATACTGTGGTTTGATGTGAAATTTAAGTATCTCTCTGTATTTTTTGGTTTTCTGTAAACATCTAAAATTGGTTTATTTTGAAATTTTAACACTAAAACATCAAGAAATGACAAACTATTATCTCTCTCTACTTCTAAAGTAAATTTTATGGTTGGTTCACGAGAATTTATTCCACAAAAATGTGTCTATTTCGGAAACGTTATGTTGCCATATTGCAAAAATATCATCAACATAACGCAGCCATATTACAGGATTTTTTGAAAAACTATTAATTGTATTATTTTCAAAATCTTTCATAAAAATATTACTTAGCAAAGGAGAGCGAGGTGATCCTATTTGTTGTCCTCCATTTGCGAACTTCGAGTTCCGGGCTTTACGCCCTGGGGCTACTCGAGAACGGTTCTGAAAGGATCTGTGCGCGATAGCCTAATGCCTCCATATGGCGCGGAACAGTTCTGGAACTTTATGATTAAATTGAATGGGGTGAGAGTATTGCGTTCTTGAACAATTCAGGGCTGCACAACTGCGTGAATGGAGGACAGTAATTGCCATACCAGATCTTGTTGAAAAAAATTAATATTTTCATAGTATTCAATAGTATAGGTATTTGTTTAAAACTGTTTTTCTTTTTCTAATTCTATAATTAAGGTACCACTTGGAGCGCAAGATCTTCCAACATCTACTAGAACTGAAACGAAGTCAAATAAGAGCCGGTCAGCACAACGAAACTATGTTGGTTAAAAGGGCGATCGACCAATACAATCAGTCTTGTAGCTCTACAGTTGGTGCGGGTCGTTATATTCCTGACGATTTCACTTTTAAGAGTTTCGAGAAATTTCTTTATGAATCGTTGCGCAAGCTTCAAAAAATCGATGTGGAGTACTTGAAAGGACTGCCTACGTCATCTGAGCACGTTAATCCTCTTCTGTGTACTCAGAGTACTCACAGGTGCATGCATGCTACGCATGCTTATACTGGAATACCTTGTGCTGCATATTGTAAGTATTGTACTAGATTTGAGGTAAATAAGATAAATCTTAGTGTGCAAAACAAAGATATCCAAGATATAGAAATTATATGTAAACGGTTTATTGCTATACCGCGTGCGTCTGAAAAGTGGCTCACCCCTATAACATTTTTATTTTTTTACATAAAAAAACGAGATTTGGTATGTTAGTATATAACATAAATTAGGATTGATTGACGTATTCAACAGTTTTTGGTCACTTTCTGTTTCACCGGAAATGACTACAACTTTTGATTTTTAAATGGCACCCTCGGTATTTTTTTACGTTATTCGAAAGAAAATGACACTCTGAATAGAACATATATATTATATGTCAACTTTTGACATTCTCGCTTTGAAAAAATGTATTTTAAAGTGAGAGTGCCATGGCTGTGTTAAAACACTAATTTTTAGATAAAATAACTTGAGTTTTATTTTTTTCATTCTCTAATGTTTTTCATGTCTTTTCCTGGCCGGTTAAAATATGCCCAAATCGGGATCTCATTAATCGGTATCAACATTATCATTTTTTAATCAGTTTTTTCAAATAGAACCCGGGTGGCTCATTAGCATATTTGTAAAAAAGCATTTTTTTACGAATAATTTGGTACGACAAACTTGGTATTTCGAGTAAAATTGACGTTATGAACCGCATATTACAATTTCAAATGAAACATATGCGAAAATGTCAAAAGTTGACATTTGATTTGTCATTCTATTCAGGGTCCCATTTTCTATCGAAGAAAGGAAAGAAATACCGAGGGTGCCATGTAAAATCAAAAGTGGTAGTCATTTCCGGTGAAATAGGAAGTGACCGAAAACAATTAAATACATCAATCAATCCTAATTTATGTCATATACTACCATAACAAAATTAAATATCGTTTTTTTTATCTAAAAAAATAAAAAAGTTATAGGGGTGAGCCATTTTTGAGACGCACTCGGTATATAGCCACTAGGGAATGCAATCCCGCAAATGCTTGATCCCTCTGTGATTCCGCGGGATTTACCGTGCGGGATCTGCGGGATCGACACCAGGGGATTCCCCTTACGGCTTGGCCATTAAAAATAAGTGAAACAAACAGGTTAGTTATTAGATTTCTTTCTGGCGTGACGTGAAAGTGAAGAAAAGCGTTTAACTAGTACTTGTGGACAATTTCGTCAAATAAACTGCCGGACATAATTATCGGGACAAGCAAAATTTTAGGGTAAATTTAAAGTTGAATATCTCTTAAACTAAAAAGATTTTGGGATGTGGTTTGGACCAGGTTTTAGATGCATATTGTGATTATGCATATTTTTCGAAAAAAACTCGTATTTTCCTTAAAACAAAAAATTAAAAAAAAACACCAAATTGTTTTTTCTAATTTCAATACAGATTAGTCGTACATAGTTAAAATTTCGATTTTTCAAAAATTGTAAATTTTCGGTAAAAAAAATTCTTGATCAAATTTGTACACTATTATAAAACACTCTGTATACGAGAATTCGCTAAATATATTTTCGAAAACCACATAGCATCTTAATCACAATCGATGCGTCTAAAACCTGGTCCAAACCTCATCCCAAAATCGGAGAGAGAAAAGAAGAGCATTTATTGTTTACAATCCCGCAATTTTGCGGATCCGCGGGTTTGATTGCTTTAATCACGCGGGTTTGCGGGATTGAGATTTTGGTAGCCACTTATTTTTTTAAAAAAGATCATATATAATATTTATCAATTAATGATTATAGTATCTCATTAAATTATGAGCATTTTATAGCGAAATATTTATTTTTTATAGATATAGTCTGTCCAAGGACAAAATCCTTGACAGTTATAGATGTGTCTGTCATTTTAAATTAAGTCGTTTATTTTATTTTACAAAGAAATATGTTAGTACTATTGGAACGCATAGCATGAAATTATAAAATTTGAGTGACAAGTGGTTGCTTCAAAATATTTAAAAAAAAACTGTACACAACTGAAAAATCTAATCGAGTCATTCTTTTTTAAATTACTGTCTGTGTTAATACAAAACAAACAAGAGCGTATTTTATATAAAATACCACATACCAAAAAAATATTAAAAAGAACTATTTCTTACTTTCAAACTCGAAGCAACTTCCTGCAATTATTATTATATTTATCAATATAACTAATGTACAAATATTTTTTTTTAATATTGCACAGGAATAAATAAAACACAACATAAATAAAACAAAATATTCTATTAATACACTTACTGAATTTTATACCTTAAAAGTTGATTAATCAACTTTAATCTTATAATTTTTTTAAACCAGTACTTAACTTCTGACATTATCTTTCTGTAGAGTGCGAAAATCTGTTATTTACCTATCGTGTGATGTCGTTAAATTACAGCTACTCCAGTTTTAGTACCATATACGAGATGGTATACAAACTTCAGTACTGGTGGCTCTCTGGGCATCGAGTATTATCTATAAACCTGTGCCCTGGGTCTACAGCTAATAGTCCGGGAGGCAGCGCCTTTTTTTCAAGGACTTTCATCCCGGCTGAGTTTAATACAGTAGCACAAATTAACTATAACAGACGCGAAAGAACACCGAATTCCGCGTTCAGTCCAGTTCCACCTTCAGAAAGAGTTCATAGACAATCCGCATCAATGTATAGTTTGGGTATGTTAGATCATTATATCAAACAGCCTCTGAATGTTTTCTTTAGTGCAAAACTCATCAAAATTTAATATAAATAATTTTCCAGCCTGTAAATAAAATGAACAAATTTTTCCACTTTCATGATCAAAGGCTTTTAAATGGGTAAATAATATCGAGTTATCCAGAGATTCGATTTCTTTGCAAATTTTAGACAAATATCACATTGATGTATTTGAAGACCCTTTTAATGATGTAGTCAAACATAAATAAAGGCATTTTTGAGTTGAAAACATTTCTCAGAGGCTGTATGATATAATGAAAACTATTGAATTTGACCACCCATGTGAGAAATTTCCTTATTTACATCATTAAATGATTTATTAGATTGAAAATATTTGATGTATTATAAGTTTATTAAATTAAAGATTTATATAGATTTAAAAAGTCGAAAAAATAGAACCAATAGAAAGGTAACTATTTTGTCACATTGTTAATTAAATTTTGTTAAATAAATAAATTTTTTATACTATAAATAATATCTTATTTTTCCTTATAAATAAACACATTTGTATCCCATTTTAAATTTGATATACAAATTACCAAAACTTAGAAATAACAGTTCAAAAGTTCAACAAAAATTCTACACGCGTTTTTAGAAAGAAACATATAACCACGCACTATGTCACTCCAGCAGGCGAATACGACACAGCATGGGTTTCCGGACTAAACGACTGGTGTATTTACACCACTCAATAGGCGTGTCGGGTTTGCCGAACGGTTTCCGATGCAGTCGCTTTCTTTCGCATCTGTTATAGGTAATTTGTGACAGTAGGTTATACTCACATTCCATATGACGAAACCGACCGTCAGCCGGTCCAGTAGCGGTGGATGCGAGTGTGGGATGGTGCGATATTCGTAAAAAAATAGATTTCTGAAGTTATTTCATCCCGCGTGAAACTGCTTGTATGATGTTATGTAGTAATAAAAAACTCGCGGAGCGTCTCGACCGCGATGGAGCGGAGCCATCTGAAAGTGCTGATAGTTTAAACGTTAGACTGTTATTAGATCAGCCTCTGATAGTCTCAGCAGCGTTTTTATCATGACTTCGCATGACACCACGCGTCGCTTCTTGTTCACAGTCATTGGCATATTAATTATTTATTAAATATTAATAGCGTGCTGACAACTGTTACTTTTGGATCGGTATTTACATGTGTGGAAAGTAAATCGCATAGGGATCTTATTAAGTCGGAGTGAGAGAAATGCGACGGTGTGCTGTTGCGGCGTTGCCGGTACGCCTTTCAAGTAAAGTAAAATTACGATCGCAAACCGCTTATTTTTAAAATACTTTTTTTTTCGAAAAGATAACTAGATAAAATCATTAGACATGTTTCTGAGCATCTGAAATGGAATTATAAGGATATCGTTAGGGTGTCATTTTTTAGAGAGTACAAGAAAACGTCAGTAATCGCGATAATTTAAAAACTCAACTTTTTAACACATAACACGCCATAACTCAAGAACCACTTTAGATATTGATTTTTTTTTATTTTGAAAATCGGATCTTTTACAATATGTTTACATAAGAAAAATTCGATAAGGTTGTTTTTTGTCTATTCAAAAATTGTAAACAACCCATCCATTTACTTTTAGAACATATCGATTTTCAGCAATCATATTTTTATTGATAAAGATTTTCACATCACAAGAAAATACAGCAGAAATATTAAGCAAGCTTTTGAAAAAACTACAATCAATTATTTCTAATAGATTTCGAAATATCTATTTTTGAATTCAGAGTTCTAATAGCGCGACCACTGTCGAACACCAACTCAATTCCACTTATTTTTACCAAAAATGCAAGTGTTTCTAGCTTGCACTTAAAAATTTTCCAGCTATAGGGAAAATGACAACGACTCGTTGGTAGATAACAAATAAAGTATCACGAGATGTAATTATATCGTGAAGCTGAACGCATGGTGTACATCGTTCCCTAGAACGTACTGACAGAGGTATTAGTTTTGTTCGGGTTCTTATTATTACCGATTCTGAACCGTCCTAGAACTCTGCAGCGCATGCGTAAATGAAATGATATCTTTTTATTTAGCATAAAAAATATATAATACGCATCACAGTTATAGGACGGTTGAGAATCGGTAATAAGAGAAACCCGAAGTAAGCTATTGATTACTGATTGGGTCGACCGGTAAACTGCGACAAATCTGCTATATCCCCTTCCACGTCTCTTAGCAATGTGCACAGTTGCTCGGTTTATTCCATACGTTTGGCAAGCTGTTTACTTTTCTCTCTTTGTTCAGTACATTATAAACGCATTGTACTCTTCTTACATACGGAAATCTCGACCCAAGACTAACCTTTGCCTGCCCTTAGTATATCTGGTGTTATGGTATTCTGGTATATTATCCATATTAGAATAAATTAATCGTTTGTATTTCATTTTTTATTCGAAAACTTATATATTTTTTATTAGATACTGATACCTTAGAATACTGATAAAATAAGGTAATTAAGGGCTTACTTTTTCGTATTTATTATATTTTTGCTAATATCTTTGGTTTGGAAAAAGATATCCAGATGGGATTTGGATAGAATTGTGAAAATATACGTCAGCTGATTGCCCATTGGGGGAAAAGCCGTCAGTCAGACTATGAAAAATTCCGCGCGTCGTATAAATGTATGCGCGCGCTAATACAATTTTGCTCTGACTGAGGGTCTTACCACCGCTAGACACGCAGCTGAAGGTAATTATTATATTTCTATATAAGTACGAAATCATGTGTAAAAACGGGATGAAATAATAATTTAAATTTCGTATTTATTTCTCAAGTTCAGGTACCCGACTGACGTATTTTCTACCCTTAGCTGATTGGGTGACGGTCGTTTTTTATTACTATATAACATTAATATTACATATACAAGCAGTGTCACGCGGCATGAAATAACTTCAGAAATATATTTTTTACGAATATCGCATCCTCCCACGCTCGCACCCACCGCTTAGACTGAGGCTGACGGTCGGTTTCGTCATTTAGCATATGAGTATAACCTACTGTAATAAACTCAGCCGGGATGAAATTTTTTGAAAAAAAAGTCGCTGCCTCCCGGACTATTCGATTTTTCCTCCACTTAACTTCAAAAAACACAAAACACACGAAATCACAGAAACCAAAATGCAAAAGCAATTCGCAAATATTTGACATAATTTTACACAAATTATAACTTATAATTTGGCAAGCCCCAAAAATCTTAAGTCGATTTCATATGCATCTGCGTCCGTGCATCATTCATCGTTCCGTCACACCAATAATATTGAAATATCATCTGTCATTTTTGAAATAAACCAGTAAAACTGGTTACTTGACTAATAAAACAGAGCATAGTCTTAATTCATATTTTATACATATCTTCCCCGAGTCCTTTGACGGACTATAATATAGTAATCCAGTCATCTTAGTCGAAATAGGGTAGGAATCTCGGAATTCAAGATAACCGGTTGTAAACTCGTATAAACCTTTATTTTAACATCCTAAAACATGTCTCAAAACCTACATATGATAGCATGTGCGCGACTTGTAGATGACTGAGGTCAAAAGTCAAAAAATCGATTTTTTGTGCATTTTTTGCAAATATCTTGTTTCCTTTCACATTTACGCTATTTGTATTTATCATAATATTGTAGAGGATAAAATTCTCTACAACTTTTGTTTCAAAAATGTTTTGTACCTTAAACCGTTTTTGAGATAGAGGGCGGTGAGCGCGCAGTCTTTCATTATGTACGGTATCATTCACGTTCAACCTGTAGTCTCGGTCAAAAACACGCCGTATAAAGTCCGTTAATTATTGAAAAATATATAATTATAAATAATTTACATTTTTTCATAAAAGATCATATTGAATATAATAATTTTTTTCATAAATTAAGTATATCTTCATTTAATAACACTTACCTCTTTGTATAATTAGAAAATTATTAACAGAAATACTTTAATTACATTTTAATTACAGTTAGATTTATACTAATTACATTTTAAGTAAATAAAAAGACAAGAAATACACTTTTAATTTATGTCTATTAAAAAATACGATTTCATACATTTCTCATGGTTGAAATAAAAAAAATTGAATAAAAATAAAAAGAACTCCCATGTTCTTATTTTTAGTTTTCTTCTTCTTCTTCTTCATCGTCGTCTGGTCGTTGTGGAATTTCAAATTCTTCTTCATTTTCATCTTCAACGACATTTGTCTCCAAGTCTTCTAGGATTTCGGGGTCAAATGTACCATCTTCATTGACATCACTCTGATAGGGAGCTATTATTATTATAGATTGCTAGCAAAGTTCGCACTCCATTCTCAAATAACCTTTGAACCGGACAGTTTTCGTCTTCAAATGCTGCAGCAAGTTGATCCAAATCCGAAAGTTTTTCAAGTGTTCTTACAAAAGTTTTTTTTTTCGTTTTTTTGAAGAGCGCAGACGTCGTGTTACAGCCACTCACTGCGTGCAGAAACAAAATATGTTTTTTCAAACGAGGATATTTATCAAAACTTTTGGAAGAGTATATTTCAGTTTTTAATAAATTAAGATGACAAGCAAATCTATATCTTCTCCTATTATTACTTCAGTGTTTCCATGTTTCGATTCTTCAATAGCGGTTTCAATAATTAGAACAGCTGCATCATTTGTGGCCTGTGTTGTTTTGATATCAAAAGCTTTCAATTTTTCAATCAGCATATTAATAAGCTTTTCTTTATTATTTCGATTAGATAGAAATTTTTCTTAGGGTAACAGGTACAACCATCGTTTTGTCTAAACAAACTTCGTATGTTTTAGAAAGTGCAGCAGTGCTCCTTAGCTGCTCCATGGCTTTTATATTTTTAGAATAGTCTGAATATCCATCAAATACAACAACAATGTCTGAATCATAATGCTTTTGTAAATACTACAGGTTGAACTTGAATGATACCGTACATAATGAGAGACTGATAATGCACTCACCGCCATCTCATAAACGGATTCGGGTACAAAAAAATTTTTGAAACAAAAGTTGTAGAGAATTTTATCCTCTACAGTATTTATAATAAATACAAGTAGCGTAAATGTGAAAGGGAACGAGATATAGTAGGTTTTGAGACATGTTTTAGGATGTTAAAATAAAGGTTTATACGAGTTTACAGCTGGTTATCTCGAATTCCGAGGTGAAACCCCTAAGATGACTGGACTATAGATATTTTTTAAAATACACTGCGATATTCCCTGATTTTTTTTTTCAAAAAGGACTACCATTTATACTGAGAACTTTGTCAGATTTTTTTTATTTTTCTTTTTCAGTGCCAAAAATAGATCATCATAATATTCCAAAAATAGGTTTCGGAAATTCTACAGTTTGTAGACCCGGTGGAGTTCTACCCAGCATCAACAAGAAGAAGACCGTGACATTGGAGCTAAGCCACGGAGCTGACAAGCAAGTCATTTCACTGCCAACTGATAAACTAGACCAAAACAAACGATACTACGTTACTTTTACTGTCAAAGGACAGGACAAAGGGTCTAGTGATGATACTGCCAATGGAAATGGACATATACACTCAAAAAGCGTTTGAAAAATGCAATTAGATATATTAACGTTTTTTTTTAAAGAATTATTAGTGTTCAAATGCGATTTTTGATATTAGATATAACAAAATACATACCCATCGGTGCGTTATCTGGCAGATATAATTTTAGTGGTAATATTTTTTTATACAGTACATATTATTTTTTTTTACCTTTTGTCACTCTACCTGTAATTTCATACAATTTGCTATTTCTCATAAAAAAAAATGGCTGAGCATGATATAGGATACAAGATTTTTTTTGAAATTTGCAGCCTGAAATATGTACTGATAGACTATTTGAAGTAGGATATAGATATGCAACCAGTAAAATACCCTGTTTTAATCCATTTTTATCTTCTGAAGATTCCTGATGTGTAATCTTTAAGTGTGGTTTTGATGAATACAATTTAAAAAATTATTTGTAAAAAAATATAGGGTCCAATCCAGTGTGCATATCATATAAAAATTAAACGTCATCAAAAGAATTGACTATCATATCCATATACATTGAGAATGTCAGATACTTACGTAATATAAAAAAACAGGATACTTTGTTATAAATACGTCTACTACCTTTTATGTGTTATGTTTTTAGGTGTGGACTAAACAATTTATTATCATTAGATATATAAATATTTTTATTTAAATAATAAAAAATTTGTTGAATATTTTCAAAGTTTAATAAATGTTTTAGAATTCCGAAATTAGTTTTTATTAATTTTTGTAGTTTATTTTACTGTCTAATAAATTATAAAATAGAAATTAAAATATTCTTTGAAATGACAAATCGATCATAACTTCTGTTGTTTTTTATTAAAAATTGTAATGAAAAATTGTCAAAAATTAATATTTAATTTTAATTAATTAAAAAACTCTAAGAAAAAGGTAGATAGAGAAGGAGGTTTTTGCGCCCTCCACACGGTGGAGAATGAAACTTTTTTCTTTTTCTCATTTAAATATTAATTCTTAACAATGTTTATATGCCATATTTTAATAAATGACTGATGAGGGTTGGTTCGACGGAAAATCACCAATTGACATTTCAAAAGGCACTGTGACGTAGCATATTATTTATATTTATAGCATCTTCTAAACAAAATAAAGCTATAAACAGCGTCTCTGTAATTGATTAAGCGAATCACTAGATATATTTTTCTCATACAGGGTGTTTCCTAAGTAGCCTAAAAACTTTTAGGGTATGATTCCTCGTATATGCTTTTAAGAAAAAAAGTTTATTCGCACATGGAGTCTAAAGTACATGATTAAGTAGTAATTTAGTTAGTTTCTGATTTACAGTGTGTTAAAAATTTAAAGTAAAAAACTAATTTCTCGCAATATGTTACAAACTTCTTTAGATATTCTTCTTCAATTTTGGTATGTGCTGTCCAGGTATAAAAACAGTTTTTTAGTTAATTTTCTGTTGTTTTTCCATTTGAATCAGTGGCGTCCGTACATGCACCACCTGGATTATTTGATTAAAATAAATGATACGCCATTGCTTTTTTTCGAGAAAATATTTTTTCTTGATTGTCTATCCTTCATGAAGATTAATCCCTTGAATTCTTATTGTACATTGAATGTTTTTTGAGAAAAATAAATAAATCAACTACATTACGCATCTTAAATTGGCTAAAATATGATAGATAAGATATCAATTTTGTTAAAAAAAATATTAATAATCAAGAAAAAAAATGTTTTTTCAAAAAGCATTAACGGCTTACCATTTATTTTAAGCAAGAAATTCAATTTTTTAGAATTTTTTTAAAACCCTGTAGATGAGAAAGAAAGTACTTTAGAATCCATGTTCTTCCTCTAAGAGATGTCGAGACCTTGTCGTTGGTAGGGGAAGCTCCTGGTCAGGTGGTATGGGGAATGCCCTGTGGCACTTTGGCTGGGTCTAAGGAGTATCTCATTGTCTTGACTCTGGCTGTAGTGTCGTGGCCAGGGAATTGCACCAAGACGTATAACGATGCCGGATATCAGGCATCCTCTACTGTCTGTCAGTCACGGGCAGGGAGTGTGGGGGGTCTTGGTTTAACCGCCCGGACCAAGATGCACAACCTCATCAAAAACCTAAATCGGCGGGACCAGGTCAAAGGGATGCGTGGCTAGATAGAAGACTATCCATCACCGGTCTCAACATTGAGACACCAAGGGGCAACCTATTGTATCCTTGTTCCCTTTACTTCTACATATGCGGGGCTCTGTAGAAGTGGAACAACTAATATTTGCGGTGTATCACTACCTTTGCCAGAACTCCAATGAAAGGACATGGAGTTGGCGAGTCATCAAGTCGAGGGAGGTCATGGTCAGGTCCTCACAACAAGAATTGACCTCAAATCAAAGGAGACAGTAGAGGAAGAGATATATCCTCTATTATAGGTGCGGGACAACACCGGTATTAGGTCTAAGAAGAGACCAAGTTAAAGAGTTGGAGAAAATGGAGATTGATCTTCTCGCCTCCACCTCAAGGGTCAAGCCCCAACCAAGTCGGAGACACACTTCTCTGAAAGGTGATAGGCACGGAGGATCAAACCCAACCGTGGAAGGGTGTATAGTGTATACCCTCGTAGGAGGTAGATGTCCACTGCACGGAAGATGAACAGCTGTTGTCAGAGGAGGATGGAAAATACTTTGGGAAATACCCTGTCCTCCCTACAACAAGATCCTCATGTATGATGAGTTATAGATTGTGTGATGAGTTATAACAAGGTTATAACTCAAGAAAAGGAGATATAATAGATATTTACGGTCGCGGTGATTAAACCCCTTTCCACTCATTTTACATTCTAGAATCCATGTTCATATAAACTTTTTGTCTCAAAAACATATGAGAAATCACATCTAATTTTTTTAGACTAGTTACTTATGAAATACCCTGTATATGACATATAACACGCCTGGTATATCTCATGGGTCCGCCCCCTTATATTGATATAAAAAATATCTAATTTCCCCATGATGTCTTGAATTAATTGACCCCACAGCAGACCAACAAGACATCAATAATTCACCTAGTTACCATGGCGACTCATAATAAATACAACACCAGAAGTGTGACCACCGTATAGCATTCAGTGCAAAAATAATGGTCTAATGGAGAGATGGCTCAATGGTAATAAACTGTGGCTGTTTGGTAATCAAGTGCAACTGCTTTCTAAAAGGTGAGTGTTTTTTTAATTTTTTTAAACAAGGGCAAACAAAACATTATTTCATTCAATTTTTTTATTTTTTCTAAGTTAAGTCAAAATTCAAAGGAAATTTTTTAGAAATTAAAAAAAATGTATAAATAATTCTTATAAATAAATACTTTTAGTCGGGGTTGGCATGATTTAAATCAAGTGATGTTTATTTTAATCATGCGATTTAAATAAAAAAAATCAAATTTTTTAAAACTTTAAAATAAATCGTAAAATAACTGTAAAAGTTGTAAAAATGTATCTTAGAAAACTATAACAAATATTTCTATAACAGATATACCCTATATCTATTCATCAAAAAAATTGTTACACTTGAGGTTTACTATAGCAAAAATGGTACTATAGTATGGTATATGGTATGGTAGTATGGTATAGCAAAAAGACGTTACAAAATTTAAATACTTTTAATAAATAGAAAAGTAATTGTAAATGTTATAAAACTATAAAAAATATTTGTATAACACATACATATACCTAATTCATGTCTATTCACCAATTAAAATGTTGGTCCGATTTTTGAAGTAATTTCGTGTGACTCCATTATAATAGACCTTTAAACGGCAGACATTTATTTTGAAATTTATGTATGTGACAAAAATCCGCTGTTCGAATACAATTATTCATTTGCAAACTCTGTTCAGTGCAGAACTATAATAGAAGAACTTTCTGATGTTAGACTTTAGACTATTCGTTGTCAGAAAATATGCTATTTTATATAATTTTTGAAACAGCTGTATGATGATCAAGATAACTTCTCCCTTCTTCAATTTATCATCTAGTTCTACCAACCCAAATTTCTACCGACATTTCGACCTGCAGTAAGTACTTTAGACTTTGACATTAGATAATACTAATTTCATTCTCGACTTAAGACTATTTCCGAACAATAGTGTATTGTTTTATTAGGAGTAAAAGTTTTACTTGTTTTGACGAGGCTGTACGTTTGACGGACTAGCGTAAAGCAACAGAAAATGTTTAAAAAAACCGCGTCGTGATAGCCTTTGAAATGATAATGGTAGTTTTTGTGGGGTAGATTTATTAAAACTTAACAATTTTTTGTGCCTTGAAAACTTCATAATATTTTTTAAATTATTTTATAATTTTCAATAAGTTTCTATGTCAATTTTTAATAAATTATATACAGGGTGAGTCTTTTCAGGACTAATAGATCTTGATAAAAGAAACATATTTTCCCTTTACCGTTTTTCAAATCAGTCCGAGTTATTTTAATTTAAAAAGTTAAAAAAATTAATTGTTGTCTCGTTTTTGCCTAAATTTTGAGTGAATGGATTTTTTTTGTGTTCGCGTTCCTCTTAATTTAATATAGTAACTATGTTGCCCTATTATCAATATATTATGTTTAAAACCTAAACGAAAATTAATAAAAGAGAAAAACAGGAAAGACGACAAAAAAGTAGGGTAAGACAGAAAAAAAAATCAAATACAATTCTGCATATGATGAAAATTTTTAGTTGATAGTTTAAAACTTATTTCAGTATCCGTAATAATATAACTTCACAAAAATGTAATGGTTTTTAAAGATAAATGCATTTTTTACATGAATTTAATTCCAAAAGCGAGGGACTCGGTATTATGTCACATGAAATATATTTCATTGTCATGCGATCATCATATAATCAATAAAAGCTGAAAGCAATTACTCAGTTCAGCAGTCATTATACTACTTTTTTCTAGGAAAAAATACATCAATCAAAATTAAAAAAATCTAAAAATAATGAAATGTAAATGTTTAATTAAATACATGAAAAGATGGGATATAGTCTAATAAAAATATTCATTGAAATCAAGCTACAATGGATTTATTAATTCTATAGTGTATAATAACACATTTTTTTAGCTAGCATTAATGTGTGAAGTAAAAAATCAATGTGCCTATTCCTTTTGGTTCAAAAAAAAGTCTGAACAAAGAAGAATTACCTGCTTCTATTTTTAAAAATATGAATTTTTACTAAGAAAGTCTTTTGAAAAAAAAATATCATGGTATAATTCCTGAATATAATGTAGTTGTTTGAAAGATTTTGACAATTTAAAGTCCTGTGTTACAAGATAAAACTTCATTATTAAAAAATATACAGGGTGACTTTCAAATAAGTGCAAATCTTTTCTGGGGTGGTAGGTCTCAAAAGTGATTCACCCATATAACTTTTTTATTCTTTCAGATAAAAAATATATGGTTTATTTGAAATTGTAATATGCGGCTCATAAAGACAATTTAACTCAAAATACCAAGTGTGTGATACCAAATTATTCGTAAAAAATGCTTTTTCCAAATATACTAATGATCTTTGTTCCGTTTGAAAAAAAAACTGAGATATTATTAAAAATCCGATTTGAGCATCTTTTTACTGGCAAGAACAAGACACGAAAAACATTAGAATCAAATTTATTTTTCCAAGGCTCCTTGATTAAAAATTAGTGTTTCAAACACAGTCATGGCACTTGACATAGATTGAAATTTAAAATACAATTTTGTTTTAAGCGAAAATGTCAAAAGTTGACTTATGATATGTCGTGATCAGAGTGTCATTTTTTATCGAATAAAGTAAAAATATACCGAAGGTGCCATTTAAAAATCAATAGTTGTAGTCATTTCCGGTAGTACTGGAAGTGACCAAAAACAATTGAATACGTCAATGAATCCTAATCATTGGCGTAACTACAGGGGTGCTCGGGGGTGCCGCCCACCCCCCATGTACTGCTGGGCACCCCCAGAGAAATCTTGAATTTTATGACCCTTGACTACATATTCATTTTTATTTGCTTGTGACTTAATAAAAATGACGTTTTCTAGTTTTGTTTAGTTATTATTATTTTGTTGTGTTCAAAAAATGTGTTAATTTTTATTTTTTTTAGAAAATTTGTAGGTATTTAAGTAATCTACGGGAACACGGTTTGATAACCAAGTCTATAAAATTTATTGACAGAGAAATTCATGTAAACGTTTTATTCAAAAAATGTTTTATAAAATTATTTTTCATTTTTAAAAAAACAAAAGCCCTAAGCCCCCCCTGGGCTCAAACCCAGGCCCCCACCAGGCCCACCCCAGGTTAAATTGCTAGTTACGTTAATGATCCTAATTTTATGTCATATACTACCATACCAAATATCGTTTTTTTATCTGAAAAAATAAAAAAGTTATATCTAGGAAAATAATTTTAAATATGTAGTGATATTATACATGCTAGAGAAGTAAAATAAAGTAAAATTATATTGTTAAATTACATTTTCGTGATTTATATTTCCTCACGCTATTCGAAAAATACAATTTTCTTTGCTTTCTAACGACACGATATTAAAAAAGGTCAATAATTGAAAATTCAATATCACAATGGTTCGGACCTTGACTCGAGGAAGGTCTCGTTTTAATATTTTATTTTCAACCGCACTCTATTTACCGTAGAACTAATATTTTCGATCGATTTCTTTTAAATAACCAATATATAGTTACTTTTAGGTTTTATAAAATATAAATTGACTCAATCCATATTAACTTTCACTTGCTGAGACTTTGATTGATGTTGTTTTAATTACAATGGCAAAAACATTACAGTTTTTTAATAGATTCTTCCACTTGTATGTAGTTTATTTAAACTAATTTAAAATTTGTACATTTTATTAAATGATTTCAGAACAAGAACATCTTCAAAAGTTATGGAAAGGTATGAGAAAATCAGCAAAATAGGTGAAGGAAGTTACGGAGTGGTATACAAATGCAAGAACAGAGATACTGGTGAAATAGTGGCCATCAAGAAATTCACTGAAAGCGAAGAAGATCCCGTGATTAGGAAAATAGCCTTAAGAGAAATAAGATTATTGAAGGTATGTCGATTAATTTGCTAGACATTAATAGGATATAATAATATAAGAGGATATAATTATGTATTAAGATTTATTTTTCATATCAATATAGGTCCGATTCGTTTTCAGTAACTACGGGGGTTAAAGTAGCTACAAGTGCTTTTAGTGATTAGAATGAAAATTTAGGGGGTAAAAGTTATTGTGAGTGCTACATACAGGGTCCGGCAATAGTGCGTCGGGCATCTGTTGCTCCTAGAATATGAAAGTTGGTAATTTTGTTTAAGTGTAAACCTAAAGTATGTACGAGGATGTATTTCAAAAAAATATTTATAACTAATAACTTCGATGGGGTGGCTCAAAAAAGTGTCAGTGTATCGGGATAATTTTTTTTAATGGAACACCCTGTATATTAATGCATTTTTGGCTTCCTTTCAGATCACTTGATATAATCCTAAGATATGAGTAAATGATTCGATTAGTTTCAGAAATATTAATAAATAAATAAAAAATATATATTTTTAACCTTTCTTTAAAAAAAATATTAAAAATACAAGAAATGTCCTGAAATCAAAATTATATTAAATATTTACTTTAGGTTGCCTATACTTAATTTTGCTATAAATATAGTAATCGTAAATCATACAGGGTGTTCAAAATTCTACGCCAAACTTTCTAAAATATAAAATAATTTTTCTTTGTTTTTTTTTTAAATAGAATACCGTGTATATTATTTTTTATTAGAGTTAAAAAATGAACAATTTTTGGTTTTAAAGTATTCCAAATTTTTAATGGTTTCGCAGTAAACCGGTTTTTTCAACGGTAAAATACGAAAGAAAAATCATTGGGTGGCTTTAATAAAAATTTACTATAGAAAATGCCATATAAAATAGAAAACCGCAAATATCTGCGAAACTGATAAAATTTTTGAAATACTCTAAATACAATTAATGTTCATATTTTAATTCTTCATCTATCGAAAAAATAATATACAGGGTGTCCCAAAAAAGGAAGAAAAAATATTTTATATTTTAGAAAGTTTGACGTAGATATTTTGAACATCCTGTGTGATTTACGATTACCATTTTATAGCAAAGTAACTACAGACCATATAAAGTAAATACCTAATCTAGTTTTGATTTTAGGACAGTTCCTGTATTTTTAGTATTTTTAAGAAAGGTTGAAAAATATATATTTTTTATTACTACTCCTATCTTAGAATTATGTAAAGTGATGACTTTTTTGAGCCACTGTATAGAAGTTAAAATATTTTCTTGAAATACATCCTCCTACATACTTTAGGTTTACACTTAAACAAAATTACCATTTTTCTTATTCTAGGAGCTACAGAGATGTTTGACGCACTATTGCCGGACCCTGTATTTTAATGCTAAAAGAAGTGTCGACATATTCACCAAGGACCAGTATATGGGATATCACTGTAGTATTTTTCTAAAAAACATGTGCGCCACCAGAGCTGAAAGCTCACAGAAAACTTCTTTTTTTAATTTAAATCATTTTAATGATTTAAGTCATTTGATTTTAAGTCATTTTTCGAAAGCTGACTTAAGACTTAAAGTTTAAGTCTTTTTCAAAATGATTTGTAATTTAAAACTTTATTCCGAAATAGATAAAGATTTAGGTCTTTTTAGAAGAGACTTAAGTCACTAAAAAGATTTAAGTCTTTTGATAAAAGTCAGATTTTTATGTATTTTTATCATAAATTTTTAACAGCAGCACCTATTTATAAACCGTGGCGCCAGCCAAGCAGCAGAATAAAATACAATGCTCAGAACCACTAGTAAATAAAATTTTAGTTTTTCGAAACCGGTTTTAATTATTTATCGTGGTACGTGTGCGTAGTGAGTCTGTTGTCTTTCAAGTGAATTCCCGACTAAGAAGAAATTACTATTCCCGAACTAAAGAAATTTATCTCGAATATATTGAAGAGTACTTAAGAGTAAGAGTACTAATAAAGATATATTGCATAGTGATCAAAACATAGACATGTATTTGATGACATCTAAACTGTAATGGATACATTAAAGTACTACAAAATCGGTTAAATTTGATAAAAAACATATTTTTGTGTTTGTAGTAATTCTGAAAATTAACCGTTTTATTTTATGTGGTTTTAGTCGCATCTGTACCTATAATATGCATGTATATGTATGTATGTACCTAAAATATAAATTAACTAGCGTGTACCAGCGACTTCGTTCGCGTCGAATTAATCATTTGTAATGGTGATAATAAAGCAAAGCAGGAATTTCCATTAACATGCAAACTGTATAAAATTTTCTCACATTTATGTCAGCATGAGAAAAAACAATATGGCGATATTATTATATAACTTGGTAAAATTTGAGGGGTAGTTTCATCTCGTTGGTATTTGACTTTCGAAAAATCCGTTTGCCAAAAATAAGCTTTTTGCGTCAAGCAGTTTAAGCAGAATCGTTAAGAAGTTACCCAACTTTTTGGAACACACTGTATGATTTTTTAAAAAATTTCAAAATATGTAAAAAAACCAAATAAATTATGCTTGTCCGAGCGTTTTCCCGAAAGACTAACCGTTTTTTAAATAACATATATTGTAATATCTGAGGGGCGTTTTCACCCTCTTGGAATTTTATATTCGAGAAACCCCTCCTTATCGAACTTCTACACCCCACAGTCAATCCGTTTGCCAAAAATCAGCTTTAAACGTCAAGCAGTTTAAGCAGAATCGTGATTACTCAATGGTCATATTTTATGAAACACCCTGTATAAATTTATAAAAAATCTTAAAATATGTAAAACAACAAAATAAAATATACGTGTTTAAGAGTTTCTCCGAAAAACTCACCGGTTTTTAAATAAAAAATATTTTAATATTTGAGGGATAGTTTCACCCCCTTTTTTTCGCCACCCCCAGTTTCGAAAAATCCCTTCTTATCGAACCTCTCGAACGTCAAGCGCTTTAAGCAGGATCGTGATTAATCAATGACCAGATTTTTCGAAACACCCTGTATACATCTTTAAAAAATCTTCAAATATGTAAAAAACAAAATAAAATATACGTGTTTAAGCGTTTTTTCGGAAACTTGACCGTTTTTTAAATAAAAAATATTGTAATATTTGAGGGGTGGTTTCACCCTTTTGGAACTGGAATTTCGAAAAATCCCTTCTTATCGAACCTCTACACCCAAGAATCAACCTGTACGCCAAAATTGAGCTTCTTACGTTGAGTTGTTTGAGCAGGTTCGTGATTAATCAGTATGTCAGTCACATATGGATTTTATATATTAGTATTTATAATATAATACCCTTTACTAAGAAAATCGCTAATTGATAATACAAGAAAATTAATATCAAGATTTAAAAAAAAGTACTTAAATTGAACTCTGGTTATCTTGACTTGAGGGTAATTATATTGATATACAGGCAGTCCTCGTACTTGAGGCAGGTTAGGTTCTTCAAAATAGCGCCTAAACGACGGACGTAAGTCGAATCTTATTTTGTCATAAGATCCTATAGAAAATGGAGAAGTTAGGTACTTTTGTAAGATAAAAATACGATAAAACAAAGAGATGTGCGTTTGTATATATTAATATTATTGTATTTTTAAATAATTGAGGTATGAGAAACAGTGTATTGTACTGTAGTTAAACTTATAATAATACAAGAAACAAAAAAAAACGAAAAAAAAACAAAAATATAAAAAAAGTTTTTTTTTATGAAAAACAAATTAGGGCGAGTATTTTTACAGTCCTGGCTTTTTCATTATCTAATCAAAATAGTATTTTTAACTATCCATATAATAGTAATTATAATACATATACTAATATGACAACTACAGAAATACCAGAGAGTAAAGTAAACATATTTAGAAAGTATATATTTTTTTTTGGTTGGAACTTTTATTGTTGGTATCGTCAAAAGTCGCAATAGTAGCTAATTAAGTAATGATCAACACTGTCTCGCTTTTTCATTATGAGGATCTGTCAACCCTGCTTGTAAGACGTAACTCGTGGGACGTAACTTTGAGGAATAGTGACAAAAATTTGTTCGACGTAACTCGAAACGACGTAACACGAAACGATGTAAATCGAGGACTGCCTGTAAGTCATTTTACTGAGTTAACTTGCAGATCATCATGATTTAAGTCAAAAGTATAGGCTTAAGTCATAAAAATGACTTAAATAACGTTATACTGCTTTAAGTCTTTACAAAAATGACTTGACTTGAAATAAAATGATTCAAAGACTTAGGACTTAAGTCTTTTTAAAACTGACTTGTTGCAGCTTTGTGCGCCACAAAATTGTGTAGGCCGTTTAATGCCGATTAAAAGTTGTCTCTTAATATGTTGCCGATTTCGGTCTCTTTCATGAGATAAACGCAATTTTATTAATCACTGTTAATAAAACTAAATTAAAAATAACATTAAAAATTTGTTTATTATTATTTTATTAAAATTTTTATCACTGATGTTTAGTGCTACCTACAGGGACTAATAATCCATAAAATAAATATACATCAAATTTACTTCCAGACCCAAACAAGGGTAGTTATGAAAACGACTCTTCTTTATTGTAATGTCACTTTGTTATTCCTTCCCATAATCTATTTCATTTCTACAGAACTTGAAGCATACAAACCTAGTCAACTTGCTTGAAGTATTTCGAAGAAAAAGACGATTGCATCTAGTGTTGGAATTTTGCGAAAAAACGGTTTTAAACGAACTAGAAAAATATCCCCGAGGCATACCGGATCTTATGGTGAAACAAATAATCTGGCAAACTATACAAGGGGTATCATATTGTCATCAACATGGATGTATTCATAGGGATATCAAGCCAGAAAATATTCTGCTGACTTCGACGGGTGTCGTAAAACTATGTGATTTTGGATTCGCCAGGATGTTAAGTAAGAATATTTATATGTACTGATTTTTTTTTGGTTGTAGTAACATTAGTATCACTATAAATTAAATCTAAAAATATTATAGTATTAAGGAAATACATGTACGCCTAAACTACAATTGAGATACATACAACTGTGTCATTAAAAAGATTAAGATATTTTCTAACTAAATGAGAAGCAAACAACTTATCTTGCTTTATTTTCAGAATTATAATGAACTATAGTGCCACCTGAAGTAGTAAAGTGACAGTTATATTATACAGGGTGTACCAAATATTCCGTCGACATAGAACTACTACGTATTTCTGGAATCAAAATAAATTAATTGGACACAAAGGTGCTTCGTTTGTTCGTTAGAGGGCATCAAACTTTAAAAAAATAAACACATTTTTTCAGATATTTTAAGAAACGTTATTCCGATTTGACTGAAATGTTGGGAAACATTTGACTTTCACAAAAATCAAGAAAAGGTACGGGAAGAGTGAAAACTACCCTTACCTCTACATAAATTTTAGTATAAATATTTTCCAACTCAATCGACGACCGATTTTTTTTTTCGTAAAATGGTTAAAAAAAATGTAGTAAATACTAGAGGCATAGTAGAAGGAAAAGAGTAGTTGCACCCTCCCAAATATTTTCTGCCAGTTTTTACAATCTGTCGAATATCGGCAGATTGCAGAGTTTTTCAGTTGAGTTCCGTCCGTCGACCTGCGAGGTTCGAGCGTTGCGTCCCAGCACAGAGACCAGATTGAGAAAAAATGAGTGCCTCGGTGTGCTGCTATTGGTTGTACTAATAATTCAAAAAATTGTGCTTTGAGTTTTTTTTTGAGAGTCATTTGTGATGTTTGTGTTCAGGTTAATTTTCTCATGACTGATTATTACTTAATAATATACAAAACTTAATAATTTTTTTAATTTAAACCTCAACTTTTTTATCGATTTTACTTTTGATAACCATCCCTTGCTTGGTGTGTAACGAACTGCACCACCATTGAACAAAAATTTGCTAGTACCGAAAGTACCGAAAAAAAAATCTGGAAATCCCGTATAAATCTAGAATAGTTCCTATAAATCTGGTATATAACCGAAATTACCCGTTCCGAAAAACAGCTCCGGTTCTGGAAACGCTATAACGTACCATTATCGTGAATCGCCCTATACAGGGTGAGTCTTAAATAAGTGCAAATATTTTTAGGGGTAGTATAGTATATTTTGACCCCAGAAATATGAGGATTTTTCTGCGCATTTTTTTTTAAATCTGGAAATGTTTTTAGTTAAAAAACATAATTTCTTGATAATATGGTAACTAGGGTTCAGAACCGGAGATTCCCGGTTCTTTTGAGATATCAAAGAACCGGGACTCGAAATTATTAATTCCCGGTTCTTTCGGTACCTTCGGGACTCAATAGACGGTAAGAGTAACTAAAAAATTATTCTTTTATTACGTGAGAAAGTAGTGACGCTATTTCTCATTGCTCATGCTTCTTTTCTCTTTTTAAATTTCTGTAATGTTTATTAGCAATTATAGGAGTTTAAACATGTTATTTTCTTATTTAGTACAATGTGTTGTTCAATGTATTAGTTATCCAATGAAAATCACCTAACCAATATATTACTACAAAACAAACATATTAATGTTAAAATTAAACTTGTTTTAAATTAAAAAAAAAAGTTGCAGAAAATCTTTGAAATAGATAATAATATAAAAATATGTCATTATATATTTTTTCCGCATTTCTTTCCATCAGAAGATTTTCATATACAGAAGAATTGTTACTTACACGAATTGTGAAAATATTCTGTTTTTAAGCAAATTTTTACTCGATGATCAATTTTTTTATTTTATTTCATTGTGAACTCATATTTTTCTAAATACATCTCTGTGAAACTATGGTATTACCATAGTTTCAGAAAGTTTAGTTAAGAAACTTATGGTAATACATCTCTATGGAAACTATGGTAAATACATCTCTATGAAAGTATGGCGAGTGCCACGACTATACTTTGCCTAGTTATAGACCACGATTATATAGCTATGTCAGCAGTCACGGAATGCGAGAACAGGTCATATAAAGTGGCAGAAAAAGAACAAAGGATTTGACAAGGAGTAAAGCTACTAGTGTGCTACTAGTTTCCTTATACTATGCTAGTGGGATCATTTTACTAAAAGAAAATCTGTCATCGGTGAAGTTGAAAAATATTTATACTAAAATTTATGTAGGAGTGGGTATAGTTTTCGTCCTTCCCGTACTTTCCCTTGATTTTTGTGAAAGTAAAATGTTAAAGCACGTAGCAAAATATAGTCGCCCAAAATATCATTCAAATAGGAATAACGGTTCTCAAAATATCTAAAAAAATGTGTTTATTTTATTAAAGTTTGATGACATCCAGCGGACAAACGAAGCACTTTTGTATAGAGGTAAATTGTGTCTAATGAAATTATTTTCAATCTAAAAATACGTAGTTTATCTATGTCTACGGAATATTGGGACACCCTGTATAAAAGTCCCTATTAATAAGCAAAACCTTAACTTGTACGAACCAGATAAGGGTTTTTTAGTTAACACGGCAGTATAGTGAACATCAATTATTATTTTCTTTCAGATCCTGGTGAAAATTATACCGATTATGTAGCAACTAGGTGGTACAGAGCTCCTGAATTATTGGTAGGAGACACTCAGTACGGCACACCCGTGGATATCTGGGCTATAGGTGAATATTCTCATTAAAATTATGTTAATGGTTATAGATCTACCTCAAAAACCTTGATTCTACGACAAATACTACTTAATAAACACGCAATACTGTCTATCAATTAATACAATCTCATTTATACCTTATACTGAGTATAATCGTCCTTTTAATAGGGAATATTTTGCTTACAAAAAAATAATCTAATGACTTAGAATAAACACCCGGTATATTTTTCTTGTTATTTAGGTTGCGTGATGGCAGAACTGATAAAGGGCGAAGCCCTATGGCCCGGAAAGTCTGACGTAGATCAACTGTACCTCATCCGATGTACCGTGGGTGATTTGTTGCCCAGGCACATGCAGGCCTTCAAAACCAACGATTTCTTTCAAGGACTTATATTGCCCGTACCGCAGCAACTTATACCGCTTGAAATTAAATTGCCCATGTGTAACTCTACGATTATCGATTTTTTAAAAGTAAGTTTAATTCGAGTTTTGTGTAAAAAATCCGTGAGGTGTCTATCGTCGAGGAAAAGCAGCTCTATACACAGTGCTACAAATTCGAGGTACGAGCATTGGTATCTCGGAAACCGTATACGAAGATGGTTAAATTGAGGCAAATGCTCCTTGGCATGTTCACCAAGATGCCATCAAAATGATGAGTTTTTTGAAAAAAAAAACAGATTTTTTTGAAAATGAATTTTATTTTTTCCTGTCGTTACTTTTTAGAAAATCAAAAAACTAATTGCACCTTCTCATAGCCAGTTTATTAGGGCTCTCTGATAGTATTTTTATATTTTCAAATTAACTGATAATTTGTGAGATACATAGGCCAACTTAATTTTTTTAAATCCGGACCTGCATTTTTTATTTCAAGTTTTGAAAGAACTCGGTCTCCTGAGTACAATGATATGCCACACTTGATCCTTTTTTTTGTTTTGGGTACCTTAATAGTAACAAAACTATTTAACTGTTATTTAAAATAATTTGAAGTCCGACTGTGGGTTTTTAATTTATTTAATCTAATTATATTCAGCACAACAATTGAAATATTCAAATAATTAATATCCAGGTCAGCAATTTAAAGATATCTATTTTTTTTTAACTTTTTTTATTGTGAATTTGAAATCTCAGTGTACGATCTAATAATATGCATAATATTAATCGTAGTTATTATAAATAAATCAACTTCTACAAACTAGTTTCTAATGCTCTGCATGTTGGAAAGGGTTATCACCAAGTTACCACCCTCCATAATGCACACAATTGATATTATTCGTTAATTGTTTTTGTACTCTTAATGTTGAAATGTATTGATTTCAAATGTCCAAAACAATTTTTATTGATTTTCCTTATTCAATGTTAATTAGCGTTGATCAATATTGTTGTGATGAATATAATCAGATTAAATAAATTAAAAAACCAGAGCCGGATTTGAAATTATTTTAAATAACAATTAAATAGTTTAGCCCAGTTATCACCCAAAACAAAAAAAAGTATCAAGTGTGATATATCCTTGATATATCATTGTACTCAGGAAACCAAGTTCTTTCAAAACTTGAAATAAACAATGCAGGTCCGTATTTAAAAAAATTAAGTTGGCCTCTGTATCTCACAAATTATGAGCTAATTTGAAAATCTAAAAATACCACCAGCTAGCTCAATAAAGTGGCTATGAGAATGTGCAATTAGATTTTCTAAAAAGTAACGACAGGAAAAAATAAAATTGATTTTCAAAAAAATTGTTTTTTTCCAAAAAACTCAGCAATCTTTGAACTTTTTAAAACTTTTTTGATCAATTTTATTTTTTCCTGGCGTTACTTTTTAGGAAATCAAAAAACTAATTGCACATTCTCATTGCCACTTTATTAGGGCTATCTGATAGTATTTTTAGATTATCAAATTAGCTGATAATTTGTGAGACACAGAGGCCAACTTAATTTTTTTAAATATGGTCCTGCATTTTTGCAATGACCTGCAAAAAAAAAACAGAGCCGGACTTGAAATTAGTTTAAATAAATTATGTTCAAATATCCGAAACAAAAAAAAATATAAAGTGTGGCATATCATTGTACTCAGGAAACCGAGTTCTTTCAAAATCTGAAATAAAAAATGCAGATCCGTATTTAAAAAAGTTAAGTTGACCTCTGTATCTCACAAATCATCAGCTAATTTGAAAATCTTAAAGTACTATAAGATAGCCCTAATAAAGTGGCTATGAGAATGTGTAATTAGTTTTTAGATTTTCTAAAAAGTAACGACAGGAAATTTTTCCGAAAAATCCGTTTTTTTTCCAAAAAACGCAGCAATCCTTGAAATTTTTAAAACTTTTTTAATGGCATCTTGGTGAACATCTCAAGGCGGAAGTTTGCCCCAATTTAATCATCTCCGTATCTATTACACTTTCCAAGATACCAATGCTCGTACCTCGAATTTGTAGCACCCTGTATAGTAGATTCTTAATAATAGAAATAAAAAAGTTACTTCTTACTTTCTTACTATTCAGCATTGTCCGATAGATCATTTGATAAATGTAATGTGATAAGTATCTATTTAAATTACATAGGTATTCTTTCGTTGTTTGAATATTATAAACCAAAAAAAAATCTTTTATTTTTATTAGAAATGTATAGATACCTAATAGTCAATACACCCGGCTACAGGATTAACGTTAATCAAAATCTAATTTTTACATATACCGGGTGCGTCTCAAAAGTGGCTCACCCCTAAAACATTTTTATTTTTTTCAAATAAAAACACGAGATTTAGTATGTTAATATATTATGATATAAATTAGGATTGATTGACGGGGTATTCAAATATTTTTGGGGACTTCCATTTCACCGGAAATTACTACAACTTTTGATTTTTAAATGACACCCTCGCTATTTTTTTACTTCATTCGATAGAAAGTGACATTCTGAATAGAATGACATATCATATGTCAACTTTTGACATTTTCGCAATTATATGAAATTGTTACATGCGTTTCTTCGAGCATCATCTACATTCCGAGTTTCAGTCCGTTAGCTGACATAGGGCTCGAGTTACGACGCTCCAAAGACCCATCCTCATTCTTTTAGAACTTCCTCATTGACTTACCACTTTTTTCTCGCTAGCTCGTGTCAAGGTCGTGTCAAGGCCATGTCGTGTCACGGCCTTGAATTTCTACTCCCATCGTGCGTAAAGAAGTTTCACTTCAAAAATGTCTGGGTTTCCATGGCCTCTGCAACAAATTTCGGCAAGCTGGGTGGTATAAGTCAAATTGGTTTGATGGATTGGCCCATGAGCTTTAATAATAGGTGGCACTAGTACATATTTACAACATTAGATATTATTCCTTTTTTGACCGGATTTTAGACGGTTCATAACGACAATTTAATTCAAAATAGTGTGTGGTACCAAATTATTCGCAAAAAATGTTTTTTCCAAATATGCTAATAATAAGCCACCCTTGTTCCATTTCAAAAAAATTGAGATACCTATGATTAAAAATTAAAATACGACTTGGGCATCTTTTAACCGGCAAGGACAAGACAATAAAAACATTAGACGATGAAATATATTATTCCAAGGCTCCTTGATTAAGAATTAGTGTTTTTAACATTAGATTGAAATTTAAAAACGATTTTTTAATAAGCTAGAATGTTAAAAGTTCACATAATATGATATGTAGTTCTATTCAGAATGTAATTTTCTATCGAATAAAGTAAAAAAATACCGAAGGTGCCATTTAAAAATCAAAAGTTGTTAGGTCTACTCCTGTTTCACCGGAAATGACTAAAAAAAAACAATTGAATACGTTAACAGAGACGTTAATCAATCCTAATTTATGTCATATACGGACGTACCAAATCTCGTTTTGTAACTGAAAAAATAAAAAAGTTATTTATAGGGGTGAGCCATTTTTGAGACGCACCCGGTATAAACGATGAATGTACTTTATGAACGTAATTTCTTCCGTTCATAAATCAATTAATATTATTTTAATTAAACATATTGCCGGGCCCTTTTTCATTGGCATCCTATTAAAAGTGTATTACAGCATTCATAAATATATGATATAAAAATTAGATTTTGATTAACCACATGATGAACATACTAACTAGACTATAAAGATATTTATTTGTTTTAGAAATGTTTAGATAAGGACCCTTCTAAAAGATGGACATGCACAGAATTGATGAATCATGAATATTTTGACAAGTTTTATTTTAAATCTGAAGAAAACGAGGCCCCTAAAGAAGATAAGCCAGTTAGGGCCAAGTCAAGGGTAAAAAGGAAGAAATTGTTACCTTACCATGATTATTTATTTAATTATTACAGAACTCAAATAATGGCGGTTCGATGTCATTACCACAACTACCTGTAGGGTCAAAATCCATCAGTCCAAACAGGCAGCCCCAAACTAGTCAGCCGAATAAGTCTAAGTTGGATCATTTACCAACAATATGACAAAAATTTAACTTTTTTAAATAAATCACTGATATTTAAAAAAGAAAATAATTGTATATAAAAAATGTTACTTTAATTTTGAAAGCAAAATCAAATTTATAACATTTGTAAATATAAATTACATAGGTGTAAAATGTTTAAATGTATTTTCATATGTGTAATATAGATTAGTTGGCAGGTATAAATATGTACCCGATGTACCGAAAAAAATTATATCATAATTAAATCTTTTTCTGTTACTATTTGAATAATACAATTTTTAGATTTTTATTTGATAAATGAGTATATCTAGAAGGTACATATAAAATTATCGTACCCATACTCGTATAATCAAAATTCTGATTGAAATTTATTTTCGAGAGTTTTTAGAAAAACTTCAATCAAACACAAAACATGTCGAATATTACATATAACTTTAATTTATCTCTGTACAATGTTTTTATTAATATGAAATTAATAAACTAGTATATCTATTCTATTGCTTAGCTAAAAAGCCTCGTGTGTTTCTTTGGTTGCATCGGAACTAAATGGTTTACCTTTATACTAAAACAGATATACTCCGTAAATACTAATAATAATTACAAACTGTAAATAAATAATTTACTTCATCAGCGGATACCGCTTTTTTAACGTAATCTTGTTTTTGAAGCTTCCACCAACCATAGTGAATGCCCACTAAAAGAGGTATACAGACAATGATAACCAGATTATCATGAACAAATTTTCCCCAGTTTCTACCAGACATTTTTCTGTAATAATATTCACTTCCTACAAACTATTTCTTCAGTTTTTGTATATTTATAACTATAAAGAGTTGTTAACATTTGGAATTTTGCTCTAAAATATAAAGGTTATGTTATGAAGTATCTGTCAAATATCTTTCTATCCAAAGATTCCAAAACTTTCAAATGACCAAGCTCTTTTCTATTTCTATGGACCACGGACCAAGTACGCCAAAGTAGTGATGGGACAAAATATCGAAACAAATTAACGACTTAATAAATAAAACTTGATTAAATATCACATTTTAAACAGCATTTATTTGAATTACAAAATAACAACATAATTACATTATACATCGATCTGAAAACAATAGTATATAAAGTGAATAAAAATCTGTATAATTAAAGTTTTCTGAGTTTTGAAGTGCCTTTTATTTCTATGTAGCGCCACTTTTAATGTTCTACCATACCACATTTTGGGGACTTTACCGGGAAGTCTACTTGCATTGCGACTATCATACACTAAATAGTTATTGTCAAGAAAAATGCAGTTACTTTTTAATGTATGTAAGCTGCAAGAGTAGACGTACAATGAACGACATTACAGGGGAGGGTTTTAAATACATTTTAACGAATGGACTTGAAAAAATTGATCAGCCCATTAGTAGAAGTATCGTGAGTTGAAACAGGGTTATTATCTTGAAGTTCGGGTTCAATGACCTTGGCTAGTTGCTTGCCTAATTCCACACCCCACTGATCAAAAGAATTTATGTCCCAAATCACACCTTGAGTAAATATTTTGTGTTCATATGTAGCTACAAAACAAATATTTTAGTAACAAGTATTTTACTTAACTATTTTAATACTAACCAATCAAAGCACCTAAAATAAATGGTGTTATTTTCTTTACAATGATACTGTTTGTTGGTCGGTTTCCTTGAAATACTTTATGGGGCAAAATTTTTTCCAAATCTTCTCCTTTTAGACCCTGTTTTTTTAATTCAGCTTTGGCTTGCTCTGTACTTTTTCCAAAGGCTAGAGCTTCGGTTTGAGCGAAGAAATTAGCCAACAGAATTTTATGATGTAGTCCATTGCTGTAAAATAACATAAACATTTTTAAACCATTTGTTGGAGTTAATATTTCAGCTGTTTTTAGGTTTCCGTACCCAAAGGGTAAAAACGGTTTGTCACAAAGGTCTATCTTATGAACCGTTATAGCTAGACAGTTGAAAATTTTACAGATAATGTATCTATGTTGCTGCTATAAGAACAAATACTAAAAACAGAATTAAATAAATGTTTATAAATAAAAAAGTACTTTCACTAAACAATATCTTTTAAGGCTGTATTGCGTTGCAAAACCAGGCGAACCAGACCGGTAAACTACGGTAAAGAGCGGTTACTGAAAAACATCGGTTTGATACGGAACGGTTTGGTAAAATATTGGAAACGTCAAATGTTGACGTTTTCTAAATTTCCATACCTCTATTATAAAATTTATCTTTTATGCATTTTTAATGTACCAATTCTCTGCTTTTACTTTTTCTTCTTTTCAATAGAGTTTAATATTGAAAAGTACTTTATTAATAAACCGTTAAACTCGTTAGACAGCTCAAGTGAAGATTTGCAGGTCCAATATTAAAACATCAATAATAAATAAACAAATTTAATCAATATTTATATTTTTGGTAATTGTTGCATATACGGTTTTCGGCTATTTTTCAACTATATAAGAAAATTTTTATATACTCACATTCTATTGTCCTTAGAGATTGCAAATATGCTGGGGGAGAAGAGAAATTGTGTTTCTTTAAGTATTTTTTCAACCAAACAAACTTACGGGACCGGGGAGTGAATAGGGGTGCTGGGCGGGGTAAAATCAATATTCTGATTAAAGATATTCATAACACAACCATCTTACAATCCTTTAATTAAGCTTTTAATGTAAAATTTCTTCAAAAAAACTATGAAGAACTGTTTTATTCAGAAATCATTGGCAGGTTACATATGGGTTACATTAAAGTATATGACAGTAGTGAAGGTTGAATTTTCACAAACATTGCGAATTGATGCATAGTTGCCAAATCAGCTAGTAAATTGTCCGGAATTTCATGCATCCTTTTTTTTTCAAAGGGAAAAAATGACGTCATAGGTTTTAAAATGTTTTGATTTATTTTTTAAATCGCCACCAGCGGTATAGAGAATTGCTTAGTTATAGCTCTAGCAATGAAAACACTGAGCGGTTTGGTTTTTGGTTGGTTTGGTTAGATTCGGTTGGTCTCGTTTGGTTTGATTTTCTGTTTTTTTTTCGTATGTTTCGTATGTTGTTGAAAATGTTTTCTCTTATTTTACCAAAATTGCATTTTTCCTCAACTCAAGATCTTTATGTTTGATTTTTGCTACAGATATAAAATTTTTAAAGAATATTCAGTGGGACTGGCAACATTGCTTTCCCTTCTGTCAGTGTTAAAATTCTCATAACGTCAAATATGTGTCAAATATTAAATTAAAATATTTTGAAATTCCGTGCATAATCATATTTTCTCATTTTTTTTAAACGGAAAATGTGATTTTTCTATATTTGTATGTCATGTTTTACCAGTTTGTATGCTTTTACCTCGTCCAGCACCCCCATTCACTCCCCGGTCCCGTAAGTTTGTTTGGTTGAAAAAATACTTAAAGAAACACAATTCCTCTTCTCCCCCAGCATATTTACAATCTCTAAGGTCAATAGAATGTGAGTATATAAAAATTTTCTTATATAGTCCAAAAATAGCCGAAAACCGTATATGCAACTGTTATCATATTTTTATAGATTACAAAACATTCACGATTACTTGTCTTGTTTTAAATGTTCCTGACTTTAAGAAACAATGGCTGCATGATAAGTTTAAATGGTCCTAAAAAGTCATTCTATTTAGTTAACGAAATTTATTTACCTTTACTGCCTACCTCCATTGCTTTTGGATGTACATAATACAAAATATTATTACAAATTTTAGAAATTAAATGAGAATTTCACTCGAACTTCCAATATTTGCTTGATTTCTGTCACATAAATGACATTGATTGATAAACAAAACCAGAAAAACCAGCCTTCTCGCGCTGGTTAGTTTGGTGACAGTTATAACCGAATTTTTCAGAAACCGTGTTCCGTAATAAGAAAACTTTCAGGAAACCGATATATAACCAAGGTAAGCAACGGAATACACCCTAAGTAAAAATTTCACATAGAATCTTTCAAGTCCTCGGTGGCCGCGTGGTTTAAAGCGTTAGGACTTTACGCTGCTATGACGTTGGAGACGTAGTAAGGCAAGTTCGAATCCTAGTCAAGGCGATCGTTTTTTTTAATTTTTACCTATTTATTTTTACTTTTTACATATTTATTACTGATTATTACAATTTTCAGTAATGTTTTTCTTCATTACTTATACGCGCATTCAAAATTTCAGCTAGATCGGAAAAAAGTTTATAATAATATAGTGTCTAATGTTGTATAGATAATGGATGGTACGGAACCCTTCGTGCGCGAGTCCGACTCGCACTTGACCAATTTTATTTAAAGTTGTATTTATTACTAAATTTGATATTGTAATTTTTTGTACAAACCTTATAGGATTGTGTGTTTGAGCAGGTATAATAAAATCACATGGAATAATTCTAGTACCCTGATGAATCAACTGATAGAAAGCATGCTGCCCATTTGTACCAGGTTCACCCCATACAATTGGACCTGTATAATAATCAACCTAAAATGTTAATATGTCGTAGTTTTTATTAGAATTAATAATAGAAGAGTACATACAATCTCGCCATTTTTAGTCACATATTTTCCATTACTTTCCATGTCACCTTGTTGGAAATAGGCAGCAAACCTGTGGAGGTACTGATCATAGGGTAAAAGGGCATGTGTCTCAGCACCACCGAAGTTGCTGTACCAAACACCTAACAGTGCCAATATTACTGGAATCTAAAAAAATAACCTCATTTGTGATGTTTGAATATACAGGATGGCGCACCTCATTCGCCTTGGTCAATTATACATAATCTGAAAGATGTACCTAGAAACAAATTTTTTTATGGATATAAATATGTGCGAAGGCAATGTGCATCTATATCTACATTAGTTCATGGACTATTTAATTTAAAACAGTTTACTTTTATTTAATTTACCCACAATTGTTTAATAAGTAAGTACGTAGTTTGGTTTGGAAAATGCATATGTCTGACAAGTCATCGTAAAATAACTCAAAGAACTACTTCTAAATTAAATAAAGGTAAACTGCTATAAATTTAAATAAAGTCCATAAACTAATTTCGATTTTGAAAATAGCTATTGTCACTAGAAAATTGCCTTGACGACAACAGCCCTTTTGGTTGTCATTTTATTGACAATTGAAATCGCTCTTTATTGAAAATCTGAACCAGATAGATATAGGAAACTCTAATATAGTTTGAAAGAGCATTTAAATCTGCTTCAATTTATTTGAAAAATTACAGTGTGTTACATTTTAAGTTTTTATGTAGAATAAATATTTAAAATAGACCAGAATACCCATGTATACATTTAAGGAAGCCATCAAATTTTTCAGTAAAATTTATTTCTCTAAAAGTCAGCACAAAAATTAATTCTGAAAAGGAATGTAGAGGGTGTTGACAAGCTTTGTTATTATAGCATGCATATTTAACTCTTATTTTACGTCAAAGAATCCAAAAATGTAATAAAATACCAGGTGTTCCCTAAGAAACAATATAACTTTGGTATGGATCTTAGTTCTGACACACCCTGTACATTTCAAAATAGTTTTAAATTATGCACATTGATTTCCCACATATACCCGTAAAATATTTTGTTTATATATCTTTCCGTTTATGTGTAATTACCCGAGGTAAATGACGTGCGCCAGGTGTATAGTTCATACATTTTTATCAATTGGGGCTGTCTGAAAATGCTTATCAAGGAAGTGAGCACCTTCCAAAAGCTGATTAAAGTTCTCAAAACCAATAGAGAGACAAATGCTGAGACCAATAGCAGACCATAGAGAATATCTTCCTCCGACCCAATCCCAAAAACCGAACATGTTGGCTGGATCAATACCAAACTCTTTAACTTTGGGTTCATTAGTGCTGAGAGCTACAAAATGTTTTGCAACAGCTGCAGGCTGAAAACAAACAAAAAATAGAAAAAAATACCAATTAAAATGTTTTAACTGACATCTTTAGCATAGCCTAGGAACCAATCTTTGGCAGACGTTGCGTTGGTTATGGTTTCTTGAGTAGTGAATGTTTTTGAAGCAATAATAAACAATACTGTTTCAGGATCAATTTTTCTTAAAGTTTCAGCCAAGTGAGTTCCGTCAATGTTTGAAACAAAATGGAGTCTTAAACCCTTATTGTAGGGCTTTAGAGCTTCGGTTACCATTAGTGGACCCAAATCTGAGCCTCCAATACCAATATTTACAACATCAGTTATTTGCTTTCCAGAAAATCTAAAACCAATTTTTTTTACATAAAATATTTTACAGTAATTATTGATAATATTATAAAATACAGTAATTTATTAGAATCTAGAAAATCTAATATTCCGAGTGCGTCTCAAAAGTGGCTCACCCCTATAACTTTTTTATTTTTGCAGATAAAGAAACGAGAATTGGTATGTTAGTATATTACATAAGTTAGGATTGATTGCCGTGTCCAACTCTTCGCCCACTTCCTGTTCCACCGGAAATGGCTACATGGTATTTTTTACTTTATTCAATAGAAAAAGACACTCTGAATAGAATGACATATGATGTCAACTTTTGACATTCTAGCTTTAAAAAAATCGTATTTTAAATCTCAATCTAGAGTGTAGAGTTGCCACCTGTCCTTTTTTGAAAAGGACAGTACTTTTTTAGAACAAACTGTCCTTTTGACTTTTTTTGACCTAATAAGTCCTTTTATTTACGTATTTTCACTGAGAAAATTATCTATAGCAATCAGCAATATTCCTTTAGTCCAAATTTAATTAGACATGTTATAAAACTTATAAATAAATGTTTTTTTCAAACGTCACAAAAGTATTAATTTTTTGCGATGTGATGGCAATATAAAAAAGTAATTTTAATGCTTAGGAATAAAAGTAAAGCACTTTTACGCCTAAGCACAAAAGTACGAAAATATGTTATTAAAATGACAAAGTGCCAAATTCAACGAGTGTAACAGTGTGCATAATTTGTCGATATATAATTACTTGCAGGGTATTACTTTTATTTTTTTATACTTGCAAAGTTTGAAATTGTTTAAAATTTACTCCTACTTAATAAAGTAGGAGTAAAAATGACTTTTTGTGCCTCACACATTGTCAAACGTACAGCCTTGTCACAAGAAGTATCATTTTTCCTCCTAATAAAACAATATACTATTGTTTAGAATCGGCAACATTATTTAGATCTCCCCGTTTAATCTTAAATGATAATTTAGGCTTTATTTTTAACCATTTTGATCTTAAAAAGAGCTTCTCAAAATTTTGAAGTAGCGATTTATAACCGGCGCGCGGCGGTTCGCAATCAAGAGCTTATCCTCCCCCCTCTACGCCGATCCTTTTTTATAATCCAATGTCCCTTTTTTACCTTCCAAAAAAGTGGCAACCCTACTAGAGTGCCATGACTGTGTTGGAAAAATAGATTTGATTGTCTAATGTTTTTAGTGTCTTGTCCTGGCGATTTAAAAGATGCCCAAATCATATTTTTAATCATATCTAATTTTTTTCGATTGGAATGAAAAAAATAAAATAGCCATAGGGGTGAGCCACTTTTGAGAGACACCCGCTATATCTAATTTATTTTTATTATATTTTTTCAGTAGCTTTCAACTTTAATGCCTATAATTGTTGTATTGTTCTAAAATATATGGGTTATTTTTTATACAAAAATAAACCATATTCGAAAATGTCAAGAGTTGACATATGATATGTCATTCTATTCAGAGTGTCATTTTCAATCGAATAAAGTAAACTTAAAAATCAAAAGTTGCAGTCATTTCTGAAAACAGAAGGTGAATGAAAACAATTAAATACATCGATCAATCTTAATTTATGTCATATACTAACATACCAAATCTCAATTTTTTATCTAAAAAAATAAAAAGTTATAGGGGTGAGCCACTTTTGAGATGAACCTGGTATGCCTTCCAGTAAATTATGATTTATTTAAATATTAAAACCCAACAAAAAAAATTGAAAAAACACGTTAATGTCTATCAATCCCAATAATTAAATACATTAACCCTATGAACCTTGGATTATACCTATTAAAACAGAACCAAGCGCCAAATTTAAGTTCTGAGATATTGGAGGTTAAAGTGTTAATGCTTTAGTAAGATAATAAGATGTTTGGTTCATTGGCCAAAAGATGACATTCAAGTATTGCTAGCAGTTGGATCTTTTTAGACAATGTAAATTAAACTGTCCTCTGTCGTTTGGTGCCTTTAACTTAATTTTGTCAATTTGTTGCTTAGTTTCAATGGTTAATTTGTTGCTTGGTTAATGCAAAAGGTCAAACATAAACTTAATTAAATATTCATATTGACAAAATCATCTGACAATTTTTTATTAAAAAATAAAAATATGTTACATACCCTCTCCACTGTCCACTCAATATTGAGTTAGTAAATTGTTTCATATGTTCCAAAACAGCATTCACCTCAGGCATTACATCTTTTCCATCAACAATAATGGGTGTGTTAGATCTATTACGAAGTGCTATATGCAACACAGCCCTGTCCTCAGTAAAGTTAATTTTTTTACCACTGAACATGTCATCTCGGGCCAGCTCCACTTTACGAACTCTAGCAAGTCGAAAAAGGAACCCCAGGGCTTTTTGGTTGATACGATTTTTCGAGTAATCAAATAGGATCTCTCCATCTTCAGGTGTGGAAAGTTTCAAGCTAAAACGAGTAAAATGAAAACAATTTAACCTAGATTATAGATTATTTTTCTATTGCCCGACGACGTCGATACGTCAAATACAAGCCAATTAAACAATTTAGATTGCAGAATTGTGTTATTATTCAATATTCCTGTAGTGTTTGTTATTCAAAATTTACAATTGAACATATTGATTCATTTAAGTGGTTTCTATAAAACAAAATTTTAATATTTACAGGTAAAGTAGCAATAGATTAAGTTAAATTAATTAATTACAGTTAATATGTTTTTTTAAGCCAAATGAAATGAAAAGACAGTGAAAACACAGGTGAAAATATGAGAAACATAAATATTTAGAAAAAATAGACCAGAAGGTCAAATAGAGGTGACATTTTAATGTTACCTTAAAACAGTGTTTTTTAAGATAAAAATGGATGCAGGCTTACCTGAATTTTTCAAACCGTTTAGGATCGTCTTCGAAGAGTTCCTTTATTTCCAAATGTTTCCCATCGGAATTGTAATAATCGGTAATTTCTTCCCAAGATGGCTCTAAGGTTAAGTTAGGCTTGGTCTCCATCGCTTTGCCGGTGTCGTGTAATTGAAGCGCTCCTTCTGCGGCGCGCGCGCGACATTTTTGCCCTGCCATCGTACATCGTTTAATATCCATTTTCCCTCCTTATCTATATTATGAAATTTTGAACGATATTAACAAATATGTATACTTATCTCGTTACATTACCTTAATTTAATTTTTAATAAAAATACTACTATAATCAGTCTGAAAGTTTCCTTGATTCGATTTTACAGTGCGTAAATTTTTAATTACATATTTTAAAATTTGACGGTCCCTGACAGTGAATTTTTTGCGCCAAGAAATTTTAATACAATTTTTGAACATGACAACCTCTGATGACAACGTCCCAATCGCAATTTGAAATGTGACCTTTGATTTGAATAATTATTTCAACATTTATTGCTAGAATAAATATGTTTTAAGAGAGGTTTTAAATTAAAACCTTAATGCTGTCAAATTTAGCTTGTCAAGCGATTCAAACTATATATATCACGTAATTTTTCCTGACCCTTTTTTATCGTAATTTTGAATTGTGTACCATTGATATTTTAGTGATATACAGCTTAATAATTTATACAAGGAATAACTTTTATTTATTATTTTTTTGTTATTTGTGAAGATTATCCAACAAAACATTTGTCAGATTACTCAAGCATAATATACCTAGATAGTATTTTAGTATCTCTTTTTTTTTCATTAAAGTATATTTTATATAATTACCGTTTTTGAAAACCGTTGATTTATTTGTAATTTGAGTTGGGTCAGTTTTATATTGACGATTATTATCGATGCTTTTTTCTACTTTCTGGCGTTAGAAACCTTAACTTAAAATTATCACATTGGACGCGTTCTAGGTATAATTATGAAGATAAATCTACAAATTGAATTATTCTTATTTTTGTAATTATGTTAAACAAATATTTACAGAATTTAACGTCTATTTACTTATATACTCTAATCGTACTTGACTTAGTTGAGTCTATACAGCCGTTTTATTTCAGATAAAAGCAAGAGCGCTTGTATTAAAATCAAAACCGCGCTTTGAAAATCTAACTAGCTATGGAACAAAAATTATTTAAGTTTGCTATAGATAGAGGCGGAACTTTTACAGATGTTTTTGCAAAATGTCCCAGTGGCAAAGTTAGAGTTTTAAAATTGTTATCCGAAGATCCGCAGCATTATAAAGATGCTCCTACCGAAGGAATTAGAAGAATTTTGCAAGAGGTAGTGTTTAAAAAGATATGTTATACGCAACATTTCATAACATTATAAGGTGAATTTTGTAGGAATTGGGAAGAGCGGTGGATGAGGAAGGCCACGTGGATAATTCTATGATAGAATGGATCAGAATGGGGACTACGGTCGCTACAAACGCCCTTTTAGAGCGAAAAGGTGAAAAGATTGCTTTCGTGGTGAATAAAGGCTTCAGGGATATATTGCTGATTGGAAATCAAGCAAGGCCTAAAATATTTGATTTGGTAAGATTCGTATAAAATTATAGCTGTCAGAATATACATATAAAATATTGGGAAACAGTCAGTGACTCATATCCATAGAGTTCTAATTCTCGTACGATTGTGCTAACTTAAGCTCGTAAGTTAAAAGCGACGTATGGTGATCGTTGTAATTTGCTGTTCGCTATTACTAGCAAACAAAGGGCGCCAAGTATTATTTTTTGCCTCCTGGCCGATTATACAATATGATCGAAAAAAAAACGGCGTCAGTGATGGCTATGCAATGAAAATTGCTGTCATTTCATTCTTCTTCTTCTAATGTAAATCCATTAGTGGACGTTTGTGATAACATTGCTTCTCTGTTACTAGCGGTGTGTATTAATGATACACTGAACCAAAAGTCGACATAAATATAATGAAAAATTTCATTAAGTTAATGAGTTAAATTTTGGCTAAATGATTAATTTCGAGCCGTCAACTTTTGACATTTTCGCTTAATAAAAAATAGTATTTTAAATTTCAATCTAGAGTGCCATGGCTATGTTAAAAACACTAATTTTTAATCAAAGAGCCTTGGAAAAATAGATTTGATCGTCTAATGTTTTTATTGTCTTGTCATGGCCGGTTAAAAAGATGCCCAAATCGTATTTTTAATCATATCTCATTTTTTGCAAATGGGACGAGGGTGGCTCATTAGCATATTTGGAAAAAGATTTTTTTACGAATAAAGCTTGATTTTCATGCATCCGTTATCCGACGATACGATGGTACGATATTAATTTTATTGGTTGATGTTAAAGACTTCGATTGGTTAACCGTTTCTAACCAATCAAAGTCTTTCAATTCAACCAATAAAATTAATATCGTATCATCGTATCGTCGGACAATGGATGCATGAAAATCAAGCTTAATTTGAAACCACACACTTGGTATTTCGAGTCAAATTTTCGTTACGAACCGCAAATTATAATTTCAAATAAACCATATGCGAAAATGTCAAAAGTTGACATATGATATGTCATTCTATTCAGAGTGTTAATTTCTATCGAACAACAGTAAAAAAATACCTAGGGTGCTATTTAAAAATAAAAAGTTGTAGTCATTTTCGGTGAAACAGGAAGCGACCAAAAACAATTGAATACGTCAATCAATCCTAATTTATGTCATATATACATACCAAATCTCGTTTTTTTAGCTGAAAAAATAAAAAAGTTATAGGGGTGAGCCACTTTTGAGACGCACCCGGTATTTAACATTTTTATTCAATTTGTTTGGAAAATTATAAATTCCAATTAAGATTTTTTTAAAATTCACGGTGAAAAATATAAATAAAGTGTTTTTTCTCTAAAATTTCAGAGAAAACGGTAAGGACTTTGAAAAAATGTTTCAATAAAAGTTGTCCTCTAGCTTCTAGCCCCCTATCCCGGTTAATTTTGATCTGATCAAAAAAGACCATTTTTATGTAAAATTGTACGCTCTACAACTTATACCTATTTACTTTCTTTTCTGAAAATTTCTGAAAATTCTGAAAACATAATTTTTTAAATTAATTGTTTATTTGTTTTACCCCTTCTCGGGGGTGAATTTAAACAAATCTTTTACAATTCGTGTTGAGATCTTGGCCTATTTTCTTGGACTATTAAGCTGTTTTTTTACAAAAATAAAACACACAATTTTTACACGTAAAAAACTATTTGTTTCACGTAAAAACTATTTTTACGCGTAAAAAATATATATTTTAATTTATTACTTTTTCAACATTTTAAACATTTTCATACAATTTTTTCAAATATGCTCTTCAAATCCTTCAATTTAATAGCTGTTAGTAAGAAGTTTCACTTCAACTATACGCACGTAGTGCACACATAATTTCTTTTCTTTTTTTTTTCTAAAAGCGCCCTTGGCTTGGCACTACCATACCTTTGGTAACTATCAGGCAGTTCATTTTACTCCCAGCTCTAGGACTATAATGTTTTATTTATTTCTATTGTTATGCTGTCTTATGTTATCTCTGTTATACTACCACATATGCTAATTTTACACGTATATGATTATATTTTATTGAGTTATTTATAATTATTTATACTGGCGTATCTCTAGACAAACAAATTAATGAAGAAAATTTAAAAAACATTCTGGAATGGACCATACTATTAGCATAGAATATCTAGCTATACTAGGTACACGGCATATAAATCAATGCCGTGCTAGGTATATGCTTGTATATGCACAGAAGAAGAATTTCTTCTTCTGTGGTATATGTATAAAAACTCGCACAAATCATAGTTACTGAAGAATTCAATTTTATTCGCCGACCATACCAATAGGTATGGTAGGCTATTAAGATCGGCAAAAAAAAAAGTTTTTTTTAATTTCACTCAAAATGAGTTATTTGGGTCATAAATGACCTAAATACAAAATATTTTCATGGTGTCTGTCTGTGTCTGTCTGTCCGCCTGTCTGTCCTTCTGTAACACGATAACTCAAAAACCGCTAAACCGATTTTAACCAAATTTGGCACAAAAATACTGTGGCACCCGAGAATCTGGCCATTAGTTCTTAGTGGGGGGTTGGTAAGGGGGTATGGAAGGGGGTTAAAACTTTTAAAAAATCGTAACTCCAAAAACGAAACATTCAATTCACCGAAACGCGGTTTTCGCTAGCCAAGGAATAATATTTGCAACAAAATTTGTAACAACATCAAAATCAGTCAAAGTCGCAGTTTTTGAGATTAAAATTAAAAAATTGGAAAATTCCTTTACTTTGCAACTAAAAGAACTGCCTACCAACTTTTTATTAACATATTTTAGTATGGGCGGCTATATTTTTTGGAATCGAATACCTTGTAGGCGAATGCTTTTGAGAATCGAATACATTTTGAATTTTTTTGAATTCAAATACATTTAAGAGTCGAATATATTTACAATCTTTTTGAATTTGAATATTTTTGAAATCCGAATATAAGAGTTATTTAGGTTTAGCCGATCTGTTCCGCGATAAATGTGCCAAAAACATATACAGGGTGCTACAAATTCTGGGTACGAGCATTGGTATCTCCGTAACCGTAATGGATACGAACACGGTTAAATTGGGGCAAAGTTGCGCCTTGAGATGTTCACCAAGATGCCATCAAAAAAAGTTTTAAAAAAATTTAAAGATTCCTGAGTTATTTGAAAAAAAAAACGATTTTTTTGAAAATCAATTTTATTTTTTCTGAAATTAGCTGATAGTTTGTGAGATACAGAGGCCAACCTGATTTTTTTTAATACGGGCCTGCATTTTTTATTTCAAGTTTTGAAAGAACTCGGTCTCCTGAGTACAATGATATGTCACACTTAATATTTTTTTTTGTTTCGGGCATTTAAACACAATTTATTTAAACTAATTTCAAGTCCGGCTCTGTTTTTTTTAATATTTAATTATTAATTACAATAAAATAAAATAAATAATTTAAATGTAATTTAATATAAACAATCAAATCATTTCCCCGGAAGATGGTGGAGCAGTATAATGGCCAGCGAGGTTCCTGGACCTATTGCCAAGGGGTGGGGGCATTACTTGACGTCATTTGTAAAAGTGAAATCAATACATTTCTACATTTACAATAAAGAGTACAACATGCATTCGGAAGTATAAGAAACTGAAAGGGCTATACATAAAATTGAACGAAAAATAAATGTTTGCAATAGGGAGGGTCGTAACCCTTTCGAACGTGTAGAGCATTAGAATCTTGTTTGAAGAAGTTGATATATTTATAATAACTACGATTAATATTCTGCATATTATTAGATCATACATTGAATAAAAAACGGTAAAAATAACATCTTTAAATCGATAAATCGGCTCGATTTTCCTTATTCATTGTTAATTATAGCGCTCATCAATATTGTTGCGATGAATATGATCAGGTTAAATAATTTAAAAATTCAAAGTCGGACTTGAAATTGTTTTAAATAATAATTAAACAATTTTGTTGTGTTACAGTATCCCAAACAAAAAAAAATAAAGTGTGGCATATCGTTGTACTCAGGAGACTGTATTCTTTCAAACCCTCAAATAAAAAATGCAAGTCCGTATGTAAAAAAAAAATAAGTTAGCCTATGTATCTCACAAATTATCAGGTAATTTGAAAATCTAAAAAACAATCAGCTAGGCCTGATAAAGTGGCTATGACGATCCGCAATTAGTTTTTTGATTTTCTAAAAAGTAACGACAGGAAAAAATAAAATTTATTATCAGAAAAATCCGTTTTTCTCAAAAAATCCTTGACATTTTTGAAAATTCTTTGATAGCATGTTGGCGAACATTCCAAGACACAACTTTGCCTCAGTTTAACTATCTTCGTATCTATTACGGTTTCCGAGATACCAATGCTCGTACCTCGAATTTGTAGCACACTGTATAAACAACAGTATTTAGCGATTCAACTTCTTCTAAATTTTGTAATTAAGGTAATAAAAATGTGGTACCTAAACAGTTAGCTGAAGAAGAGTACAACAAATAAACAAGTATTTGTTGATATAATAATTACCTTTTTATAATTATACAATTAAGATTTATTTGTGGATTTGTTTCTTTGTTTTTATTATCACTCTGAACTCGCATGTTGTTACGCACAATATATGGAAATGCCAATGGATATGTGCAATGGAACGTACGAGTTTAGGACAATGGCGAGTATTCACTCATTTTCCTCTACGAACCGATTTATATTCGTACTCGAGTACAGCAATCTGCTTTTGCTTAACCGGTTTGATTTATACGCCAGGCATATTACAAATATCGGAGCCATGTCGAAAATTAAGCAATCAGGCAAAACTGATCGCAAAATTGCATGCTTATATCGGCAGTACCTAGGTTTAAAAAGCAGACCGATGTCAATGGTGTCACGTAACATTTAATAAATGTATAATGTATATTTTAGATATGATGAAGACCTAGTGTAGAAAATTAAATTTTCTATAAATTTGTTCACAACCTTTTTTGTTGAAAAACGCCAAATAATTCGAAAAAACATAAAATATATGGCGGACACTTAAATTCCTACAATGTCCGGCAATAGTGCGTCGGGATCTGTAGCTCCTAGAATAAAAAAAACTTGCGAATTTTGTTTAAGTACAAACCTAAAGTATGTACGAGGATATGTTTCAAGAAATTATTTTAACTTCTATAGGATGGCTCAAAGAAGTGTGAGTGGACCCTGTAAATTATTGCATTTTTGGCTTTCTTTGAGATCACTTTACACAATTCTCTAAGTTATGAGTAAATATATTTCGATAGATATATATTTTATATTTCGAAAATATATATTTTTCAATCTTAAAAAAATATTAAAAATACAAGAACTGTCCTGAAATCAAAACTAATTAGGTATTTACTTTAGATGGTCTATACCAGGTTACCTGTGTCTATACTTACTTTGTTTTAAATGTCGTAATCTACGCCAAACTTTCTAAAATACAAAATAATTTTCCTTTGTTTCTTTTTTAAAATGGAACATCCTGTGTATCATTTTTATTAGGTTGTAGAGAATTAAAAAATGGACATTTTTTGTATTTAAAGTATTTCAAAATTTTTAATGGTTTCGTAGATACACGCAGTATTATTTCATATGGCTCTTTCAACTGTAAAATACGAGAGAAAAATCATTAGGTGGCTTTTACTGTGGGAAATGCCATATGAAATATAAAACCGCGAATATCTGCGAAGCCGTTAAAAATTTTAAAGTACTCTAAAGACAAAAAAAATGTATATTTTTTAATTCTCCATCTATTGAAAAAGTAATATACAGTTCCATTTAAAAAATCGAAGAAAAATTATTTTATCCTGCATGACTTACGATTTCCATATTTATAGAAAAGTAATTACAGACCATCTAAAGTGACTACCTAAAGTACGTCTACTGGATCTGTACCTATGAAAGAAATTTCAAGAATGCGGACAAAAAACATATAAATAAACAACAATATATTTTATCTCTCCAAAACAGCCTTTTTTGAAAATGAATCCGCAACATAGGTATAGACTTTTTTTTTATATATTTTATAAATCGCTACCTATATTTGCCTATATGTATACAGGGTGCTACAAATTCGAGGTACGAGCGTTGGTATCTCGAAAACCGTAATAGATACGAAGATGGTTAAATTGGGGCAAAGTTGCGCCTTGGGCTGTTCACCAAGATGCCATCAAAAAAGTTTTAAAAATTTCAAGGATTGCTGAGTTTTTTGGAAAAAACGGATTTTTTTGAAACCTAATTTTGTATTTTCCTGTCGTTACTTTTTAGAAAATCAAAGAACTAATTGAACATTCTCATAGCCACTTTATTAGGGCTATCTGATAGTATTTTTAGATTTTCAAATTAGCTGATAATTTGTAAGATACAGAATCCAACTTAATTTTTTTAAATACGGATCTGCATTTTTTATTTCAGATTTTGAAAGGACTGTCTCCTGAGTATAATGATATGCCACACTTTATACTTTTTTTCAGGTACCTTAACAGCAACAACTATTTAATTATTATCTAAAAAAGATTCAAGTCCGACTCTGTCGATTGAATTTCGACGAATTTTTTCGTATAATTTTGTCGAAATTATTTAATCTGATTATATTCATTGCAACAATATTGACCAGTGCTAATTAACATTGAATAAAGTAAACTGAGCCAATTGAAAAATTCAAATAAATAATATCCAGATCAGCAATTTAAAGATATTATTATTTTTAACTTTTCTTATTGTGAATTTGAAATTCTCAGTGTACGATCTAATAATTTGCATAATATTAATCTTAGTTATTATGAATAAATTAACTTCTACAAACTAGTTTCTAATGCTCTACATAGTCTACATGTTCGAAATTGCACAAATTTATTTTTCGTTCAATTTTATTTATAGCTCTTGAATAGATCTTATACTTTTGAATGCATTTTGTACTCTTTATTGTAACTGCCGAGATGTGTTGATTTCAATTTTTTGTAAAATTTGGACCTGTCGAATTACTTGACTTCATCAGACCGTCCAGGAACCTCGCTGGCCATTATACTGCTCTCCCATTTCCAATCCATCCTCCGGAGATTTTTTTTCCGTATTTAACCCACGTCACTGTTAAGTTTGAAAGCTTATCAGTACTGTACCGATGAATATATTAAATATTAAAAAAAAACAGAGCCGGACTTTAAATGAATTTAACAATTTTCAAATTTCCAAAACAAAAAAAAATATTAAGTGTGGCATATCATTGTACTCAGGAGAGCGAGTTCTTTCAAAATCTGAAATAAAAAATGCAGGTCCGTATTTTAAAAAATTAAGATGGCCTCTGTATCTCACAAATTATCAGCTGATTTGAAAATCTAAAAACACTGTCAGATAGCCCTAATAAAGTGGCTATGAGAATGTGCAATTAGTTTTTTGATTTTCTAAAAAGTAACGACAGGAAAAAATAAAATTTATTTTCAAAAATATCCGTTTTTTTTTCAAAAAACTCAGCAATCCATGAAATCTTTAAAACTTTTTTGATTGCATCTTGGTGAACATCCCAAAGCACAACTTTGCCCCCATTTAACCATGTTCGTATCTATTACGGTTACCGAGTTACCAATGCTCGTACCTCGAATTTGTAGCACCCTGTAGAAGCGGCAGAGAGTCTCAGTGGACTTGACGAGTATGCCACCGCAAAACACTCCGCCCACTCATTTCATTGCCTACTTACAAATTTGTCGATTTTTTATTGATGGGACGTGTCGTCTAATTTTTTACGAGAAATATGATTAAACGGTAGCAGAGAAGCTTGAAAGAACAATGCAGTCGTTATCGGTAAAATAGTTGCGTGATTTTATTGATCTTTTATTGCTTTTGTTCTTAATCTTCATTCTTCATTTACGTGGAAAAACATTGAAAAAGTTAAACTGATTGGGTGTTTTTTAAATTTTTGTATAAGTAATGTTATCTAAAATATGTATGACGCGCTCATGAATTACCGGCTCAGAGAATTTCGTTTCCCCCCCCTACGGATGCTCCGTAGCTACAGAACGGATAGACGTACTGTAATAGAGTTTTGATTTCCGGACAGTTCTTGTATTTTTAATAATTTTTTTTAAAAGGTTGAAAACGCGGCAGTTTGATTTCGGAAAAGGCCAATATCGACTCTGAAATTTAGCATAGGATTAGCAGCGTCTCAAGAGCATTCTGGAAATTAAAAGACAGGGTTTTCTACAATTATAACTTGAGTACAAAAATGAAACTTGTAGTGTACCGAGCAATTATAATCCCCATACCATGTTTTATGGGAGCGAAACCTGGGTGCCGATGCCGTACCGCCGACACATGAACGCATTAAACAAGTTGCACCAGAGACACCTTAGACAACTCTTAAGAAACCGGCGGTTCCATCATGTCTCAAACGTATCGGTCCTTGAAAAGGCTAATTGCGAGAGTATTGAAGTCATAAGCTTACTTCGGGTTTCTCTTATTACCGATTCTGAACGGTCCTAGAACTGTGATGCGTATGCGCAGATGGAAATATGAAGACATTATTTCATTTGCGCATGCACTGCAGAGTTCTAGGACGGTTCAGAATCGGTAATAACAAGAACCCGAACAAAGCTATAGTTACAAAATTCCGCTTAAGATAGGCTGGTTACATATGCAGAATGCAAGAAAACCGAATGTTTTTGAAAATGAAATGTTTTGAAATGATAAATTTTGAATGTCCGGAGTGCGGTAGGCAAATAACATCACGTATCGGGCTTTTCAGTCACAGAAAAGCTCATGAAAGAAAACGTCTTGCGTGACCATCTTCTGATGCGTGTCGAATACTCGTCAGCGAGTAATGACAAATGGCAGTATGTATGTATGAAACTATCAAAATATATTTATCCATATTTGACGATTGTGTAATGTGACCTGAAAGGAGGCCAAAAATGCTATAATATACAGGGTGTACCATTAAAAAAATCGATCCCGATTCACTCAAACTTTTTTGAGTCACCCTATAGAAGCTAATTTTTTTTCCTGAATTACATCCTGGTACATACTTACTACTGTATATCAAATTTATGATCAAGACTTTGATTTCGTCGTCTACTTGTCAAATAGAAACTAATTGCGTTAAAAGTTTCGACTCCCTAATTGTTTCGCTATTTCAACTAAAATTATTGAGCTATACTGTAACAAAGAAGATAAATTCCAATTAAATACATTACACACCTTCATACATAGAGAAATAAATAAAATAAAGTCATTATCAGTCATTCTGTCTTGCAGTTGACACTTTTAATCGATTTTCCAATTCTCCAGTGATTTGAAATAAATTAGAAAAAAAACTTTCTATTTTCTTCTTATTGATTTATTTTCTTTTTCTCTGTATTTTGAATAGAACATTCGCCGACCTGAGATACTCTATTCCGATGTAGTAGAGGTGGATTGTAGAGTTATACCTAAACAAGAAGGAAAATGTGAACTGGGCGACATAACTAAAGACTGGACTGTTGTAGAAGGCCAAACTGGAGAAAAGTTTTACGTTATCAAAGATCTAGATGTCGAAGAAGTCAGACAGAGTCTTATTGCAGTTAGAAACAAAGGAATTGATAGTATTTCTGTAGCACTGGCTCACAGCTATACTTATTTTGATCACGAACTTAAAGTTGGACAAATTGCAAAAGAGATTGGTTAGTATAGTTATTAGGAATATGTTTTTTATTTTATTTCTTTTAATATACAGGGTGTCCTAGAAATAAGTGCAAGTATTTTAAGGGTGGCAGATCTCGAAAAAAGAAACATATTTTCTCTTTATCGTTTTTCAAATAAGTCCAAAATAACCGAGATATTTTATTTTGAAGATTTTCAAAAAAAATGATTTTTTGCTAAAATTTTGAGAACCACTGGATCTTTTCTGGATTTTGTTTCTTGTAAACTTAATCTAATACCTATGTTGCCATATTATCAAGAAATTATGTTTTTTAACTAAAAACTAAAAGAAATTCCAAAAAAAATTTCGAAAAATTTTGAATTTTTAAAAAAAAATTTTGCGAAAAAACCTCATAGACGTCTTCCTTGGGTCGAACTACACTACCAGCACTTATTTGGGGACACCCTGTATAGGGGATATCAAGATGCTAAGAGAAAATCTCGGAGAAAATTAACATATAAAGAAGGGAAATTAATTTAAAAGTTAATATACAGAGTGGCCCATCGAAAACGTTCCGCAAGGCATAACAGCCAGAGTAATTTTTTTTTTCAGAAAATTTAAAAACATGTCAATTTTGTTTGTGAGGGGGACAACTTTTGCCCCAAAAATGATTGCAAAATCTTCAACCCTCTAAGCGGGGGTGTCATCCCCCAATTTTTTTCAATTGGGAAGGGGGGTCAAGTCGTGCCGCAATGAAAAGGGCTTTATATTCTCTTCCGCTTCGTTTCTGAAAATCGATGGAGTCATTGAGAAAATATGAAGGATTGAAATTTGAAAAGTTTATTTAAACATTTATCAGAGTAAATGATAAGGATAAATTCCTTCGACCAATTTGCTGTTTTTTCTTGTTATTTCTAGATGTTGACGCATTTTTTCACTTGCCACAAGGTTGAACGATCAGGTGCGGTAGTTGCTAGATAGCTGTTCTGTGACTTATGCGTTGAAGTTCTTCTCAATATCGTTAAACTTTTTAACAATTATGGTGTACTCACTTGCAGAAAAAGTGGAAATAATCGAACTTTATTTTAAAAATAGTGAATGTGGCAATGGGTCGACCAATGGGGTTGCGCAGATATTCAATGAACGCCATCCTGACAAACACCTTTATGGCAAAATTGTTCGCGAGTTAGTAGCAAAATTTCGCGAAACTTGTTCCGTTATGAATAAAAAGAGGCAGAGGGAAAATCCTGTAGTAGATGAAGCTATGAAGGTATTCGAATTGGGCCAAGTTGCCATGCATAGTACGCTGAGTACAAGAAAATTAGCCAATGAGACCGGCGTGAATCGTACAAGTGTCCAAAGGATATTAAAAAAACACAAGTGCCACCCGTACAAAATTCAGTTGATACAAGAACTCAACAAAGACGATTTTGATCGTCGCACAGTGGTCTAAATGGAAAAATTACGGGGACACTCAATTTAGTTTTTGAAATAAAGGAAATAATTGTTTATAGGTATGTAAAATTACACTCATCAAAAATATTTTTTACATTTTTACCTTCCTATTTTATATACAGGGTGTTCAGTTAGTGCGATAAAGTCCAGTATCTTGTTTGCTATTAAGAATTTTAAAATAATGCTAATACAAAAGTTATAAGTAATAATGTATTGCTTCTTGTTAAAATATTTTTAATTATACGGGGTGTGTAAAAAAAGTGCTACAGACCAAACTACAGTTTTTTTAAATAAAACACCCTATATATTTTTTAAGATTTCAATTCCTGGTACTTTTTCCAGCATTTTGATATAGGGGTAAATGGTTTATACTATGTGTATCAAAAGTTACAGCCATTTTTATTTTTGACGCTCTATACCATTTACAGTACCTAATATTATTTTGTTTTATTGCGTCAGGATATTAACAAGATGGTATTTTCTCATTGTATTTGTTGAATTTACAAGTGAATATATTACAACTTAAAACAATTTTGACAATGATATTGTGTTACTTGGGTATTTTAACTGAATGTATTTACTGGTCTACAAAATATTATCTTTATCAAAGCTTCCTCTGGAGAAAATGGTCATCTCGTTGTTTAACCTTTCTAAATTTTTTATTTTGTCAACTCTTCTGGACTAGAAATCGTAGCTTTTGATGGCAAAGCAAATATTTCTCTTCCCTTTTTTTGTATATCCAGTCTGAGTAGCAAACACAAGTTCAGCAGGACATATTGAGAAACCAATTCTTGTGTACGTCTTCTCTTAGTTCTAGTACTAACAGCACTAAATTCTCTTGAGTTCTTTCGCGAAGGCGTTTTTGCATGTTGCTGAAAGGTGCTTTGGCCTTGATTTATAAACATATTCGTTAAGCGAAATTACATGTTTCTTTAAAAAGTGTTTCTTATTTCGGTAGCACCTTTACCAACGTAAAGCAATTTGAGTTGAAAACCATGATATTTTGTTGGTTAGGTCATCATCGTCAGCAGTAGGGATGCGTTGTTTGACAAAGTCCGCCATCTCACAACTAAAGAAGTGGCACTTCCCATCCAGCCATTTTTATTCAAAAGCTCAAATAAGTGTTTTCGACTTACACCCGAAACTGTACATAATAGAAAAAAAAATAAAAATTTCTCAAGACTGCACCTATCAGTAGCTAAGTATATTGTTACACGATAGGCAGATATACTAGCTTTAAAATAAATTGAGTTTGACGCTGAAGAAAAGGTTCGTTTTTTTTTCTGAGCCTTCCATTCTTTAAACTTTAATAAAATTGTAAATACTTCTTTGACAAATAATTATATCAAAATTCGTGTTTCGAAATAAGTAACTAAACTTACCTAACAAATGAGCAGCCATGTCTGAATTAAAAAACAAACCACGATATTCTAATCTCAACACAACTACCAAAATGAACTTCAAGATACTCGAGAACAAATTCTATATAAATGAACATTTATATTTTTGTTTACTTTGTCCTCACTTTTATCGCATTCCGATCCACCAAATACAAAACTCTGATATACAAGTAAGATGGGACTTTATTCTATTTATAAAATTATACATACTATCAATCTTCATTGAAGACAAACTTGTCACCTAATGTCCCCGTAATTTTTACATTTAGACCATTGTGCGTCGCTTGCAATTTTGTGAAACTATGAGTAAACGAGTGGCGAATGATAATAATGTCCTATTTAATGTGTGTTTATCGGATGACTGTACTTTCTTTTTGACTGTGCAGTTAATCGGCACAACTGTCGGTACTGGGCTGAGGACAACCCCAGGGTTTTTCACGAGGTGCACACACAAAGCCCTCAGAAATTGAACGTGTGGGCTGGTATTTTTGGAAATTCTATTGCAGGTCAGTTTAACGATATTGAGAAGAACTTCAACGCACAAGTTACAGGCAAGCTATCTAGCAACTACCACACCTGATCGTCCAACCTTGTGGCAAGTGAGAAAATGCTTAAACATCTAAAAATAATAAGAAAAAACCTCAAATTTGTCGAAGGAATTTATTCTTATCATTTACTCTGATAAATGTTTAAAAAAACTTTTCAAATTTCAATCCTTCATATTTTCTCAATGGCTCGACCGATTTTCAAAAACGAGGCGGGGAACTATAGAGAATAGAAAGCTCTTTTCATTGCGGCGCCACTTGACCCCCCTTCCCATTTGAAAAAAGTTGGGGGATGATACCCCCGCTTAGAGGGTTGAATATTTTGCAATCATTTATGGCGCAAAAGTTGTCCCCCTCACAGACAAAATTGAAGTGTTTTTGGATTTTTTGAAAAAATAAATACCCTGGCCGTTATGCCTTGCGGAACGTTTTCGATGGGCCACCCTGTATATAATTTAAAAGTTAATAACCCTATTAGTACGAGAGCTTGCAACGTCGGGAAAACAAGTGTTTTAAGAAAGCTGGCTCTTTAATATATCGTTCACTATGCTCTCCGGAACAGCATGCGGCCCGTCTACTGCCGGTAAACGTTGCGTTCCCTACTGCGCATTGAAAGAAGATCCTATATTTTTATTTGTCCTTTAAACTCTAGTATTGAATATAAACCGACCGAGTCTCCATAGTTCAGCGCGTAGAGGTTCCGCCTATCAAGCGAGGAGTTAGAGTTCGAGACCGGGTCATCAGGGCAAAAACTTTATTATTTTATTTTGGTTTATATTCTGATAGTAAAGTATTAAATAATTCTGGTGATTAAAAAAAACAAATACTTAATACTTTACTATCAGAATATAAACGAAAATAAAATAAACAAGTTTTTGCCTTGACCCGGTCTCGAACTCTGAATCCTCGGTTCGTAGTCGGAAACTCTACGCGATGCGCTATGGAGACTTGTTCGATTTATATTCAATACTAGAATTTAAGGGACTAAATAAAAAATATAGAATCTTCTTCCGTTGCGCAGTAGTAAACGCAACGGGTATCGGCAGCCAGATAGGCCGCATCCAGAGAGCATAGTAAAAGATATATCAAAGAGCCCAGCATTCTAAAATACTTTCTCGAAAACTTTGCTAGCTCTTAGACTATATACTCTGGGAAAGTTAACGAACCTATTGGGGTAAGTTCAAAAAATTTACAATGAAAACTTCAAAAACAATCATAAATGCTGCATGCTTTGTTTTGCCAAGAAAGACAATGATAATATTGCAACCAATTTTCAGATAGTGGGTCGGTATATTTTTTATCACATCTAGGGCATAAATATTGAATTTTGCTATTGGAACCTGAAGTAGCACTGGAACCTTCAATATTAGCAGCACTAGGACCTGAAGTATTAGTAGCACTAGGACTTGCAATAACAGCAATAATGTTTTTTGACGTTTTTGTTCTTTATTTTCCCGAATTGCTTAATTTTCTTGCATTTCAATTGTTTCATTTGTTCATATTTTTCCTCAATCTGTCTTTGTTTTTTAACTATTTTAAACGTTGCAATTGGCCTAATGTTCCAAATGCTTAACGTTTATGTGTCTCTGTTTGATCTTTTAATGTTTTTTTTTATGTAATCTGCTCAGGTGTAGTCAGTGATTTTAGTTTTTGTACGAACACACTTAATGGTATTTCATTTTTTTTAGAAGACGAAGAATCCACGATTTTATTAACGACCCCGTATTATTAACCATTGGTAAAGTTCCGTTCATTTCAGGTTGTTCAAATCGCGCGGTTGTTTTTGAAGATATGAAATCACTATTGGCCGCGTTCATCAGACGCAAGCGCTTGCAAACGCCAGAGCGGTCGCCATTTTTGGAAGCGATGATTTCTTTTGCTTGTTTAATTAAACTCTTTTTTCTTTGTCTAAACTGTTTTTATTACTTATTTTCTTTGTCTAAACTATTATTTACTCTATGGTCGTGTTTCATGAGCGTTCACCAGAAAGATCCAGCGCTGAATAAGTAAGCGCAAACGTTAGCTCTAGTGAACGCAGCCATTGTTAAAAATGAGGGAGTTAAATGGCCCAATGCCATAAGCTCTGAAGCCACTTACAGCATTATTTACAGTCGCCCTGCAGTAAGCCTCTACAAACAAAGGTCCCATATTTTTCTCGGTTATTGGAGTTTGATTAAAAAAGAATCACACATTTAACTGTAAAATGTCTGAAAGGGCCCGAAAAAAGCGTCCAATGGTTGTAGTCGCTGGGTTGTATGAATTATGAGGTATGAGGTGGCTCGGATCGTCATCTTACCCCGATCTCACCCTACGTTTTTCAATTTAAAACACTGAAATACAGAGGGTACCTCTGAAATAAGCACAAGTGTTTTAAGGGGTGATAAATCTGAACAAAAAAAATGTTTACAAATTACAATGAGTTTATAAACACATTGATATGCATGTCGGAGGTAGGTGACGTAGGGTGTTGCAATATTGCAGCATTCGATACACTGCCATGAAATTTCAGATTGAACTGCTGCCCTAAATAGTTGTTTTCATCCAGAGACATATAAATAATTCAATAATCAAAATTTTGAATTTTAATATATAATTGTTCTAGTGGGCCGATTTTGCTGATTTTTAAGTAATATTTAGCTAAATTATTTGACTTTTTAGTATCTTTTTCTAAATTAAAAATGAAAGTTTCCATCTCTCAATTATACGAGGTGAAACAAAATATTGATATTTTGGTGAAAGTTTGAAACACCCTGTGGAATATATTAACAGAGCAAGGAATTTGAAAATCATTTTGTCACCTAGGTACCTCTTTTCTCGATAGTTTATCTCAATAGTTTTATTTTTATTTGAGATATTCGCTTTTGAATAAGACAGTAAAGATTTCCAGCAATTTTAGCATTGATTTTGGGTTCTCATTCATACACTTATAAAATAGTGTTTATTGTTTTTGTAGTGTCACTGTCATTGAAAATTATTATTATTGTTTATTAACATTTACTTTAATAGAGATGGTTTTAAGTTCTTAGGTATCGGCTATTGTTGCTTTAGTTGATCATGGTAGAGACTTTTGGACTTAAAACCATATCTGCTAGAGTAACTGCATAACAAACAATAATAATATGATTTTTCAAAGACAGTTACGTTATATAAATCACAAACACTATTTTATAGTTTTGTTGACTAGGACCAAAACCAAAGGCATGCGTTTGAAGTAAAAAATACGAAAAAATATTAGTGTCTTCTTCAAAAGCGAATATCTAAAAAATTGGTCAAGTGCGAGTCGGACTCGCGCACGAAGGGTTCCGTACCATTCATTATCTATACAACATTAGACACTATATTATTATAAACATTTTTTCCGATTTAGCTGAAATTTTGAATGGTACGTATAAGTATTTAAAATAAAATGAAGGAACACATTACTAAAAATTATATTATTCAATAATAAATATGTAAAAAGTAAAAATAAATATGTAAAAATTAAAAAAAAAACGATTTAAAAAAGTCGCCTTGACTTGGATTCGAACCTGCCTTACTACGGCTCCAATGTCATAGCAGCGTAAAGCCCTAACGCTTTAACCACGCGGTCACCGAGGACTTGAAATGTAAAATTCTTACTTAAAAGAATAATGTTTAGTGAAAGTACTTTTTTATTTATAAACATTTATTTAATCCTGTTTTTAGTATTTGTTCTTATAGCGGCAACATAGGTACATTATCTATAAAAAATTCAACTGTCTAGCTATAACGGTTCATAAGATAGACTTTTGTGACAGACGGACGGACGGATGGATAGCGAAGTCTTGGTAATAGGGTTCCCGTTGGGTACGGAACATTACTGAAAGTTAACGGCTATCTAAATTTTAGTTCAAACTTTTACGAGAATACTAACATTTTGTTTTCCCACGTATAATTTACAGATGGCAACTTTCATTTTTATTTAGAAAGATATACTAAAAACTCAAATAATCTAGCTACAAATTGCTTAAAAAATCATCAAAACCGGTCCACTAGAACATGATAGGAAAAAACAAAAAAAAACTCTACTTTAAAGCATATGAATATTTTAAGGTGCCCGTTACGTGGTGCCCGTAGGGTGAGTGTACTTACTACCAGTAAAATACTTGCACTTATTTAATAGTCACCCTGTATACAGATTTTCAAATTATATTAAACTTACTGATGTTAAAATATTACTTAATATTTAAATAGGTTTCAAGCATGTTTCGCTATCTCACCAAGTCATCGCTATGGTACGAATTGTACCAAGAGGGTTTACTTCTTGCGCAGATGCATACCTTACCCCGCATGTCAAGAGGTACGTGGAAGGATTTTGTAGCGGGTTCAAGGACAATCTCAAAGGAACCAGGGTTCTTTTTATGCAAAGCGATGGCGGTTTGACTCCTATGGAACATTTTAATGGAGCCAGAGCGATTTTGTCAGGACCGGCTGGAGGTAATATACTGAATGATTGAAAAAAAACTGCGTCAAAGTAGATTAAGTCGAGATTTTCAAAATACCGTTTCTTCTTTAAAAACATGCTAATATTTAAGGGGACTCGGACCTATTCTAAGAGAAAATCCTTCATATGAGTGTATGTCCTCAAAATCTTAAATTCTGAGAGACAGGGTGGTAAAATTTTCTAAAAAAAAACTTTTTTTATAACTCTGATTTTAGGGTAGACATTTTTATGAAACTTGATACACGTACAAAGAATTTTATTTATTTCAACCAGTGCCGTCCATACACATTGAATATTTGTAGAGAAAAAAGTGGTACACCACTGACTTCTCTTAAAATAAAAATTATTTTCAAAATCTTCATTCGTTTCTAAACATTTTTTATCTCCTGATTTTTTCGTTCAACGCATAGTTTTTGCTAAAAAAAGTCAGTTTACTTCAGGGTCAAATAAATCGCTGAAAATCTGATGCGGTGACTTGTGTGGAAATTATTTCTGGAGGCTGGTTCATACCATCGGCTGAAAGGAAATGAAGAAATAAAACATTTTTTTTGTATATTAAATTAAGCATTTTGATTAAAAAAAAATAGAAATTTTTACCACCCTGTATCTGAAAAGATGTTTAGGATATACAGGGTGGTCCGAACTATATTTCGGAAACTTCGGCAGCATATTCTGCAGATGAAAATAAGTAAAAAAGTTCGTATAAATGTATGTCCTAAAATGCTTAGTTTCGGAGATACAGGGTGTAGAAATTTCATTTTTATTTCGATTTTTTTCAAATAATTTCTGAAGTAACATCAATATTTGGATGAAAATTCATGTCAGGGGGTTTTTTGACATGAGAAATTTGATTTTGATGTCTATATGACTCGTACTTGTATAGGGCGCCATCTACATATTTTTAACTGGTTTGAACAATAATAACTTTTTGTCCGTATCTGTATAAAACTACTGAGTAAAAAGTACTTAAAAAGTACGTACTTTTTTACGTAAAAAAGGTATCTTGGTAAAAATCGCTACGAGTAATGGTTCTCAAGATATTTGGAATCAACATAAGTTATTAATACCTGTGATCATTGACATAATTTCAACATGTTGACTAAATAGTTATTAGACTGAAATCTGAAATGTTTTGTGCCAAAAGTTCAACAGAAACTGTTTTATCATCATTTTTTCGAAGAAAAATTTATGATTAATTAAAATAAATAAAAAGGTACCAAATTTATCATTTCAACATGTTTATTTTCTGTCAATAATGACATGTATTGACTATTTTCATTCTAAATATCTTGAGAACGGTTGCTCGTAGCAATTTTTAGCAAGATACATCTTTTACGTAAAAAATTACGGAAATGAATATTTTTTCACTCAGTGGGTTTATATAGGTACGGACGAAAAGTGATTACACTTCAAAACAGTTAAAACACATGTAGGTGGCGCCCCCTACAAATGGAAGTCATTTTGACATTAAAATCAAATTCCTCATGTCAATAAACTCCCAGGCACCAATTTTCATCCAAATATTGACGTTACTTCAGAAACGATTGGAAAAAATCGAAATAAAAATGAAATTACTACACCCTGTATCTCCGAAACTAAGCATTTTAGAACCAGTGGCGTAGCTAGCATTGAAAGAGCCCTGTATCACGAATTTCGCAGGGGGTCCCTGAGACAGAACCATGGGGGGGGGGTAAATAAAATAAAAAAAATACCATCTGATCAGAATAGCTTATTATTTATTAATAACTTTTTACTTACAGGAATAAAATAAACATTCTTTCCAACAATAAACATAAATATCAAAACAAGGAACGTATGGTTTTTGGTAAAATTATACCTACAGAAATAAAATAAATATTCGTTCCAACAACCAACAAACAAACATTAAAATAAAAACAAGAAAATATTATGAAACTAAAATCGAGAAGGGTAACAATAATTATTAGGTATATAACAATTTTATTTTTATTTTTAGCAACCGTTTGATGTATACGGGGACAGGCGAATGCGTGATGGTCGCGTGCTCTGGCTGTAGTTGATACGGGGTTTCATTAAAGTATGGGCAAAGTTTGCATAAATACGAAAAATTTTGATGCTAACATCATATTTTGATTTTTTTTACTGCTCAGTGGGCCCTTCAGGTTAGTGGGCCCTGTATCATTGATACAGCTGATACAGCGGTTGCTACGCTACTGTTTAGAACACACATTTATAAGAACTTTTTTACTTATTTTTATCTGCAGAATATGCTGCCGAAGTTTCCGGAATACAATTCGGACCACCCTGTATGTTCATATGAAGTTTTTTCGTAGAATAGGTCCAAGAATCAGCTTAAATATTAGCATGTCATGCTGAGAAACACCCATAAGGTGCTTGTAATATCAGCCATTTTTTAGGTGTTGTTGGTTATGCCGTGACCACTTGGAAAAAAGAAACTGATCTGCCGGTGATAGGGTTTGATATGGGTGGTACTTCAACTGATGTATCAAGATTTGCTGGAAGTTACGAACATGTGTATGAAAGTACCACGGCAGGGGTTACGATTCAAGCGCCACAGTTGGACGTTAATACCGTAGCTGCTGGAGGTGGTTCCATGCTATTCTTTAGGTTTGTATGTACCGTATGATCGAAAAAAATGGCGCCTAGTTGGCTTGGAAAAGACGATCGATGGCATTTCCCATATAATTTTACATATAAAATGACAGCGATCATCATTTCATAGCCATCGCTGACGCCGTTTTTATTCGATCATACGGTACTTGTTTTAGATAGAAACTAAAATTTTACATGAAAAAAACAAATGAAATCTTTTATGTATATTAATAAAATCTAAATCTACTGATTTGAGAATCTACGGTTCAAACAGTATCGATGGCATCGATCCGGTGCGTGGCTTCGATAGATTTTCAAAAAAAAAAACAGGAGAATGAATCTGCGATACTAAAAAGATTTTTTATTAATAGATAGAGTCTCAACAAGTTTTTGCAAAAAATAACTTATGAGCATTGTTTATGGGATCAAAACATACTAAGTACTACAGTTCATACCAAATAAACTTTCACGTTACGTGATTAAGGTTCACCGGCACAGCGTTGCCTACTTTTATATATTATTTTCTTTTAATTAGAGATGGGTAAAAGTAACCGGTTATTTGAATAACCGGTTAAATTGTGTTGGTTAATTTTATCAAGTTATTATTTTCAGACAATTTCATTTAACCTATAACCGTTTTTTTACCAATAACCGCCCATCTCTACTTTTAATTAAAATATTTTAGGAAACAAAAATAAATTAATTATAAATATATAAACAGTTATTATTTACAACAAAAAACTCATTTTTTAACAGCACTTAAGGGACATAAAGGGCCATTAGTATCGCTTTCCCGTTCAAAATATTCTAATAAATTTGCCATGAGTTATTTACTGCTATTAAACTACCTTGTACACTTCGCACTAAAATACGTTCTAAATAAACAATGTTTGATTGCAAGATCTGCTAGTAAACATTTTTAAGCTTGGAGTACCACAATACTATTTATTTAATCCAAAAACTCGTAATGAAAAACTAAAGTGTCAAAACGAATGATAATGTCAGGAAATAAATAAATAAATGCGGCAAATTGACATTTTTTACACTAGAGCTACCACCTGAATCCCCAGCGCGAAATTTAAATTCCAGTTAGTTAGCGCGGCGCCGAATATGTCCATGGTTGGCAACAATGAATTTAAAAATCGCGCCCTCGATTACGTAACTAAACGTTTAATTGATATAAAATATAGATAAAATACTTGCACTCATTAAAACTTTAAACTAAAGCATATTCCAAAAATTAAAATAAACAGGGTTTACAGTCTCTATTTCCTAATACCTGATAGCACCAAGACCTTCATTATAAATGCAAAAAGCGTTTTGTTGTGTATGTGTGGCACGCCAACAGATGAAACCAATTTCATTTTAAAGGCATATGTTCCAATGAAATTCATACAGCTTTAACAAGTTTGTAGATTGACACATCCGGTATGCTTGTCGAGAATAATAGAGGTTGCTCGTATAACAATAGACAATAGAAATATTTTCAAGGACTGGCCGCATCATTGTTGGGTATTAGGGTTTTAAGATTTATTTCAAGTTTTGTTAAAATATATTTGGTTACATAACGTAAAATTATATGATAATGACAATACAAATATTTATTTACTCGTTTTTTGGCATATTCAGTAACATTGAATTATACATACATAAAAGTACACGCAATATCCTTTTGAGACAACCAATCTATAATGTCCCCTTTTCTTCAAGAAGCGGTTGGCAATTTTTCTACTAATCTCGAATGATAACTGGCGTTGTCCATAATAAAAGAGTTCCCCGAAAGTAATGTTGTCATTTGATTTAGGTCTGGTATGTTCGTGGTTGGTCCAGAATCAGCAGGCGCCCATCCAGGACCGGTTTGTTACAAGAAAGGTGGGCCACTCACTGTTACAGACGCAAATTTAGTGTTGGGACGTCTTTTGCCAGAATTCTTTCCAAAAATATTCGGTCCCAACGAAGACTCGCCGCTGGATAAAGACGAAACTTCAAAAGCTTTTGCGGCATTGACACAAAGAATTAATGCATTCCTGATCGACGAGAATCCAGACAAAAAAGTGAGTACAAATTTATTTTATTGTTATTGGTAAATCAAACCAAAGGCCGAGTTTTATATTTATTTAATATTTAATATTATCGTGCGTAATATGAATATGGAATGTTATTAATGTGTTGGAATTGAAGGCATATAAATAAAATACACGAGCTTTTGTACAGGAAATATTAAATATTTTATAAATATTTGATAAACAAAATGCACATGAAGGGTGGTCCAAATTGCAACCGGAAACTTCGGCAGCATTACTCTGCAGATAAAAATAAGGAAAAAACTTGTCTAATAAATAATAATAATAAATGTATGTCCTAAAATAAATAATAACTAAGTATCCTAAAATGCTTAGTTTCGGAGCTACAGGGCGTAGACATTTCATTTTTATTTCAACTTTTCCGAATAATTTCTGAACTATGGTTGATATTTGGATGAAAATTGGCTTCTGGATATTTTTTGACATTTTAAATTTGATTTCGAGGTCATTATGAATCTTAGTTGTAGAGGACGCCACCTACATATTTTTGAATTATTTTGAAGAGGAATAATTTTTCGTCCGTACCTGTATTAAACCCTACTGAGTGAAAAAATACACATTTCGGACGATTTTATTTATGTAAAAAGGTTCTTTTGGTAGAAACCGCTACGAGAAACGTTTCCAATTTTCGGGATCGGCATCCCGTTTTGAAATCCCGGGATACGAACCTGTAATCCCGCGATCCCAAAATTGACTCTCAGAATGAGAAATCTAATCTAAAGAAATACAAAATAAAAATGCATCTACATATATCAAAAATCTAATGAGAAAAGAGATTTACTAAAATAGGCAAAACAAGGTACTTAACATTCATATTTAGTAAGTAAAAAAATTCAATTCTTCTACCAAAAAAAAACAATATACCAAACCCAATTAATAATTTAAAAGATTTGCTAATTTATTTTGTTGGTATAAATTGATTTTGTTAATACTTTCTGATACCTAATTAAAAACCAAAAAATACGGTTAGAAATTAGACTTAAAGGACATTTTTATATATTTTTCTTGATATTTCCCCGGAGTTAAAAAATCTTGTTTCTACATTTTTTGGCAGTGTTGCCACCTCAAACATGAATTCACATACACAGGTATATCTGGGACCGTGAGTTTTTATTCACTAGGAGAGTAACCTGTGAATATGAATTTTAGCATTAATGATAATTTTTAAGTTTGGTTATGCTTTTGTCATGAAGTGATTATTTTCACAGTAAACACTAGTTTTTTGTCCAGATCTACTACCGCTTAAAATTAAATTTTCAGTTAATCAGTTTTTTCTTACTGTATCTCCTAAGGAGTCAATGACGATTGAAGAAGTGGCAATGGGGTTCATCAGGGTTGCCAACGAAGCAATGTGCCGACCAATCAGAGCCTTGACCCAAGGAAAGGGCTATGACACTGCAAGACACGCACTGGCATGTTTTGGAGGCGCGGGCGGTCAACACGCATGCGCTATAGCCAGGTCGCTTGGAATGACGACCGTTTTCGTACATAAATATGCAGGTACGAATATGTATTTCTATATTATATTATGTATTTCTATATTAATATGTATTTATATATTTTTTTGGTTAATGTATCTATAAAAAGCTTCGAATAAAATTATTAAGGGAGGAGCATATCAAAAAACTAGTGAATCGCGATGAGGACCTAATATGGCTGATAGTATGTAGTAATATGGACCTAATATGGCACATAGACAGTGATCTTCATTCCAGAGCCATCGTTGACGCTGTTTTTTGTATCGTATTGCATCGTATGAAAAAATCGGCGTCCAGTTGGCTTGGAAATGAACATCAAGGACATTCCTTATATAATTTTACGTATGAAATGAGAGCAATCTTTATTTCATAGCCATTTCCTTGTAGGCATTTTATCTGCATACGGAATGGCATTAGCTGATGTTGTCGAAGAAGCTCAAGAATCTTGTTCTAGAACATACACTCCAGAAAACTTCGAATATTTTGATAATCGCTTAGAGACACTAAAGCAACGATGTTTCAAAGAGCTACAAGATCAAGGATTTTCAGAATCAAATATAGGTATTAATATTAATTTTAATATACTAAACTTGAGTTATGTATGTATACCGGGTGCGTCTCGAAAGTGGCTCACCCCCTATAACTTTTTTATTTTTTCAGATAAAAAACGACACGTTAGTATATAACATAAATTAGGATTGACTGACGTATTCAATTGTTTTTGGTCACTTCCTGTTTCTCCGGAAACGACTATAAGTTTTGATTTTTAAATGACACCCTCAGTATATTTCTACTTTATTTGATAGAAAATAACACTCTGAGTAAAATGACATATCACATGTCAACTTTTTACATTTTTTGCTTAAAAAAATAGAGTTCCATAGCTATGTTAAAAACACTAATTTTTAATGAAGAAGCCTTAGAAAAAATAGATTTGATAATCTAATATTTTTCGTGTTTAGTCCTGGCTGGTTAAAAGATGCTCAAATCGTATTTTTAATCATATATCAATTTTTTCAAATATTTTTTTTATATTTTTTCAATAATTTGGTACCAAACCCATTTCGAGTCAAATTGTCGTTATGAACCGCATGTTGCAATTACCATGTTACAAATAAACCATATGCGAAAATGTTAAAAGTTCACATATGATATGTCATTCTAGTCAGAGTGTCATTTTCTATCGAATAAAGTAGAAATATACGGAGGGTGCTATTTAAAAATCAAAAGTTGTAGTCACTTCCGGTGGGGCAGGAAGTGACCAAAAACAATTGCATGCGTCAATTAATTCTGATTTATGTCATATAACACACCAAATGTCGTTTTTTTTATCTGAAAAAATAAAAAAAATACAGGAGTGAGCCACTTTTGAGACGCACCCGGTATAATTGACCGAATGAGAAATAAACTAAACTTTCTATTTAATTATTTTCATAATTTAGTCTTGGAACCTTATTTGCACATGCGCTACGATGGTACCGATTGCGCGCTAATGTGTGGTCCTTGGAATCCCGATGGTGCTACTACTAATCCAAAACACGGCGATTTTCTGCAAACTTTTATTAGAAGATACAAGGCTGAGTTTGGATTTGTCATCGCTCATAAGGATGTTATAGTCGACGATATTCGGGTAATAATACAAAAAAATAAAACAAAAATATAGCGCAGTATTTAATAATATCTTTGTTTTGTAGGTCAGAGGCGTTGGTAAGAGTGATATTGAGTTAGAACAACCTTTAGATGTTCAGAAAGGTGATCCAAATCCTATAACAGTGACGAAAGTTTATTTTGAATCCGGATATGAAGATACAAACGTGTATCAGTTGAAGGACCTTTTGCAGGGCAAACATTAAAAGGTATAGAAAGTTGTCCCAAAAAAGCAGCAGTTTATTTCCAGCAGTAATTATTCCGCTTTTTGACATTTGACATTATAGACGTGTATAAAGTATAGAGTAACAAAATTACATTGATTTGTTTTCTGTATGTTAGAAGCGAAATGTAAACAAATCCTTTGTTTATTTACAGTTTGATTTAACCACAGATTTAATATAGCCCTTTCTTGAGATGTAACAACGTCACGTGTAGTTTTAGAAAGTTCATAAAAATAGAAATATAGTGCTAAATAAATATATCTGTTTACGCCACAAGCATTTTGAAATATTAATTAAAAAAGCGGTACTAGCTTCATTAAATGAACTTCGCTTGGTCCTTAAAGAAAAATGGGAAACATAACGCAATATGATATATGCAGCCTCATTGACAGTATGAACGGACATACCTATACATACAGGTAGTTATAGCAGCCAAGGAAGGCCATACACAGTATTAGGGATTTTTTTTTTATTTTTTTTTGTATACTGTTTGTATACTTGAGTATACTTGAGTATACTTGAGTAGTTCTGTTATCGTTATTCAGGATTATTAAAAGCAGGACTGTATCATTACTGTTTAACATTTTTTAAAATGTAGTATAGGCTATCCAATGCAGCGTAATATGACGTTACGACAATAATTACCAAAGCCACATTGTCATATTGAAAAATTTAATTAATAAGTAATAATTGCAAATTATTGGTGGCAAGTTCATTTCGCTCTTAAAAATTAACCAAGGCATGTATTGACGTGAGCCAAAAAATAACATGCTCAGGAGACATGGTTCTGACAAAAAATAACGTTCTAGGAAAATTTGCTTACGAAATTATTGCACAAGGTGTTTTTAAGGTAAAAACCATTCGATAAACGCTGTATAATAAGGCCCAATACTAAAGTTTATACAAAACTGAGGTTAAAAATTAAAGCTGATATATTTATATATAGTTTGGCAAAAATCATGACAATTAGGCTAAAAATAAACAGAATATGATACTTTAAATTTGACGAAAATTTTTTCCGTTGTTTTTTTTTATTTGTCTCAGTTATTTTTTTAAGTTAACATTTCTGTTCTTTTTAGTTTCATCTTTTTCTGTTATTCCTCTATTTTTTAGTACACACATTTTTGAAGTATTTTTAAGAAGAGTAAAAATATGAATTGATTCAAATTTAAATAATAGAAATTATACTCCCTATTAAATACACTTAGATGCAAAAACGCAACGGAGAAATTTTTTTGTCAAATTTAAAGTATCATATTCTGTTTATATTTTAGCCTAATTGTCATGATTTTTTGCCAAACTATATATAAATATATCAGCTTTAATTTTTACACATTTTTAGCCCCTATTTTTATGATTTTTTTAGCAAACTGTGTATAATTATATCAACTTTAAATTGTAAACTAAGTTTTTATAAACTTTAGTATTTGGCATATTATACAGGGTTATTCGAGGGGTTGTTTTATTACCTTAACTTTAAACACATTTTTTTTCTGCTTGTATACTTAAGTATTACAGGTGCTTTCTTTTTAATATCGTTAGTTCTGTTATCGTTATTAATGTTTATTAAAACCAGGACTGTATCGTTAGCCTTTAACCTGTTTTTTTATTTATTATAAAGTATTCAATGCAGCGTAATATGACATTATGATAATAGTCACCAAAACCATCTCGTCATATTAAAAATTACATTCAAAAGTAACGATAATTGAAAAAATTGCAAATTGATCGTGATCAGTTCATTTCTGTTCTTAAAAATTAACCAAAGGATGTATTGACCTGAATCAAAAAACAAAATGCTCAGGAGTCATGCTTCTGACCGTAAAATTATATTTTAAGAAAATTTAAACACGAAATTATTGCACAGGGTGTTTTAAAGTTAGGGGGTAAAAAACAACTCCTCGATTAACTCTGTATAATATGGCAAATACTAAAGTTTATAAAAACTGAGTTTACAAATTAAAGTTGATATAATTATGTACAGGTTGATAAAAAATTCATGAAAATAGAGCTAAAAGTAACAAAAATATAACACTTTAAATTTGACCAAAAATTTCTCTGTTGCGTTTTTTTTGCATCTGAGTGTAATTTGAAGTTAATCTGTTTTTTTACTCACACCAACCGAAATTTATTTTAAAATATGCCAATTTTCATTGATTTTCAGCAAAAATATAAATTATTCATAAAAACGATATATATTAGAAGATTTTTAAGATTGTAGACTTTAAATTGAATAACATTTTGTTCAGGGCCAGCTATAGTAATGGATCAACTGAGCACGATCCTAATCGAACCGGATTGCACAGCTGTCATAACAAAATATGGCGATATCAAAATCACTATCGGCACTGGAAAAGTCAAAGCTATAGGTCCGGAACTGGACTCCATCCAGTTAAGCATTTTCAGCCATAGATTTATGAGTATTGCCGAACAAATGGGAAGGTATGAGTTTTGTATATTTTTCTATTTGGGAACAGATTTCAGAACAGAATTATTAAGTTTTGTAAATAATTTCTATACATTTATAGAAATAAAATAAAAATTAACTTATAGACATGTATGTGTTAAATACCTAGAATGTAATTAAAATACTTAGATTTAGCGTTTAGCGCTATTTTGAATACAGTGGCGTGCGGTTCATGGAAGCGGGGGAAGCTACGCTTTCCTATACGTTGAGACAAAAAGAGACCAAGTTTTCTAATTACCAACTCATAACAATTAATATTAATTTAGGTAGTGGATTATACAGGGTGTCCCAGACATAAGTGCAAGTATTTTTAGGGGGGGGGGGGCGTGTAGATCTGGCCAAATGACATACATATTTTCTCTTTAGCATTTTAAAAATAAATTGATAATAACGAAATTATTTAACTTTAAAAATTTTAAAAAATAGTTGCAGCATTTTGAGAGCTGCCGGCAGCAATCGATAATCAGCAGCAAATACCAAGGAATTGATTCTATAAATATATTTTCTTTCTAGTGACTCATCGTATATAAATATCATAAGCTAGGAAAGAAATTTCTTGCTACTGAGCTTACAGAATTCCACTGCTGGATATCGGCTTGTTCGACGCCCAGTGTTGACATATCGACTAGAGAGTTAAAAACGACTTGGAAAATTCAGATTAAAAGTAAAAAACTTACTTAATATTAAGAAACTGGACTCCGATATGTAGCAGGTTGATGTAATTAGGTTAGAGCGTCGTTTTATCACTTTACCTATTGTTGAAATATCTTTACATACTTTTTGACATTTTCCGTAAAATTAGAAAAACAAATTATGTCCATTTTGAAATTCTTTGTCGGTATATCTAGAGAATGTAGAATGTTTAGGAGGGGAGTTAATCACCGCGGCCTTACTGATCTATTGTGTGTTCCCCTTTCTTGAGTTATAACTCATCATACAGTCCCAGCGCTTTAAAAAAAGTCAGTATCTGAGACGGCTCCACAGAGGCCAGCTCTCCATCCTCGACATCAGCCCTACTAAAGTTCATGGCACTCAGTGATAAGGTGTTCTGGTGTTTCCTCATTTTTTGTTGTTTCTCAGCTTCAGCCTACTGAGGTGTTCGTTGAGGAGACAAGTCGTTGAGTGTCCTGTTAGAAACCTCGTGACAATCCGAAGATTATTTTTGCTTAAATCAAGGAAAATCTTTGATTTTTCTCGGTTCTAGGTTCTCAGGAAATTCTTCGCGTGTCTTAAACCGTTGGAGGATTCCCATTTTAGGTTACGGATGGAGTCTTCCAGATTCTTCAGTTCCGCTTTCAGTTGGTTTCTGTCATTCTGCAATTTATATGTTTATAAGTTCATAGTAATTTTACTTTTCTACACAATGCATTACAAAAATTAATAATAAATTATATCAGTGGCATTACTACTTAAAATACATACTTTGAAGACACCTTGTATAATATAAATATAATTTAAAACATCATGGATCGGTGTTTACTCCTTGATATTTTTAGCTATCGATATTTTTTAGGATCCTGCAAAGAACTGCCATATCAACAAACATAAAAGAGCGTCTGGATTTTTCATGCGCACTTTTTGGAGCCGATGGAGGGCTGGTGTCCAACGCTCCACATATTCCTGTTCATTTGGGAGCCATGCAGGAAGCCGTACAGTACCAAATGAAGACCAGAGGCAGGTTTTACCCTGGAGAGGTGATACTGTCCAACCATCCTGCGGCTGGAGGTTCACACTTGCCCGATTTTACTGTCATCACACCAGTGTTTCATAAGTAAGTCTGTTTACAGATGGCCTTTTAGACTAATTCCTTTTGGTATTTTGCAAGTTATAAGCACCAAATAAATAGACTAAATTAACAAAAAATTGGATTTGTCAATAAAAAATGTAATGTGTACCATAATATTTATTTATGATATAACTGCTAAAAGTGGTATTTAAACCTGACCTAACCGAACAAAACAAAATCACTTTTAGCACACATATCATACACTATTTTTTCTACAAACAAGTTTATGCTCGTATATCTCAAGGTATTATTACATGATTATTACTTTTTACGTTAATGAATAATTCATAATATGTCATTCTGAAATCAAATTAATTATGAAGTTTATGGTTGCTAGGGTAATTGAAAGATTCCAAACATTCGATCATTTGTTGTCAACTAATGTCAAATTTGTGCCTCAACTCTTGTAAAATGATGGAAAGTGATCTCATCTTTATACTGGACATTGCTTTCGAAGATCCTCGGCTAGTTTGCTGACAGATTCAGGGGCTAATCTTAATACAATTAAGCGACACGGTGGATGGTCCAGTACCCTAGCGGAGGGTTATATGGAAGACTCTTTACAAAATAAAACGAGTATTACAGGTCAAATTTTATCCAGAACCTCAGCGGATACTAGCATTGCTTTTAATCTTGGTACAAGATTCACATCAGAAATAACTTCTACTTGTACTAAAGCTATAAATGAACTTGGCCATGGAATAACTTATTCCAATTGCAATTTCACTAATTGTACATTTAATTTGAGTAAATAATTATTTTACGTTGACTTGATTTTTCTTATTTTTTTCAATTATCGCTTCAGTGTTAAAAGTAAATCACGTGACTTACTTTTACCATCAGTGACAAATGTCACATTTTAGGTACTGACAGCTGACAGCATGCGTTAAAAATTACATTTTTACTGACGTTTGTAGAAAAATATTTTTAGGCGACACTGTTTCAATCTTTCAGGGATCTGGAAGTTCCGATATTCTTTGTGGCCAGCCGTGGTCATCATGCTGACATAGGTGGCATCACTCCAGGTTCTATGCCACCACATTCGACCAGCCTAAGTCAAGAAGGAGCAGCCTTCAAGTCGTTTTTGCTTGTCCAAAATAACCACTTTAGAGAAGAGGAGATAGTGAGAGCTATCAAAAATGCTGGAGGTAGAAATTTGCCGGATAATCTGTCTGATTTGAGAGCCCAAGTGGCAGCTAATAAAAAGGGCATTGATTTAGTAAGTAGTTTTCTTCTATGAATATAATAATTGTATTGTGATTAGTTAAAATAATAGACATTGGTCAGTTTATTTTATTTAGTCTCTCTCTTTAAGCACCTATTCAACCATTTTGTTATAAATTATTAATATAATTATTAGTCACCTTTATTTCTGTAATAATTGTAATGACTTGGCAATTGCACGATATGATATTCTATACTAATTAAAAAACTTTATTCTTAAGCGCACTGTTTAGATTTACTTAGTAATCGAAATAGTAGATTATTTTTTTATTATTATGGTGCCGTAAAAAATGATGGCGTCGAAGACGGCAGGTTAATGAAGATCGATGATAATTTTGGCGAGGTTAAGCCTTACACGTCATTTACATGACTAGTAGGTACTCTTCTTTATTTTTTGATGGCGCTTAATAATTGTTCTTAAGAAGCTTCTAATTTATTTTTATTTGAGTAAAAATGATTTTTAAATCGTGTAGTTTAAAATGATTCGAGAATTTATGTGTTTTTGGTTGGCTTGGTGCATTCTCTACCGGTGCTGTCACCATCGGAGAACATCGTAAACAATCAATATATACAAATACATAGGTTTAAATAGCTAGTATACGAAAAATTTATTATTTAATCATTCTAAAGTGTTAGGAAGTACCTATAATTTGTGAAAATTGTGAACATAAAAATAAAAAAGTAAATGTTTTGATATCTGTAGAAGGTCTCACTTGTATTATAATTTTTAAATTCCAGTTAAAAAAACTTTTTAGATGAGCTACCGTAGTTGAACGGTAGCGAGTATAGTTTTAATCACCGGTTTTGCTAGCGAGGCATAATTGGGGCTATTTCGGCTATAACGAAATTTTATAAAGGTACATAATTATAATTTTAGAAGATGTTCATGAAACATTTAATCTAGTTGATTAAAAAAAGTATACCATTAATATTGCAAATTATATTTTAACCTCTTATAGTAAATGTCTATTTAATTTTTTGATTATGTAACGAGCACTTTGTTTACCAACTTGTTTGGTCGAACTGCTTGAATTCATTGTTGCTTTTGGTAAAATCGGTGTGAGAAACTATGAAGCTATAAAATGTTTCGGGAGAGTTGAATATCCGAAAAAATTGAGTTATTGAATGTCATTGCACAATTACGCCCTAATTACGCTCTCCTTTACGCGTTAACATTTTTTCATCAATTTTATTAACATTAGAAATTGTCACAACACAACACGACGCCTAGTTCGAATTCTTTTTCATTTATTTTTTACTACCCGAAACAGCATTACATCACACAAACCTCGTACCTGAGTGTTTTATAGTTTCAATAACTGCACTAGCAAAAAACCAAAATATTTAAATATGTTATACTTTGTAATATAATATTACAAAGCTAGGCGATTTCAATATTATTTTAATGTGATAACATAACGGCGCGGCGCGGCGCGGCTGCGTGAACTATACCGTGCTGGCAACTGTTACTCTTGGGTCGGTATTTACATGTGTGGAAGTAAATCCCATAGGGATCTTACTAAGTCGGAGTGACAGAAATGCGACGGAGTGCTGTTGCGGCGTTGCCGGTACGCCTTTCCCTATCAAGTAAAGTAAAATCAAGATCGCAAACCGCTTACTTTTAAAAGATTTTTTTTTCGAAAAGATAACTAGACAAAAGCATTGGAAAGCATCTGAAATGGAATTATAAAGATATCTTTAAGGTGTTATATTCTTATAACGAGAAAACGTCAGTAATCGCGATAATTTAAAAACTCAACTTTTTAACACATAACATGCCATAACTCCAGAAACACTTTATGCTGGAAGTACACACTCGCCGAGGCGACCCGAGACGTGACAAAAAAGGACGGTCCTAACCAATAATAATGTATAAATCGTTAATTTTTTGTGGCATCTCGGGTCGTCTCGCCGACTGTGTACTTGCACCATTAGATATTAAATTTTTTTTATTTTGAAGATAGGATTTTTTACAATATGTTTACATAAGAAAAAATCGATAAGGTTGTTTTTTTCCATTCAAAAATTATAAACAACCCATTTATTTACTTTTAGAGCATAGCAATTTTCAGCAGTCGTGTAATTTTTTTATTGATAAAGATTTTCACTTACTGTCTACGAAGAAAATACAGCAGAAATATTAAGGAAGTTTTTGAAAAAACTACAATCAATTGTTTCTAACAGATTTCGAGATATCGATTTTTGAATTCAGAGTTCTAATAGCCCGACCACTATCGAAAACCCACTCAATTCCACTTATTTTTACCAAAAATGCAAGTGTTTCTAGCTTGCATTTAAAAATTTTCAAGCTATAAGGAAAATTACAACGACTCGTTAATAAATAAACAAATAAAGTATCACGAGACGTAATTAGATCGTGAAACTGAACGCATAATGTACACCTAGAACTTTAAGTATTAACAAAGGTACGGACAGCGTCTTCAGATGGAGCGGACCGTACGCGCGGTTGTTTTTTCAATATAGCTCATCCGGACGGAGCATACGCGACCCATGTGAAATCGTTCATACTCATGGTACTTGCTCGAAGTCGCGGACGGTCCGTCGCGGACGCTCCGCTCCATCTGAAAACGCTGCGATTGGTTTGGTTTGTTTCCACATCTCTTAGAAATGTGCGCAGTTTCTTGATTCATTTAATTCATACGTTTGGCAACGTGTTTACTGTTCTCTCTTTGTTCAATACATTATAAACGCATTGTACTCTTCTGACATACGGAAATCTCGACTCAAGACTAACCTTTGCCAGCCCTTAGTATATTGATAATATCAATTTTTTTCCGTTGAAGCGCTGCGGTCCGAATTTGTTGAAATCAACTGAAATGCATCAAGCCTATAACTAATGTTAATTTTTGACATAATTATGTCAATTTTTAGTAAGTGACGTCTAGAGATTGACCCTGCCAAAATTATTCTCGATTCTCATTCCCTACCGGTCTTTGAATACGTTTTTTCAATCATACGGTAGAACTATTAATTTTATGAATATGATATATGATATAAACAATGATCAGTACTGGGAATGTCATGATTTTTAATAATCAAATTATCGCTGTTTTATTGGTATCTTTTTAATACCTATATTAAGCATTTGCCGATAACGTCACTTAGGGGAGCAATTAATTTTAACTAGATCGGTCCAATAATAAACATAATAGTTAATTAAAAGCCCCGTTAAATTCGGAAATTGTGGAAAATAAGGCCGTGTAATATATTTAATAACTGTCAGACACAATTTTATCAATAATTCGAATTAACGGGCGTATATTTGTTTTCATTTTACCCCCACCCCTAAACCTCAATGTTAAAGGGTAACGAGGGATAGAATTCGACACAAAATTTACAAAATGCATCCGTGTCATTACTAATTCAGCGCAAAAACTAATTACGATTTTGGCGCATTTTCTCCTGTCGTAAATGGACAACATTCTGATTAAAATTACCTCTAAAATAACATAGATACGAATTAGTTGGATGTATAATTTCGAAACCGTATCGTTCCGTAATTAATATT